TAGAAGGATGGGCTTGGTCTGTAAGTCAGAAATACATTTTGGCATGCGATGCTATGAATCTATATGTTAAGCCTAATTTCAATGATTTTTTTTCCCGAGGCATGGTGCCATTACAGCACTATTGGCCCATTAGAGAAGATAGCAAGTGCACCTCTCTTAAGTTTGCTGTGGAATGGGGCAACAACCACACTGATAAGGTAAACCTCACTCTCATTGTATTCTTTAAATATTTTTTCAGCTTAGTAGACCAAAATGTTTTTTCAGTTTTGCTCAAGAGTCTCCTAAATAAACTAATTAAGAAAAAAAAATTGCATAAAATAATTCCAATTATTTTAAAAATAAACATCTCATATATATATTTTTTGTTTTTAATCTAATATAATTTTTCTAACATCTAGTCTTTAAGAATGATTTTAATTGATTAAAAATAAATTTATTAAAATATGTTTTCATTATATTAATTCAAAAGTATAGTTAATTATTTATAAATAATTTTTTTATTGTAGCTTGATGTCATAATGGCCCATTTTTTTTTTCATTTAAGTCATCTCATATTATCGAGTAATATGATATAATTATCTCAAAAAAGAAAGACATAGTTTCTATCAACTTTAATTAGTGGGACTTCTAACTAATCAAGGAGGGCAATTAGAAGATCTAAATATTTATCTAAGGTATTTTACATTGGTATCCAAAAAGTATTATTTTTGTGCATTACATGATGAAAAGGATGATTGTCATTTCATATACTATTTCATTGTACATGATCTGGAGGAGGGAACAACCAAAGCACCAATAAAATTGTTAAAAATAAAAAATTGTGTCTTAAATGTTTCATCATCCTTCAAATTGCCAGGCACAAGAAATAGGGGAGGCTGCTAGCAAATTCATTCAAGAGGACTTGGACATGGATTATGTGTACGATTACATGTTTCATCTACTGAATGAATATGCGAAGCTCCAAAGGTTCAAACCAACAATTCCTTCAGGAGCTGTGGAGTTCTGTCCAGAAATAATGGCATGCGCTTTACAAGGTACCCAAAGGAGGTTCATGGAGGACTCAATGGTGAAGTTTCCTAGTGATTCAAATCCATGCACTATTCCTCCTCCATATGATCCTATAACCCTACAACGATTTCTAGAGAATCAAGCTAATTTAACAAGGCAAGTAGAAATTTGGGAAGATGAATATTGGGAGGATAAAAAGAAGGGACAATAGTATTGGCATAGTTGATCAACTCTGATTTCGTACGCAAACATTGTTAACATTATCTCTTGTACATTCATTATTATAAGCAATTCACATTTTTTATCCGATTCTCTCCTGAACCAAGGCCTTTATTAATGTATCTAATATCTAAAAGTTCCCTTTGTTTTGATATATCTTTCGTGGCATTAACATGAGCTTAAATCCCTTTGTCATGTTAAAATATTTTATCCTTCTTAATTGTCATTATTGTTTTATATGGTTTTAGTAATATCACTTGTTATGGTTGATTTTAAGCACCTTGAAACAATATGTTTTATTTATAGAATAAAAATGTAAGTATTTAGTTATTTTTATATTTTTTAAATAATAATATTTTTTCATAAAAAATTACTAATTTTAATTGATTAAATCTAGATTTATAAGTTTGTGTCAATATTTTTTCAATAATCAATTTAGGATACTTATTCACTAAATTCAAGTACCAAATAGAACTAGCTTGAATTTTGAGGAAAATCACTCTTTGGTGACACTTTTTTTTACCTAAAATTAAGCAAAGAGTGAAAATTTGAAGTGATCATATGACTAGTGAACATTGAGAGAGACTTACTCAATAAGAGTTTTTTAAGTCCTAAAGGCAAAGATGATACAATAACTCAAAAAGAAAGTATGACTTTCCAAAGATAGACTAATAATGATATAAAATAAATGATTTGAGATGATGACTTAAGCACTTTTTAATGTTAAAAGTTTGGATTATTTTGTTAAATTTCTCCTAAACTTGAAACTTTTATATTTTAGGAAAAGAATGCAATTGTAAGTGTTTTGATTCTTTTTTGATCTATTTTGTAGTTGGAATCAAAAGAGAAACATAATTCAAAGTTGAAAAAAATTGAAAAAGTAAGAAAAAAGCATATAAAGTAAGAAGTTGCAGAAAAAGTTAGTTTCTGGAGGTTTCTCGCTGTAGCGAGCTACCCTTACTGCAGCGATAATGCTAAGCTTGATGAAGGCGATTTTGTGCTTTTCTCGCTACAGCGAAAATGTTTCGTTGTAGCGAGAAATATCGTTGCAACGAGAGACAAATAAAATGACCTAATTTTTATCTCTATATCTCGCTACAACGAGGAGGTGTCGCTGTAGTGAGAGAAGTTCGTGCAGACTAGTATTAAAGGTGGCTTTTATGTTTTTGAGAGATGACTGTTCCATTTGATATTTTCTGAGAGAGAGAGTAAGAATACTCAAGTTTTGATATTCTACATCGTTTGTATCTCATTTCTTGTTAATATAATTGCAATGAGTAGCTAGAATTTATATGAGATTGAATGTAAATATTTAAACTTGATGTATTATCAGTAATTTATATAAATATAACTATTTTTTTTATTTCTATTGATTTGGTAATTTCAATCCGTGTTAATGCTTGAATCTGTCTATTTGATGGTTTCTTGAGCTCATATCTGAATTATATTTGGAAAAGTATTACTTAGATCTATATCTGATTAAGATTACTCAATAACTGGTCACTCTAGGAATATATTTCAAGTTATTAATTGCTTTTAAATCCTAATTTTAATGTTAGATAGTTTATTAACTGGTTGAGTAATCAATATTTAAAAAATTATCTTAGAAATATATTTTAAAGAATTGAAATATATGATTTTTGTAATTTACATCAAATTCATTGGAGATAATTGTTATATTTATTGCTAAATTACTAGAGTATAGAGAGAGATAAATGAAATTTAATCTCAGTTTCTTTAACTTAAATTTTATTATATTTTACATTATAATTGTTACTCAAAATTTCATAGTAATCGTCAATCAATTCTATTATATATAAGTTCAATTAATTTTTATCTTAACAAATAATACATTTTGAATTACTCTATGAGTATGATATTCTGATATTCTACCGGTTATTACTTGCAACAGATTCGATATACTTATCGTGTTTGAAAGAAAAGTTTCAACACAAATTTTCAAAAAAAATTGGCTTGAAGGTTACAAATCTAAAGCTCAAGTTTATACCACTGAATTTTTTTCCCAAAAACGTTTTAAAGTTTGAAGCATGCTGTTAATCTATATGGTTGATGAACATGCAACGGGCAAAATGGCATATGGAATATGCATCGGCTTTGATGTTCAAAAATCAAAGTCAATTTGTAGTTTGTGACCGTTTAGTGCACGTTTGTGTCTAAATAACAATATAATATTTTTTACAATATGTTAATCGATCGATAATTTAATATCTAAATTATGAGCTAAAAATATTATGTCAGTTCATTAATCAATTTATATATTTTGTTAACAAATAATTGTAATTTTAGTCAAATCAGTTGACTGTAAAAATAATGTAAGCAAATCGGTATACACCAAACTTTCTTACTTATATAATGCTTTTTAGCCTAACAATATGATTGCCTACCGATTCTAGTAATAAAATATAGTCCTTATTTTTTTCAGTACTTTGTTTTTGATTCCTTTAACTGGCAAGGTTTATTGAGATTCTGTAAAATGTTAACTTTTTGTTAGATTATGTCAATTAAAGAGAATAAAAATAAAATACGAGAAAACAGTAAAAATTATACCTTAATATTTTTTTTTATAAAGACTATGTTCAAATAACACAACTTTTGTGGAGATTCAATACTTAATTAACTGATAATTTATCATAAGTTTTATAAGAACTACCTTGATTATATTTCAACATGACGTGATATTTTAAAAGCAAAAATATGCTGTTTACTTCATTTGTTTTATTTATTTATTAATTTCATATTGAAGGTCCTTAATTGCAAAAATTTGGCATTGACACATAAATGTTTATACAGTGCAACGCACAAAAACAAGTCAGCTCGTGGTTGGCTAATCGATGGAGAAGCTAGGCACAATTGGTGGATCTTAACCTTACAATGATATATGTAATATATTTAACTAAATTTGGTCCATAGTTGAAGTAATTGACTTACTTGAAAATTGCTATGTAGTTTGGTATCAATCAGTCACAGGATAGAGACGAAATTAGCAGTCTTTGCTTACTTTTCACCCCAGCCTACATGTTTTGTCAATCTTTCTATCAACCCCACTGCTGGAATTGTAGCTTACAAAACAATTTCCACATCAATTTTATCAATCTTTATTTTTCTTTGCATAAACTTTAGATCTTGTTTAGGAGATAAGATCATATAATACCTTGTTTTTAATCCATATTTTTAATATTTATTCAATGATATGTATCCTATAGATTTGTTTTATCCTATTGTTATAAATTTATTTTTGTAAAAAAGAGATAAAATATAATAAATAATATATCTAATTTGTTGTTTTAATATTATTTAAAATAAGTTGAGTATATCATATTTTTATTTCAACTTTTATATATTCTATCGATTCATCAGGTCAGTTTAAATAAAAATATATTTGTTTATAAAGTCCTTATATCATTTTATTTTTCCAAAGGCAAATTATATTTTGATAGTATACAAGACCATGTGAGATTGGAGAATTCCATATTGACACATTTTGAGCATTGAATAAGACTCTGAGGGTATTGCATGCATTCCCGTTTGAAACGTTGATTGAATTAAGGAGCAAGTTACGGGCATAAACATGGAATAGCCTTTACAAACAAGTGGACTTTAGTATACGTTTCCTCATGTTATTTCTTTTTAGCAGTAAACTCATAGATTGTAAAATAATCATTTGGGAGTTTCTTTTTTGTATAAGAAAATCTTGTACTTATTAAGGAGTACATAGCAGCATCATAGAGGGACTTGGAATTCAACTCAAAAGCATGAACAAGGACAACGAGGCATATCTGAAACTCTTCTGGGGTCGTTCTAATCTTCAGAAAACGTGTTTCTTGTCGAAGAAGACCAAAACCACAGCAATTGCCACCACATTGTTTGGGTTGTTTTGCTTCGTAGTCACTTTCTGTGCTTTTGCAGTATGGAATACGGTGAGTCATCATCCAAATTCAAACATGTGAGAACTTATTGGTTTCATGTCTATAAGTTTCAAGTATCATGCAAATAGGTGTTTGTTTTCCTAGTTAATTATAACATTGATCGTTTGCAAATACGATGGTAGAAAAGAAATGAAGGGAGAGACAGAGGAAGAGGTTGTCTTGTTGCATTCTTTGCTTTTTGAGTTCAAAACACCCTACATAAATTGATAAGGAAATTTAGATTCCACATTTCCTGCAAGACAATAAGTTGAATGAAAGAGTTTATATTAATCCAATAGTTTATATTGTATCATGTAATTTATTGCAGTATTGTTTTAGTGCAGCAAATTCAAATGCTGAAATTTATACTTTCTTGTGAAAATTTTATATAATTTTGTTATGTGAAAATTTGTATCCATTTATCTGTAAATAAAATTTCACAAATTTTAATAAGATATAACTTATTTGATGTGGATTAAGGAATATATAAATATATATTTTTCTTGTATGACAATATGTTTTGCCAATTTATTGTATATTAAGAAAGAGATAAATGAAAAAATTTCACGTTAGAGGGTTCATTCTTGATGGACATACAGAGTCATTTTATATAAGCTATTGTGCCAAACTTCTAATAGTTAAAAAAAATGCACAGAAATTTCATTTTTTTTCTTGTATATATGCATGACCATGGTAGAAAAATAAACTGGGAGACAGAGGAAGAGACTCTGTTCCTTTGTTTGCACTCTTCGGCTTTTGAATTGACACAACTGTAACATTATTAATAATCGTGTTAAAACACCCGAAAATAGAGTCCATTTATATATGATAGCATACAATTTTGGAAAACGACAAACCTCATTTTTGTTTATATTGAAAGTGTTTTTAGGTCCCATGAACATTTGTGAATGAGATCATTTTAAAAAGGAAGAGGAAAAAGTGGCAAGAAGGTGAAGAAAATTTTTATTCCTTTTTTCTTTCTGTGGCAATATCAAATTGTAATGGAACAAAAGTAGATAACTTGACCAAGGAAGCTCAAAACAAGAAACTAAATTTTTTTTGGTACAAGAAACCACCCTTTTATTTTCTTGATTGGCATCACATACCTAGATGTTTAATTTTATTTCTTATTTTTCTGATCTAGCAAGCATTAAAACACAACAAAATCTCTCTTGAATCTTGATCATGTATCACGCGTTTTTTTTACAAAGTTGGAACAATTAGCATTCCTAGCATATATACACGCTAGTGGCATACAGTACAATTAATCTAGGACCAAAGTTTGCTCCAATTAATTTGATAAAAGCCTGATATATATTTGAATTGTTTATGAAGTCTACATTTGCAGGTTTTTCCATTCCAAACCAAAACCTCTCAATGATCCACATAGCCAAACCCCAAGAACAAGAAATTCCTCTTAGGTGCATCAAAGGGGAAAATGTGACACAAACATGCCCAAAAGACTACTACCCCACATCACATAAGCCCACTAGTAATCATAGCCGTACATGTCCCTCGTACTTCAAATGGATCCATGAAGATCTAAGGGCATGGAGAGAGAAAGGGATCACAAGAGAAATGTTGGAAGGTGCAAGAAGAACAGCACACTTTAGGATTGTGACTTTAGAGGGGAAGGTGTATGTGGAGAAGTATAGGCAATCAATTCAAACAAGAGATGTGTTTACTTTGTGGGGTATATTGCAACTCATGAGATTGTACCCTGGCAAATTGCCTGATTTGGAGCTTTTGTTTGATTGCGATGATAGGCCTGTTCTTCCAATGGAAAGGTTTAAAGGCCCAAATGCTGCACCACCACCTTTGTTTAGATATTGTTCAAATCAGTGGAGTTTGGATATTGTGTTCCCTGATTGGTCCTTTTGGGGATGGTAAGTGCTTAAATAACTACTCTTCCTCCTTTTTACTAGAAAAGAAAAGTATGAAAACTCTTCTTCACCCTTTTTTTCTATATAATAATAACTTTTTAAAATATATCTTGTTAGACAATTTTTATGATTCATTTCTTTTTCAAAAATCATTTCATAAATATCTCACTTTTTGAATTTAAGATAATGAACCAATAATAGAAAAAATGTATTCTAAAAATTATATTTAACTTTCTTCTCATGCATGTATATATGGTATCATTGAAGAGTTGACATTCTACATCATGTTATGATTTTGCATCTCTCTCTCTATATATATGCAAGATTAGTTTGCCCAATAATACAACAATCTTAATCTGGATATTCTTTATTTACAATAGGGAAGAGACAAATATAAAGCCATGGAAAAAAATTGTGGAAGATATTAAGAAAGGGAACAAGAAAACCAAGTGGAAGGACAGAGTACCATACGCCTATTGGAAGGGGAACCCTTATGTTGCTGCAACTAGAAAAAACCTTATGAAATGCAATGTCACACCAAAATATGACTCCAACACTCGCCTATACATACAGGTTTTTTTTTTTTTTTTTTTATATTCTTTGCCCACTAATTCACTTCAAAGAAAGATTTATATATTGTCTACATATTTTTTTGGACACAGGACTGGATAAAAGAATCCGATGAAGGATACAAGAAATCCAACTTAGGGGACCAATGCACCCATAGGTAGGTAACATTAAACCTCTTTAGCCATATTGAAAATTCTAGGTTCTGGTCTACATTTTGGTTTTTTGGTAATAATGCTATTTTCACATAACTAAACTTACTTTTAGCAGCGAGATAGAGAGATAAAATGAATGATGTGATGTTAAAGAAAGTGTCATAAATAATTGTTATGAGAATAGTGTTAACGGTTTTCCCACAAAATGATATGTGTATTTGGGCTGGTACAGGTATAAGATATACATAGAAGGATGGGCTTGGTCTGTTAGTGAGAAGTACATTTTGGCATGCGATGCTATGACTCTGTATGTTAAGCCTAATTTCTATGATTTTTTCGTCCGAGGCATGGTGCCATTACAGCACTATTGGCCCATTAGAGACAATAGCAAGTGCACCTCTCTTAAGTTTGCTGTGGAATGGGGCAATAACCACACTGATAAGGTAAATCTCTTTCTTATTGTATTTTTTAAAATATTTTTTCAGCTTTGCTCATGTGTCCTAAATAAATTAATTAAGAAACAATTAATAAATTGCATAAAATAGTTCCAGTTATTTAAAAGATAATATCGAATGTTTCTTTTGTTTTTAATCTAATAAAAGTTTGTTAGCATCAAGTCTTTAAGACAGATTTTAAGTGATTAGAAGTATTATTTTTTATTAAACAATGTATTTAATATATTAAAAATTCAGAAGTATAAATAATTATTTAATTATTTGTGTAGAAAGACATAATTTTTATCAACCTTAACTAGTAGGACCTATAACCAATTAAGGTGGGTCATATTTAATAAAAATGCATTTTCCCTCTCTTAACTTAAATATATCATGTTACTTACTAACGCAAAAAGATCTAAATTTCATCGTTATCTATGATGTTTTACATTGCTATCCAAAAATGTATGATTTTTGTGTAATATATGCTTGAAAAGGTGACTGTCATTTGATACTCTATTTCATTTTACATGATCTTGATGGGAGAGAGAGTAAGAAGAAACAACCATAGCATCAATAAAAATGTTCTAAGTATCATAAAAAAAAGAGTGTCTTACATGTTTCATCCCTCAAATTGCCAGGCACAAGCAATTGGGGAGGCTGCTAGCAAATTTATTCAAGAGGACTTGGACATGGATTATGTGTATGATTACATGTTTCATCTTCTAAATGAATATGCAAAGCTCCTAAGGTTCAAACCAACTATACCTTCAGGAGCTGTGGAGTTATGTCCAGAAACAATGGCATGTGCTTTAAATGGTACACAAAGGAGGTTCATGGAGGAGTCAATGGTGATGTTTCCTAGTGATTCAAATCCATGCACTATTCCACCTCCATATGATCCTATAACCCTACAACGCTTTCTAGATAATAAAGTTAATTCAACAAGACAGGTAGAAACTTGGGAAGATGAATATTGGGAGAATAAAAGGAAGGGACAATAGTATTGGCATAGTTGTCACATTTGATTTTGTACACACGAAGATTTTGTCATGTTTTATTTCATTTCGCTATGATAAATAGCCCTTGTATTAACACATCTTCTGTATCATTTTCAGCCCCCCAAAAGAGTAGCATTGTTAGCGTTGTCTCTTAACATTCATAGTAATAAGCAATTCACATTTTTTTTATCTGATTCCCTCCTTACTTAAAGCCTTATTAATGTAGTTAATTGCTCCCAAATCACATTACTGATTCCATTTAATCTAATATGTACAGGTTCCCTTAGTTATGATATGTCTTTCATGGCATTAACATGAGCCTAAACCCCTTTGTTGTTAAAGTATTCTATCCTTCTTAATTGCGATTATATTTTATTAATCAGTCATTAAAGTATTCATTTTATTTTAATATTTGTGTATAATTTATTTATTTTATATAAAGGCTTACTTAATTTTAATTACTTAAATTTAGTTTAAAGGGTTGATGTTAATGATTTTTATAACCAATTGAAGGAAGTTATTCGCTTAATTCATGTCCAAAATAATTTATTTTACCTACAAATATTGTGTTTATAACTTTCATGGGTTATTGTTCATTTACTATTCCGTCTAGGTATAGATATCTGTAGACAGCCAATAATATTTTGAGAATGATTTATCAAGGACTTTAATGTCAAACTCTTTATTGATTGAACAAATTTGACTCATGTTTGTTTCAACTTAAATTTTATTAAATGTTTTTTTTTTACAAATGTATAAATAATTAACAAAAAAAAAACATTTTTAAATAAATCAAACTAAATAGGTATACGCTTATGTTAGCATCTATCTTAAAAAATATTTAATAATACTTGAAATCTACGATGAGTCATTTGACCTCTTAAGAGTAATTTTTTAATGCAATTAATATTTTAGGGTTTAGGGTTTAATTATTGGAAGTAAATAAATTTTAATTATTACAATTAAATACGTAAAATAAAAATATAACGAACAAAAATATTTAAATTAATATAGCAAAAAAATATTTAAATTAAATCGTTAACATATAACAAGATTTTTAATAATTTTAAAGTTATGTTTATATGCATTTCAATATTTCACTTTAAATTCATATTAAATTTAAAAAATTATTTAATAAAAAAAATTACTTAATATAATAATGTTAAGATGTGCAAATAAAATCTCACATTAACTAAAAAAATTATTTAATACAAAAAGTTACTTAACGTAATAATGTTAAGATGTGCAAATAAAGTTTCATATTAACTAAAATTGAAAAAAATCAAAGATATATAAGTATAGTAAATCTTCGTCTTTTGGATAATGTTTAAAAACAAAACTATGAAAATTTAGACACAGTAGATAATATTATATTAGTGTAAGGCTACACTAAAAAGTCTATACTAAAAAAGCAAATTTTTAAAAATATTTTATTTAAAAATTTATACTCACAAATTATAAATATAATTGAATCACTGTACCTAAAATAGACCTTGAGTAGAAGGAACGTGTTTGATAAAAACGAAAAATCGTGCACGTTTTCTCAACTTAAAATACAAACAGGACAAGTCGTAAATAAGGATAAACTATACAGCTGGGTTGGTCCATTGAGATTAAGAATGTACATTATGTCATCTTAAACGTAAGTTCTCAGTCGTATATTTCCAATGATTTTCTTCTAAGTATATCTTCTTATATCTGCGTTACTTTGAGTAGATAATGCTTAATTATTTTTAATTTATCATTAATTTGTAACTGGGTATGTGTTATGTGATTATAAACTTATATTATAGCTGTTGTTATTTGAATCTGAGCTACCTCACTTACATGGAACAATGTCCCTTCTGCATGTGATTTTCATCCCCCAATTTATTCCATAGAGTTTAATATAATGTACTAAGTTTCTAGCGACTATATGTAATGTTATGGTTTCTACAATTTTATGTTTTGGTCAATGGTTCGTGTTCAATTTTGATTCTTCATGTTATCTTTTGTGGTGGGACACGAGGACAGTGTGAAGGTTGAAACTTCTTTTTTTCTCAATTTGATGTGTGGTGTGCTGTGTCAGTATAGTAGCCTTGGCCTATTGTTGTGGTTTTCTGATTTTGATAATATGAGTTCAATCACATTCCTAAAGGAAGAAGCGAATAGGATCGAGAAACTGTTTCATTTGTGCTTGTTGTCTTTAAGGTGTTAGATAAATTGATAGCTCATCTTTCTTGTTCAACTGTTTCCAAATTTCACACTGGTATTTGAATGCAATATATTGACTCAAATTGTTGTCCAGAACTCCACTCTCCAGCATGAAAATGACCCTTTGATGAATAACTTGAACCCTTGTTTTGCATTAGTTTGTTTTTTTCTATAGAGACAGTGAAAGAGCTTTTGCATTTTTTTATATCTGGCTATTCATTTTGCTAGCAGAACTAAGGGTGGAAGTGGGAGTTGAAGTGATGGAGCAACAAGATGAAGAAGAGATCAATAATTGTTTCATCAAGCTGGTTAGCTTATTGTTTCTTATATCTGGTTATCTTTGTGGTTGTTTGTCTTTAATGCAGCACCAATCCCAGTGGAGGAATTAACTATCTTGATTTTACATTGCAGAGAAGTAGTCCTCAAAGGCGAAGGGATAAGGTTTATATTGGCTGTGGAGCAGGGTTTGGTGGTGACAGGCCTTTGGCTGCTCTTAAGTTGCTTCAAAGAGTTCAAGAACTGAATTATCTGATTCTTGAATGCCTGGCAGAGCGCACTCTAGCTGATCGCTATCAAATCATGGTGTCTGGTGGTGATGGTTATGATTCAAATAGTATGTGTTTTCTGTTCAAATAAATTGTGAAGTTTCTTTTTATCCTTTTAATAATTTATATATGTTTTTGACTCATCGGTGCATTGTTCATTCCTTCCATGTGCTTATACATACTAAAATTTCTCAATCAAATTTATTTTCTTGCAATGATATGCTTGGTGTCAGTTTCTCATGAATATTTACTTTGCTTACCTAAACCTCAACTGCAACTTCTCGATGTTACAATCAAATTTTGATGCTTCTTTCTTTCTGAGAGATGTGTGGTTTGAGATAGGACCCTTACATTTATATTTATTGGAAAACAAATATGTTTAATTTTTAGTATCATTTTAAGGTGTTTGATATTGATATTGAAGCCATTGATGGGGGACTGGTGGTTTGTTTCCTGCTCTTGCAATTTCAAATCTGAAGTTACTGATTGTTGCCAATTTTTTGCAGTTTCTAACTGGATGCATTTGCTACTGCCTCTGGCTTTGGAAAGAGGAACTTGCATAATTACCAATATGGGTGCTAGTAAGAGTTTTTAATGATGCATTTAACGGATCACATAATAATGGTTGATCATCAAAAGATATTATACTTCCGCAAAATTTTGTGTTGTGCATTTGGTTCAGATTGATAGACAATATGGTTTCTGGCATTTGTTTCTCTAACTTCATTCATTCTTTGTTTCTAAAAGTGGATCCTCTGGGTGCACAACAGAAGGTCATAGAAATAGCTAGAAGCCTGGGGCTTAATGTTTCTGTCGCTGTTGCTCATGAGATGTCTGCTGCTAGAATGGGTATTTAGATTTCCCTGTAAACTTTCCTTTGGCCCATGTTATTCTCAATTTTTAAATGTTTTACTCGTCTCAAGTATTTTGTTTTCACCCACTGTTACATCAACTAGTTATCTTTGGTTTGGTGTATGTTGGGTGATTCCCTCCTTTGGTAAAGGTCACTGTTGGAGTAGAAAGATGGATTTGCTGTAATTGGATGATATGCAGCATTACTTCTCTCTAATGTAGAAACAAATAACAGGAGTACCCTAATAAGAAGGTTTTTCTAGCTAAAAGAATGATAGTTATTAACCTTATGAGCTCTATATTTATTTACTCTGTATTTAAGCTGAAAAAGGAATATGTTTTTCCTTTTCATTTTTTTTTCCTACATCTTTAGCTCTTTGCAAGGTTCCTCTCTGAAATTGTTGATGCATCTGTTTGTGCTATTCTTCTTCCTTTTAATATATTTATTTACCCAAAAAAATATAGAGATTTTCTTATTATTCTCCATGCTAAGTACCACAACTTACATATACATACAACATATTTCAGGTTCAGGATTTTCACCAGAAAAATCATATATTATGGATAATGTAAGAATCTGTTCACATGGCTGTTTGTGTTCATATATAAAGTCATTTTTTATTAGGTGATGTAATATGACAAGTTTGCTTTTTACCCCTTTTTTGGTTCTCTCTTTATTGATTGTCGAATGAAAAATTTTGTTAGTTGTTAGATACAAAACCTTAGTCGTTAGGTACAAAACCGTTCATGAGCATTCACCTAGCAGCTTAAGCTTTTAGGATAGTTGGTCAATGTTCATTGACATGGTATTGGAGCTTTAACATCAAGTCGTTAGGAGTTTGATTCTTGTTTTTCTAATAAAGAAACTTGAATTTCTTAGTAAGGTAAGCCTGGCTTGTTTGTTTGTTGTTCTTGCTCTAAATCCAAAAGGCTGCATAAGGGGAAGTGTTAAAGAGAGTGGGTTGTTGCTACTAATAGTTGCTTCTTTAATTTCTCTCTTCACTTATGGACCTTCAACAATGCATACTACTTTACTTGCTGAACTAAGAGAAGGGACCAATCTATTCCACGTCCTTCGTCAGTCAATAATATTTTCATATGCATAATTTGATCAAATGTAGTTATTTGTGTTTGCTTTCTCTACTTTATTTGACTTTTGTTAAGCTGGATGTGAAATTTTGATGTAATTTGTGAAGGGTATCAGTACCTACTTGGGAGCGGCTCCTATTGTTCGTTGTCTTGAAAAGTACCAACCAAATGTAATAATTACTTCAAGAATTGCAGATGCTGCTTTGTTCTTAGCACCTATGGTATGAATTCTGTCTGTTATTTCCTTCATATTCCCCATCTTTGCCACCTTCCTCCATCAATGCCTTCATTTTAGTTTCTGAACTCTGTCTTCATAAAGGCAACATTACTTTATACAGGGTATATGAAATTTTATGAAGTTAAATTGGATACTTGATTCTTTATTTTAAGCAGGTCAATGGAGACTACATTAACTTAGGTCTATTTAGGATAACTCTTCTCAGGGGACACCATGGATACAGCACAAGACACTAATACAACGTATAAAATTAATCTAAAATTAGCATAAGATAAAAATTTTAAATCACAACAGAGAATTCATGTTTTAAATATATGAGTAATTATAGACATACAAAAATGATACAATTTATCTAATTATTGTGGTATTTCAATTAGTATTAGTATAAAAATTTACATAATCAAAGTCTAGAAGCATTTAAAGAGTCATGCCGTGTCTTGACATGGAAGTGTATCTGACCCCATTGTGACATGACATGGCTACAGTTTAGAATTATCCATGTTCCTTAGGGAACACTTTGCTTGTGCTCTTAGAGCGGGATCCAAATGATGAGTCACAGTGGTTGGGGCCATTTATTGTTCAAGCTTCATGCTCAAATGACTATTGTGAGAGGTGGCATGTTATACATAAACTACTCATTTGTCATCACCTAGCAACTTAAGCATTTGGGATATATGGTTTATGACAGGTAGATTTTGTTGAAATAGCTATAGACACACATAAAAAGTAACATGGTGAGAGAGAGCAATACTTGTATTTTTTTCTTCTTAAACTAACATTCATCTTAAATTGTACAGTACTAATACGCAAAAGATATGATCATAAGAGCTATGTCTTTTAGTTCTTTATAGCTTAGTTATCTGTTGGACATTATTCTGAATGATCAAGTTGGTGTATGTTTAGGTTTATGAGCTAGGTTGGAACTGGGATGAATTACAGCTTCTAGCTCAAGGATGTCTGGCTGGCCATCTTCTAGAGTGTGGTTGTCAACTCACAGGAGGATATTTCATGCATCCAGGTCTGCTAATTTGTCTTAACTCTACCTTTTCATATGGTTAAGATATAAGTGGATGGCTTGTGTGAATGAGAAGATACTCTTTAAGCTCTATCTTGTTTGTTTTAGGAGACGAATACCGAGATATGTCCTTCCCGCAACTACTGGATGTATCACTTCCTTATGCTGAAATCTGTTTTGATGGACAAGTATGTGTAGCAAAGGCTGAAGGCAGTGGGGGAGTTTTAAATTTCAATACATGTGCTGAACAATTACTCTATGAGGTTGGAGACCCCAGTGCTTATGTAACCCCTGATGTGGTAAGTAAAATGTTTGTTATTAAGCATTAGACATCGAAGAGTTATGACTAGAAGGTAGAATATACAATAAAGGACTCATTGTGTTCTTTATATAGGTGATTGATTTTCAGGATGTTTCATTCCTTCCATTGTCAAGCTCTAAGGTTCTCTGTCTTGGGGCAAAACCATCTACCATATCAGTTCCTGATAAACTTTTGCAGTTGGTTCCACAGGTACATGTCTGAATCATTTTGTCTTGGTGCAAACAAAACCGTAAATTTTGCAGTTGGTTCAACAGGTAGATCCCTTTGCTCTTATGCTCTAAATGCTTCTTACAGGATTGTGGATGGAAAGGATGGGGAGAGATATCTTATGGAGGTTATGAATGCATTAAACGTGCTAAAGCAGCTGAATATCTGGTAACCTTTACAACCTTATAATCACCATTTAGATCAGTGATCCTACTTTATTTTCTTATTTATATATGTTATGTTGATTCGACTCCTTGACAAGAGTCCTGGTACATCCATCTTACTATCAATTAATATATTATTCATATTTTTCATTAGGTTAGATCATGGATGGAAGAAATATTTCCTGGTCTTAATCACCATATACTTTCTTATATAATTGGGTTTGATAGCCTCAAAGCCACCAGCAGCAATGGAAATGAGTCAGCACATAAAAATATTGAAGATATTAGGTTACGCATGGATGGACTCTTTGAGCAGAAGGAACATGCTTCCCAATTTACTAGAGAATTTACAGCTTTGTATACAAATGGACCAGCTGGTGGTGGTGGTGTCAGGTCAATGTTCCTTTAAATTTGGCTATGCGAGCATTTGGTTAAAATTCTTAATGGGCAAGTTTTATAGCTGAGAACTATAAATCTGTGTTAAATTTTCAATCAATGTTCTTATATGATTATTGCTGGTGAAACCTTAATTTTATTACCAAGGTCTCTCTGAATTTACTGGAGATCTCCACATTGCTTTGGATTATCAGATTCTGCATTGAGTGTGGAATAGCAATGCTCTTGAAGGTTTCACTTCGCTTGTTATAAAACAGATTTGACGTTAATTACTTGGGAAACACCGATTACAAATGAAGCGGGAACAGAAAAAGTTGAAACTGGGTTCTTGAGCTTTGAAGAGCTAGTTATATTGTAGTCATTATATACATATTACTTCTTCATTGCTGCTTTGAGTACTGTGATATTTTAGCCCCTGTATTCTTGCTGCACACTTTTAAGTGACAGATCTTTTTTCTTTGAATGCAGTACTGGATATCAGAAACAGATCCTTCTAGAAAAACATTTGGTACTCTCTTCTTCCCCTTGCCCTGTCTTGGCTTTTCTCACACTTGTGTATATGCATGCATTAGGAGTTAGGACTACACACCTGGATCAATAGAATCCGTTGATCTCCATCAAAAACAAACTTCCAGTAAAACTTGAGAAAAATCTTTTTTAATGGAATAAGGCTTGATTATTATTCAATCAACATTATGCCTTGGATAATCAAACATGGAAATTATTTGTCAAAAACATCTGACATTTCATTTCATTATAGTGACATGATCTTTCTGAACTGCTGATATTCGATAATGACCTTAACAACACAATGAAACTTGTGATTTCTTAACGTAGTTTGTTTTGGTTTTGTACTGTAAGTGTCATTAACCGTGCAGCTAGGACTATTCATCACTGCTAGATTTTTATTCAGGTTAAGCGCGACAATGTTTTCTGGCGAACTGCAATAAATGGGAACACAAGAAGTCAGTCAAATATAGTTGATCATGAATGCAACCTGAAGCACACATTGACATTGCCACCAAAGCTAGAAGCTGAAAATGGCATAACCTCCTTAGAATCAGTTTCCCTTGGTAATAGTTGCTCACCTGCTCCATCTGGCCAGAAGATTCCCCTCTACAATGTAGCACATAGCAGAGCTGGAGATAAAGGAAATGACATAAATTTTTCCCTCATCCCTCATTTTCCTCATGACATTGAGAGGTTGAAACTAATTATTACATCTCAATGGGTAAAATCAGTGGTTTCCTCTCTTTTAGATGTGTCCCCTAATCTTGATTTAGATGCAAGAAATCAAAGGGATAAATGGATGAATGAAAATGTGAAAGTGGAGATATATGAAGTTAAGGGAATCCAGTCATTGAATATTGTTGTCAGGAATATCCTAGATGGTGGTGTCAACTGTTCTCGAAGAATCGATAGGCATGGAAAGACCATTTCAGATCTCATACTGTCTCAACAAGTTGTGTTGCCTCCATCTTAATATGATTTGCTGTACTATGGAAATGTTCCCATGAGTTTCATCTTGTGCCATGGTGATTATGGGAATGAATTCACCATTGCAATTTAAAAAAAAAAAAAATTCAAGCTTGGAACTGCTTTAATTGAAGTAGGACTCCTAATATTTTTAATGTTGTCATTGGGGGGGTTATTCAATGATTATTTGATATGGCTCTAAACGAATTTATGAGGAAACTTATTTACTTGTACTTCATAAGAATTAAGGAATGTAGTTAATTTAGTTAGTACTATTAAAATTTTCAATAGTTTAATGTTATTTTTTTTTTCAAGATTATCATTTAGTCTCTTTTTAACTGATTAATTAATGTGAACGAGAGAAATAATTGTGACTTACCATCTTTCCCAATCCTTATGTGATATTTCAAGAAATTAATTTATCATATTTAATTAAGAACTTATTTTTAATAAAAAATATATTAATGTCGTAAACATTTTAAAGATACAAGAAAGATTGATAAACTGTATTTATATGACTTTGAGAAAATTTTATTCATTGAAAAATAATAAATTTGATTAATAATAATTTCAATATAAGATTTATTATGAAATTTTAGGTTTTAATTGAATTTCTTAGAAATATTTCATTGATTAATATTATGAGAAGATTTGTATTATTATGAACAGAGTTTGTTGATAGTTTTGATTAAAATTTCACCTGTTGTCCTTAATTTTTAGGTTGAGAAATTGGATAATTTGGAATAAAGATAAAAAGTATAGAAAATTGATAAATATATCAACAAAAAGAATTAGTTGAAAACAACATAAGTGAAAATAATCGTCTTAGGAATAAATCAATTGTTCTGTTGGCAATATTATTATTATTATTATTATTAATTATTATTATTTTGGTTACTTATCTGATATGCACATTTACTCGTATCTTTTACAGCAAAGAACAAAATAAAGGTTAATATAAAAAAAAATAAAAAAATATGAATTCTTCCAAGAAAGGACACTTTCCTATCATCAATTTTACTGATATTTAATTTTTTATTTGTGTTATATTTTAATAACATTAGCTCCACCGCCACCGTCAAAGCTAGGGTATTCAAACGCGCCTTATCCACCGCCACCGTCAAAGATCACGTCCCTCGCACGTGGCTATCAAATGTGCCGCGACAATAACGAGAAGAAAGTTAAATCCCGAGGCCGTAAAAGCACGTCGAGCGTTCCGTTGAGGAGAAGCGATTTTCTAATCAATAAAGTCAACGAAGAATAAGAAACTTGGGGAGAGGTTTGCAGGTAGTGGTTGCCTACAAATATTTTTTCGGTGAAGGCTTCTACAAGTGCTTCATCCAAGGAGAATACAATGGTGGAACGGAGGTCTAGAGGAAGGGGTAAATTTGGTGGACATCTTGGGAAAGTTTTACTCAATTCCACATCGTACTTTTTTACAAATTTTCCACTTGTTACTAGTATATCAGCCTTGTGGCGAATATTTCAACGGTGGAAAAAGGTGGTTGATGTTTTCATACCTCAAAAGAGTGATAAACGAGGACGTCGCTTTGGTTTTGTCCGTTTTGTGGATGTGGCGGAAGCTAAGAGTTTGGAGGCTAAACTTAGATCTATTGTCATTGGCAGAATGCGCTTGTCTATCAATTTGACGAGGCATGTAAGGGAAAAAACTGTGGGAACAAAGGTGTCTGCGAAGGGCAGTGAAACGAGACACTCCTTTGTCATAGGAGCTACAAAGACGTCAGGGAACACGTATGCGGAAAAGCTTAAAGCACCCCGTCTAGTTGACACACACATAGGGCAGAAGTGGGTGGAAAAGAAGAAACCTTGGGCTCACCTTGAGTTTGAGGTGGATGAAGGGCGAATTGAGGAGTGTAGAGGTGCTATGGTTGGACGCCTTCACAGAAAACAGGATTTAAAAAATATGCGCGGGGCTCTTCTGCGAGAAGGTATGTTGGATATTAATCTCACGACCATGGGAGATGATATGGTGTTGGTAGAATCTGATGCGGGGGTAAATTTAGCGGATACAGTATCGCTCAACAAATTGTGGTGGGAGAAATGGTTCTATGATCTACGAGAGTGGCAACCAAGTATGGTAGCTGTGCGGAGGGTGACTTGGGTACGTTGTTATGGGGTCCCTTTGCATGCTTGGGGTGAATTATTCTTCCGTAAGTTGGTTTCTTCGCTTGGTGATTTTATCCAGATAGACCAAGTCACGGAAGAAAGACGACGATTGGATTATGGGAGGATACAATTAGGTACTACCATTGCTGAGCTTATCAAGCAAAACATTACAGTGAAAATTAATGACCGTTTTTACTCAATAGTCATGCTTGAAGAGCATGCCTGTGACGTATTAGCCGCAACAGAGGAAGGTGTAGTTAACTCTTCTGAGGACGGCAATGACTCTTCTGAGGTTGGTTCAATGGAATTGGAAGCGTTGGATAACTATTCTAGTGAGGAGGAGGGTGTGCTGGAAGGTGATATCAGAAGTAAGGGTTGTGTGGTTGATTCTGTGATTAGGGGTGAAGTGTCAGCAAAAGGGTGTTTGGTGGATGAGGGTTTGGGGGCTAGTGGTGTGGATGCTATGGGTCCGACGGTGGCTATCTGTGATGTTGTAAATGAGCCTTCTGAAAATGTGGAGAGGGGAGTCCAAATAGTAAGAGATGGATTGAATTTGTCAGACCCGTTTGGATTAGATGCATTGATTTGGAAAAATCCAGAAACACGGGATATGAAGACAATTGGGACAATGCAAGTCGATCCCGTTCAATCCAAAAAGGAGAAAGAGAGGGTCAATGTGCGTGAATCCCTTCGGAAGGCACGCTCTGTGAAAGGTAGTCGAGGTAATGAAGGAGGGAAGAGACATAAGAGCGCAGTTTTCATAGAACCTTCTCAAAAAAACCCTAAGAATCATAATAAAGAAGCGTCAATGCCATCGCAACCTAGAGGACAGGTATCGCTAACTGATGAAATCTCAGCTAATGCTTCCAAGAGCTCTGACAACTCGCATCCTTCCAATTCTTCAGTGGAGGTGGGGGAGCGAATGGTTGCTACAGATTGTGATGATGAGGTAATGGCATCGAAGTTACTAGACATTGGCAAGAAGGTTGGTTTGGTTGTACATGGGAATGATGAGCAGGTTCGAGAGAAATTGATTGAGATGGAGGTACGTGATAGAACGATTGCGAAAGAATATGGGGTTCGCTTTGATACTAAATGAAGATTGGCTCATTTAATTGTAGAGGGCTGGGGAGTGCGGTAAAGCAAAAGAAGGTGTGTGAGATTGTTCGCTCTGAAGGTCTGGAGTTCGGGCGATTCAGGAAACAAAACTTGAAATATGTAATAGTAATTTATGTACGCGTTTGTGGGGTTCTGTGAATTTTGATTGGTGTGCCTTGCCTTCCATTGGCAGAAGTGGGGGTATGCTTTCACTTTGGGATACTTCCAAATGTAAAATACTTTTCTCCTTTTCTGGTATTGGATTTCTGGGTGTTTGCTTGCAGGTATTGGCTACTGAAAACCTATGTGTTGTGGTGAATGTCTATGCATCGTGTAGACTAAGTGAGAAGAGAAAGTTATGGGATGATTTGCTCATGACAAGAAGGGGTCTTGGCAAATTTATGTGGTGTATATTGGGTGACTTCAATGCTGTGAGACAAGTGACAGAGAGGAAGGGTTGTCAGGCAGACTATGGTATCTCTGAAATGGAGGGCTTCAATTCTTTCATTCAGGAAATGGAGCTTGTGGATCTTCCACTTGTGGGTAAAAAATTTACATGGATAAAAGGGGATGCTTCTATGATGAGCAGGCTGGATAGAGTCCTTGTTTCTAGTTCCTGGCTTGATTACTGGGGAGATGGTTTTATTCAGGTTTTGAGCAGAGATGTGTCTGATCATTGTCCCATTATTCTTAAGCACAAAGTGGTTAACTGGGGTCCGAAGCCGTTTCGATTTAATAATTGTTGGCTGACTCATAAAGAAGTTGTGGATGTGGTGGAGGAAGCGTGGAAAAGAGATATTACCCTCCCATGGGCTGCCCAGAGAGCTAGCCAGAGGTTAAGGAATATTAAGATTGCATTGAAAAAATGGAATATTGAGGTATTTGGAAATGTTGATAAGGTGATCTCTGATTTGACAACTGAGTTGAGCTTGATTGATGATAAAAATTCTGTAATAGAACTTTCTGATGTGGAGAAAAAGCGTCAACAAATGTTGGTGGGTGATATTTGGAAGGCTAGGAAGAATAGAGAGAGTCTCATAGCCCAAAAAGCTAGGGTGAGATGGGGGAAAGAGGGTGATTTAAATACAAAGTTCTTTCATTTATGTGTTAATGGGAGGCGGCGACAAAATAATATTCATGCGCTCCAAATTGGAGAGAGATGTGTCGAAGAGGTTAATGAGATTAAAACAGGTGTGGTGTCCTATTTTGCGGCCCATTTTAGTAGTAGAAGTTGGCCTCGACCTACTATTGATATTAATAATTTACCAAGAGTCTCTGTTCTACAGAATGAGGAGCTTGTTAATGCTTTTTCGGAGGAAGAAGTGGGAAAGATGATTTTGGAGTGTGAGGGTGATAAAAGTCCGGGGCCTGATGGTTTCAATTTTGTATTCCTTAAGAGGTTTTGGGGAGTGATCAAGGAAGAAGTGATGGGTATGCTTACTGAATTTTATAGAAATGGAAAGCTACCTAAGTCTTTGTTATCTTATTTTGTAGCACTTGTGCCAAAAGTGTCTTGCCCACAACAGATATCTGATTTTCGGCCTATCTCATTATTAGGTTGTCTTTATAAGATTGTTTCCAAGCTTTTGGCAAATAGGTTGAAAGGAGTTTTGGATTCAATAATTTCAGAAGAACAATCAGCCTTTATTCCGGGAAGGAACATGTTAGATAGTGTACTTGTGGCTAATGAAGCAGTTGATTATGTGCGGAGGTATAATAAGAGGTGTTTTGTGTTAAAGCTTGATTATGAAAAGGCGTATGATTCGATAGAGTGGGGATATCTTTTGTTTATGTTACGTAGCTTTGGATTTTCTGACAAATGGGTCAGTTGGATGGAAGCTTGTGTGTGTGGGGGAAGCCTATCAGCTTTGATTAATGGTTGTCCTACATTGGAGGTTCATATTGAGCGGGGCCTAAAACAGGGGGATCCTCTTGCCCCTTTTCTTTTTCTTGTGGCAGCAGAAGGGTTAGGAGTTCTTATGCGGAAGGCAGTGACTAGTGGGTTGTTCTCTGGTGTTACGATTGGGGAAGGGGGACCAGATATTTCTTTGCTGCAGTTTGCGGATGACACATTGATTATGGGAGAGGCTTCGGTGCAGAATTTGTGGACTTTGAAAGCAGTATTACGTAGCTTTGAATTAATGTCAGGTATGAAAATTAACTTCCATAAATCTTTTGTATTGGGGATTAATACTGGTGATGACTTTGAAAACTTGGCTGCGGAGTTCCTACATTGTAAGATTGGTAGTTTCCCATTAAAGTATCTCGGATTACAATTAGGTGTTAACCCGAGAAAGCCTAGTGCATGGAAGGGTGTGTTAGAGGCTCTTAAAAAGCGGTTAGCGTCATGGAAGCATAGGTATTTATCGATTGGAGGTAGGGTGACTTTGATTGATGCCGTTCTTAATTCTATGCCATTGCACTCGTTATCCTTTTTTAAGGTGCCGAAGTCGGTAATAAAGGAAATTGTCACTATCCAACAGAATTTTTTATGGAAGGGTGTTAAGGATGGATCTAAAATCCCCTGGGTGAAATGGAAAACTGTATGTAGACTGCGGAAGAATGGTGGCTTGGGCATTAGGAATGTGCAGTGGTTTAATTGAGCGCTTCTTGGTAAATGGTTGTGGCGAGGTGTTAACTGTTCTAGTTCATTGTGGGTGCGGGTGTTGGAATCTAGATATGGAAGATTAGCTTCTTCTCTTCAGCGTTCATCAGTTCACAACAGATGTTCTTTGTGGTGGCGTGATTTGCTGGAGGTTATTCATCAAGGGAATTCATGGCTGGATGAGAAGTTTGATAGAAGTGTGGGTGCAGGTTTTCACACTCTCTTTTGGAGAGATAAGTGGGTAGGAGGGGTGCGATTGTGTGAAGCATTTCCGCGATTATTTGCAGTGGCGAGAAATGCTGAATCATGTGTATTGGAGAATGGTTTTCATGATGGCACTAGATGGGTTTGGAATGTTAGTTGGCGAAGAGGACTCTTTCAACATGAGATCTTGAGCTTTAATCTTTTGTTGGAGCTTGTGGATGGAGTTTCTATTAAGTTACTACAAGAAGATAAATGGGTATGGAGGGTAGATTCTTCAGGTTGTTATTCAGTGCAATCTGCGTATTCATGGCTATTTAAACTTTTTGGTGGTCCTAATAGTGTAGATCAGTGTACGGCAGATGCTTGCAAAGGCTATGGAGAGGGAAGGTCCCTCTTAAGTGTCTGGTTTTTTCTTGGCAATTGTTGTTGAATGCACTTCCTTGTAAAGGTTTACTGATTGATCGTGGTGTTCAAATTGATGATATAACTTGTTGCTTCTGTCATGGTTTGGAGGAACTTCCAACTCATTTATTTTTAACGTGCTCAGTTTCATCTCAAATCTGGTACTTTACTGCGCGTTGGCTTGGATTCTCACTGGTTCTGCCTTCAGATTTATCGACTCACTTGCTTTCTTGGGTTGGTGTTGGCTGTAGTAAAAGAGAAGGAATATGCTTATTAATTATTTGGGTAAGTACAGTGTGGTCTTTATGGTTGCATAGAAATAGAATTATATTTTCCAATGGTGTTTTGGATGAGAGGAAAGTCCTAGATTCTATTATTCTGAGATCCTGGAAATGGTTATCACTTGTTAGTAAGGGAGAAGCTATTATGTTAGCTGATTGGTATTTGAACCCACGAAATTGCATCTGTCTTAATTTTGTATAAGTATATTTTTGCTTTTTATTTCTCTGAGTAAGTAGTTTTGTGTATATGGGTTTTGAGTTCCCCTTGAACTCTTTTTAATAAAATTTGTTTTGCCTATAAAAAAAAAAAATGACTAGAAGAAGTGATACATTATCCACATGAGTATGTAACTACAAAAAATTAATATGAAAAGTATTAACTCATTAAGAAATAAAGTTTAGACCAAATAAAAAAAATTATTGATAATTTTTACGATTATTTGGTGGCAAATTTTTCTAACAATTATCACTATATATGTAATATGTAAATCACTTATCCAATTCATATAATAAGATATAACACATATCATATATTATTATCATCATTCATCTTTCATGTCCAAATTCTTTCAAACATACCCTCGTCCGATTCATATCAAAATTCTATTTAACCAACATATTTTTATTCGAGTCATTATTCATATAACTTGCTTCATAAATATGTCATACTTACTTCATAAATATCTCCATGATAATCCGCTGCTATAGTTTTTATGAATAATTTGCATGTATGAATAAGTTCATTTTAGCATAACATAATATATTTGAATTTTTTCTTATTATTTTTTCACTTTTCCTTAATATCTTTTCTTATACCCATAATTTCCATGGCCAAAATGACATGACATAACAAAAGTATTGTGTTCTATCACCATGACATATCATCTGGCCATGATATAAAATTTAATCCAATAAAATATACAGGGTAGAGAAAAATATAAAAAATAGAGAAATTTATTATAAAATTTAATAATAAATATTATTTTTAAATATTTATTTTTTAATCAAGTTTAATAGTATCATATGATCTATCTAATTAACTTTATCTTGTAGAATAAAACTTGATTGTTGTTGTCTAGTAAATAAAAATAACATTCTTATGTTATTAAAATTTAATTTTTTTCAACTTTTTTTTTTTTTGCAGTTTCCAATTTCTTTATTAACAATTAAATTTAACATTTTGTTTTTATCAATCTGTACAACGCGCGATTTTGTATATAATTATATAATTGATCCACCAACTATATAATGTATGATTCCAATTTTCAGTAATATTAAAATAAGTTTTTTTATTTTTTATTTTATAGATTCTTCTAAACAATTACAATTCCAATTAGGATATAGCATTATTTCTGCTCTCTCTCTCTCTCTCTTTCTCTTAACATTGTTTTTTTTTTTTACTAACTTTATAAACATCTTAATTATGTAACCCGAAACTGAACATAAAATTCACAAACAAGTTACAAAAATAGTATATAAAAAAGAGTTGGAAATAGCTATTTTTATTGCATGCCATAATTTCCAATCATTGAAATGTTCAAAGTACCAACCTGTTTTCACTCAAATCAATTGGATCATACCCACAAATGACATAATTAGTTTTCCAAATTGGCTTCACAGAATTGTGGGTCTCCAATCACTTGTCAACAATTTACAACGGGTAGATGTTGATATAAGGTACATTTGCAAAGACATATCCAAGACTTTGTTCAATCCCCATTTGTCTGAGGCGTGCACTCTTGTTGAACTTTCTCTTTGTTCCTCAGACATCCCTGAAGGGTTAAAAGAAGAACATAAACAAAAGAAGAAAAAGGTGTTGTTGAGGAAGGAGAGAAAACATGTCATTCACAGGAACCCTTGATAAATGCGCAGCATGTGATAAGACTGTTTATGTGGTTGATTTGTTAACTCTTGAAGGTATTCCTTATCACAAAAATTGCTTCAAATGCAGCCATTGCAAGGGATATCTTACGGTATATATACCTCTCTCCCATACCCTTCATTTTCTTGCTTCTTCTCCTTTCAATTTTATTATTGTTTCTTCAATTTCTAGTTTCATATGCAAAATGAGAAACAATACTAAAAGTAATTATATTTTTACACTCTTGTTTTTTTATATTTATTTTACATCCTCTCTTTTTTATATATTTTTTTTATCCCTTTTATTCTTCTTCTTTGTCTCTTTTTCTCTTTTACCTACATGAGGATGAAAATATAAAAACCGTAATATTAATAGAGTAAAAGGTAATTTTGTCTTATTTCTTGTATAAGATTTTAAATAGTGATATTTTACAACTAGAAAGTACAAGAATGCCACTTTTATTTTATTTTTTGTTTTCATAATTTTGTGAAAGAAAGCATGAAATATAATAAAATTATATTTTCAAAATTTTGAAAACAAGAAATAAAATAAAAATATTGTTACAATAATGTAATTGTTAATGAAAATATATCATCTTAAAATGAAAACAAAAACAATTCAAAGCAATCCTCTTTTGGCATTCTATTATTCAGTTAAAAATTTGTGAACGAAATTATTGGATAACTAATTGCAGGCTTGATAAAGATTATTTTTGTTTTTTTTTTTTAAAAAACCCTTAAAGATTTTGATTACTAGTTCTTTTGAATACAAAATACGTTAATCCACACACACATTAAACTAACTTGATATGATACCATTGTTAAAAAAAATGTCCTTTAAACATTGTTCCTAAATGGGGGGTTGCCAATATTATAGTATTTAATGTTGGTCAGATGAGCACATACTCCTCAATGGATGGAGTTCTCTATTGCAAGCCACATTTTGAACAGCTTTTCAAGGAATCAGGCAATTTCAGCAAGAACTTTCAAACTGGTAAGATCAAGTTTTTCTCATTAATGCAACCTCACAAGGTACAAGTAGATATGTGCATGCCACTTTCTGTTAATTACGCTAATAACGTATGTTGTTTTCTTGATTGTAAATGTTACAGCAAAGTCTTCTGAGAAACAAAACGAGCTGGTATGTTCACTATCCTACCTTATACTTCATAGACATCTAACTCCCTTATGTACACTTTTATTATAATATAATTATATCATTTTTTTTAACATGTATTCAAGGATACACAATAAAAAAAACTAGTGCATTAATTTTGATATTTTTATAAAAATTTATCATATATAGGTTTCTATTGCATATCCTTCGATATATGATAAAAGAAATTAAAATGATATATAAATAATTCCTGTGTGCTATTTCTAACAAGTTATATATCATGATCAATAGCAGAATAGGGCCCCGAGTAGGGTATCTTCTATGTTCAGTGGAACCCTGGACAAATGTGCAGTTTGCTCAAAAACAGTCTACCCACTGGAAAAGGTTTGTAATCTTTGTATCTTTATGATATAATAAATATTTTATTTTTTCATAAAATATTTTTACTTTTTATTGTTAAGGATGATGTTAACAAAACTATTGAAAAATTTAATATATCCCTACTATATGAAATACTTTTCATAATTTGATCGTAAATTGATTTCTTATCACTTGGAATAGAATTTTGATTAAACAAAACTAATTAACCATAAAATTTTGCTTTTATTAAATAGGTGACACTGGAAGGAGAATGCTACCACAAGACTTGCTTTAGGTGTGCTCATGCAGGGTGCCCTCTCACACATTCAAGCTATGCTGCTCTTGATGGTGTCCTCTACTGTAGGGTCCATTTTGCACAACTTTTCATGGAGAAAGGGAACTATAGCCATGTCCTTCAAGCTGCTGCACACAAGAGGACTGGTTCCTCTACACCTCCTGAGCCAATTGAGGAGCCATCACATCCACCACCAGCTGATGATGAGGACCAAAAAGAAGACACCTCTTGAATGAAATGAGATGGGAAACATGAATTGCTTCACTTTGAAGCACACCATCTAGTTCCCTCTCATAACATTTCATCACAAATTATTTTTTTAGTTTCATTGTAAACTATTTAACTTGAGAGGTTTGTTTATGCATTCATATGTTTCAAACACAAGTTTGATCAGTACAATTAATGCATTCTTTTATTCCTTTTGTTGGAATTTTTATTTTATCCTGCAATCATTTCAGTGACCAGTGATATCATATATCTCAATCTCATATATATATTTGATTGCAATTTTGCACTTATTTACATTATAGGTCTTTGTTATCAACTAATATGGGATGAATGGATTTTTTTTATTAAAATTATGATACAATTATATAAAATTACGGTGGAGTGTGCTAATAAACTTTTTTATTAAATTTTTTATTTTTAATTTCTTAACTAACTTTCATTAGAGTGTTAATTAAAATTCTTATGAGTGACATTAGGAAACATTGTTGGCTTTATTTGGTTAACCTTCCCAAAGATTTGATGGACTTAACACTTGAGCCTGTGATGTCGTTCATGGGTGCAACCCCTTAATCTAAATGTAGCCACGAGTATCCTTAATTAAAAAAAACAAAAATTGCACTCTTACCGTTAATTATTGCTTGTGACCGAATAGAAATCACTTGATCCAACAAGTGACAAAAAAATTGAGTGATAGTATTGAAAAATGTAAAATTATAGGAAAAAAGTATATTTATTCTAAAATCTATCATGTTTAGTTAATAATTTGAGTCATCTAATAACTTAATATGTATATGTGATTGATTAGTGGTTAATTGCTTCTAATTTATATGTTATGCATTAGTTTGTATTCAAATACATTTATCCATTATATATATAAGCTATTTACCGATTTTCTTTCTACGCTATATTTTAACAACAAAATCTTCCAAAAAGTTTCAAATAACATTATTAATAACTTACATATTAATTATTTCTTTTATTTGTTATATTGGATGTGCAAACTTAAATATGTGAGATATTAAGGGATTTTTTTAAATATTTAAGAAAGGTGTGTTCATTATTCTTCTTTCAGGAGTAAATCACTCGTGCTCTAATGTAATACTTTTCTCCAAAATAAATAATAGATAAAAGATATTCAATTACTCAAATTAACATAGGTATTAAGAGACTTGTCAATATGTGTATTATGTGTACGAGTGAAGAGGTACCATCGTCAATATTTATATAAATTAACTATTTATAGTGTGAGTGTACATCTCATCCTAAATATAAGAATGTGAATCCCCTAAAACTTCACACACTTTTTAGACCTTAACATGAACCCTAATGTATAAGCTAACTAACATGTATTAATATTTTATATTGTACTAATCTTAATTACTGGAACTTAGAATGAAGATAGATAACAAAAAGGTTTAATTAAGCTTTAAATCTCTACGAAAGTCACATAATTTAAACTTAATATCTATATTTCTTTTATAAATTAATGTTAACATGGCCTATTAAAACACTGATAAGTATTAATTTTTGGATCAAATTATATCTTAACATAATATATTATATATAAATTTTATTGGATCAAATATTTAATTAACTCACGAAAACACATAAATTTTGTTGATAGTATAAATATTTGCTAAATTTGATTCAAAGGAGGAGAATATGCCTCTGTATATTACTGACAGAAAATGACAAATTATGTTTGGGATATTTACTTAGCAGTTTTTCAGGGTCCATTCATCATAGTTTGAAATCCCGAAATGATTAACGACACTTCACGCGCTGGTATGGCCGCTGAAGATTGACGGTTCAAAGTTTGGAACATACTATTTGATAAAGTAAATATTCTTTAGTTAATTTAATTAATTTATTTGATTAAACTAAATATAATTAATAAAATATTAATAGAAGTTAGTATGAGTGATAAATAGTTTGGTATCTTTTAAGCAAACTCTTAATTTTAAGTTTATGTGTATGTAAAAAAAATTTAAATTTGAGTTAAATTTGGATTAATTCAAAATATTAATATTTAATTTTAGCTTAACATTAAATAATTAAATATATTATGTTATATTATTTTATAATTATTAATAAAATTATAATTAATTAAATTTTAAATTAAATTTTTTTTAACTAATTTTGCACACTAATTGCTTTGCCAGATCAAAATCTTTTATTTATTTTTTTACATTTGAAAATAAATTTTAACAGCTTCAAATTTTTAGAAAATAATTTATTTTTAAAAATATTATTTTTTATTGAAAAAACGTATTTTTACATTTATATTATTAATATAAAATAATTTAAAATAATTTATTAGTATCTATATTTTTAATTAAGTCCTCGCTGCTTAGAAATTTTTAATTATATTTTTATAATATTATTTTATAATTAAATACTTAACAGTTCATGCTATTCTATCTCTTTTTCATAATTATAAATTTCGTTATTTATCAACTTATTTTTTTTCTGATACTCTTTTTTATAATTATTTTTTCTAGGTAAATCTTTTAAATTTTTAAATTCTATTATTTTTAGACATAAATTCAGCACTGCATTGAAAATTTATTTTTAAAATTATATTTATTCTCACATATGTAATATGTAACAATTAAGATATTTTAAATTATAAAACATCATAAAAAAAAATAAGTTTTAAATGACTCTTAAAAATTACTTCTACAAAAAGTTTAGGTTTAGATTCTTACTTTTTTTTACCGTGAATTCAAGCTTTAAGACCAACTTTATATAAATATTTTATTTTATTAAAATATTTAAATATTAGAAAAAATATTTTATTAGTATGCAGAATCCAAATATACTGATAATAATACAACAGTAAAGATATCACATAGTAATAATATAATTTAAAGATTTAAATATATTATTAAATTATATAAAAAATATCATGTTATTAATACTTAACATATATAAAATAATGTAATTATTAAGTATTTAATTAAAAATGTTAAAAAATTATAAGAACTAACATATTAATTTAACATATAATAACTATATTTTCAATAAAAATTTATTACTTTTAAATGTTTAAATTTAATCTTAAAATTTGAGATTAAAAAATATATTAATTTAATTCTTTAAAAATGTTAAGCTTTATTCTTAAAGGCTAGGTTTAAGTAATTTTTTCAAGTGGGTTTAAATAATTATTAATAGTAATTTAAAAAAATGCTATATTAATATATTGGTATCTTAATTTTTAATTTTATTTCGATTTAATTTTTCAACCTTCTCTATTTTCTTATTTTGATTCATTAAATTATAAAATTATTTTAAATAAGTTAATTTTATAAATAAAAATTAATTCTATTAAAAAACTTTTTAATTTTTTTTCCTTAACTTTAGTATGTTTCAACGAAAATTTTTAATTACATTTTTTTATTTTATCATTTATCTACAATACAAATGGCCGTCATGCTGTAAAATCTTGGTTTCTTCTATGGAACAATGGAAACCAATTAGCTAAAAAGGAAAGAAGAAAAAACACTTGTGGATTTCCTCAACATTTAATGATACGTCATTATTATAAATCCAGTTAAGCATCCCAATGAACTTGCAGGATTTATAAATTCTTTTAATTAAATTAATTGTTAGTGATTAAAATGATAAATAACACAATTATGTAAAAACATTTTAGTTCAGAATGGAAGTTTTTAATGAGAAATGAGAGGAAAAAAAAAACTAACAAAAAAATTTGTCAAAATAATCAGTACTACAAATTAGTGAATCAATCTACTAATTTAGTTTTATAAAAATTATTTGTTATTAAAAAAGAAATTTTTATTAATACTTCCTGACTTATTTATAAAAATTAAGTATCTATTCATCAAAATTGATAGAAAACAATTATATAACAATCATTTATATTTCATTCTAAAAATATTCATAGTATTAATTATCTTTTTTATATATTAAATGAATTAATATTTCTGGTAACAAAGATAAAGAATGAATACCATATTAACAAATATTTTACAATAAATAAATGTATTAAAATAGTTTAACATTTAAGACATTTAAAAACAGGTCTATATATTTTTATAATTTAAATAAAAATATTGATAATTTTTTTTATAAATAAAATAAGATGTAATAATATAATAAGTGTTTTTTAAAATAAAAATTTACTACTTTTAGATATTTAATTTTTTTAAATTAATGTTAACACAATTTTTAAACGCTAATTAAGAAATATAAAATAAAAATATTTTATTAAAAATAAAAACCACGTTTACTTTCACTAGTTATTACGAGATTTTCCTACAAATGTGTAAATTTAGTTCTTCCTCGATAAATCTCCACGTGAGATATGTTTGGGCTGGACCTTAATTCCCACGCGCTTTAGCCGCGAGTGAAGAGAAAACTTGTTGAATAATATCCTCTCCCCCTCTCATTACATATCTGCTTGCTCACTTCACTGACCGTTTTGACAAAAAACACGCAACTCATTCGTTTACTCGCATTTTCCCTCTCTCCAAACACACTAACTTCAAATTTTCGTTTCCATTTTCTGGTCGTTTCGGTAATTTCATCAGCCATTCCAACTTCGCGATCCCGAAAACGATTATTTTCTTTTATTTTTGTTTTTAAATTTTCTGTTGAATTGAATGTGAAAAACGAAAATGTTACCACGTGCATGTTTGGATTATGGTTTGCACACTCTAAGATTGACCTTGGAGAGTGCATACTGAATTTTATTTATGAATAATATATCTGGCAAAATTGTGTTTAAAGTTTGAACGATTTTTAGTCTTGTTTTTGTGTTGAACTGTTGATTGTTGAGTTTTCTAATTCGATTGTGGATTCTTTTGTTTTGTTTCAGTTTTTTCGAAGAATTGCTTGTAAAATTTGTTGAAGAGAAGTGATTCTGTGAGAGTGTTTGGTTTTGGAAGATAACACATGGATATAGCTTTTAGCTTATCACGGTCCCGTGTAGTATTGGATGGTTTTGATTCTTGCAATATGTTTGGAGGGGGAGGTTTTGGTTGTGCTTTTCTTGGCAACTCGAGGACTATTCTGAAAGCTCGTTTTAGTGGTATGAACAAGATAGGTAGTAGGAGTAATTCAAGAGTGGTATGTGTTGGAGAATTCAAAGTTTCAAATGGGATGAGGAGTTTGTCATGGAAGAATAATAAAATTTGTAGGGGAAGTAGGGAAATTTGGTTTAAGTGTCAGGGGAATGATTCTTTAGCATATGTCAATGGCAATGGACGGAATGTTGATGATGTGAAAGGTGCAGATGGGGACTCTGATTTGAGGTCCATTTCCAGTGCTGAATTGAGTGAACCTTTTGGAGAAGAAAAAGAAGGGCAAGGAGGGAGGAAAGAATTAGAGGTAGAGGTACAAAATGTGGATGAATTGAAAGAACTGTTGCAGAAGGCCATAAAAGAACTAGAAGCTGCTCGAGTAAACAGTATTGTGTTTGAGGAAAAGGTTAAAAAGATAGCAGAGACTGCTATTTTTTTGCAGGATGAAGCTGCAAGTGCTTGGAACAATGTTACTTCTACCCTTGATACCATCCAAGATATTGTGGGTCAAGAATTTGTTGTCAAAGAAGCTGTTCAGAAAGCAACAATGGCTCTTTCTCTGGCTGAGGCAAGGCTTCAAGTAGCCATAGAATCTCTGGAGGTTGTGAAAGAAGTTTATGATTCCCCACAAGGTTCTGACAAGAGAAATGGTGATAAGGATATAACACAAGAGAAGAAAGAACTTTTGGTTGCCCAGGAAGATATCAGGGAGTGTCAGACAAATTTAGCAAATTGTGAGGCTGAGCTGAGGTGCTTACAAAGTAGAAAGGAGGAGTTGCAGAATGAAGTGAATCAATTGCATGAAATTGCAGAACAGGCCCAGCTGAAAGCAGGGAAAGCGGAAGAAGATGTCACAAACATAATGTTTTTGGCAGAGCAAGCTGTTGCCGTTGAACTTGAGGCTGCACAACATGTGAATGATGCAGAAATTGCATTACTGAAAGCAGACAAGTCTGCATCTAGTTTTAATTCTGATACCAAAGACACTCTACAAGTACAAGATGTTGTGGCCATTCCTGAGGAGGAGAATGTGGTTCAAAGTTTTTCTAGTGATAATGCTGATAAAAGAGAGGTTGATTTCTCTATTGGTGATGAACCTTTGCTTGCCATGCGATCACCAGAAACACAATCCGATAAAAGCAGCCAAAGTATAGAAGACATGATGCAGTCTGATTATCTGAGTGATCATGAGAATGGACAGTTAAACCTAGACTCTTCTAGAGAAACTGAAGTCGAAAAAGACAAGTCAAAAATTGTAGTTCAAACAAAAAAGCAGGAAACACAGAAAGATTTGAGTAGAGATAATTCACCAATTGCTCCCAAGACATTATTGAAGAAGTCTTCCCGATTTTTTCCAGCATCATTCTTCTCTTTTACTGCAGATGAGACTGAATACAAACCAGCATCAGTTTTCCATGGTCTTGTGGAGTCTGCACAGAAGCAGTTAGCCAAGCTGGTTCTTGGGTTACTGTTAATTGGAGCAGGGTGTGTATGATCTTTCTTTATCCTGCTGTTTTTCTTGCTGTTATTTTTATTTCAACCTTTTCAGAAAAATCTCAAAGTATATTAATCCTGTGGCTGGCATACAATATTCACGGAATAGGAGTAATAAATACAAAATATTTGAATAACAATTCTTAAATTTGGGCTAAGGCCTAACTCAACCTTAAAAGCCAGTTTGTAGTGTGAAAATTGTCTTAGCCTTTATAATATCTTATTTGACCATATCTGTAGTTGATTTGGGACTTAATTATCCCCTTCATGTTCAAGATTGGACATTTAGAGCATGAAAATTGTAAGTTTAATTTTTTCTTTTTATGTTGCATTGGAAAAGTTGCAGGGCCAGGTAAGTAGCACTGAAAAAGTTGTGGGACCATGTAAGTTGCGCTGGAAAATCCATAGGATCAGGTTAATTGTATTGGAAAAATCCGTAGGATCAGTTTTCTTTTTTTTTTTTTTTCAATCAAGGGTGGACTAATATTAGATCTATGATAGGCTTGATACTATCTTAACTTTTGAGTTAAAGCTTAATTCAACCCCAAAAACTAGCTCATAGAGTGAGAATTGTTTTAGTCTTTATAAATAGTCAATGTGAGACTTCAACAACAATTTTTATCTTTTTGTGTGATGTGATAGAAAAACATTGGGGCTTAAATATTCCCTGATTTTTTCAAAAACTGATTGAGAAATTAAAATCCTACCTTGGGGAGGGAATTGGGATTTATGCCCTTCAATGTGATACCTTCATTCAAGTTGTTTTGTCCATTTTAAGGAAGATTACTTTGTGCCTTTGTGTTTTATCAATAAGATGCAAGGATCAATATGAAGGTTTTACTCTGTTTTTCAAGAAGTGGTGGAACTTTATTTCAGGGTTGCGTTCTATGCCAATAGAGCAGAGAGGAGTGCTCAACTACTTCAGCAGCCAGAAGTCATTGCAACCACTGTTGAAGAAGTTTCTTCAAGTGCAAAGCCTCTGGTTAGACAATTTCAGGAGCTTCCTTGGAGAATTAAGAAAATTATCACATCATTACCTGATCAAGAGGTTAGTTTTTCTTGTTCTTATGCTCAATTTACTAAGTTTTATCTGACTCTGCACGGTATTTATCTTAGGTAAATGAGGAGGAAGCCTCCCTCTTTGACATGCTCTGGTTACTACTTGCAAGTGTTGTATTTGTCCCGATATTTCAAAAGATTCCTGGAGGTAACTAGATTGCCATGTTTTCTTGATGTTGGATTGAACATAGTCTCTCAAAATTATAACAAAGTTGCTTATCCAAAATTATACTTTAGCTTCAATGTGCTTAGGTACCAAACTCTATTTAGTTATATATTGCTTACGTGAAACTTTGACGTACAGATTTTCTTAGCTTGTTTTTTCTGTTCATGATTATTTTCCTAGGTCTCTATTTGTTAGTTTGGTTATGATAATAATTGAAGTTGCTATGCTTAAAGCAAATTTGGTTACTTAAAATTAAAAGGAAAAATGTACTGCTCTCATAGGTTTCTAATCATTATCTAAATTATGTTTTGGGATGCAGGAATTTTTTTTTTAAGTCATAACTTGATAAAATTGATTCTGACAAGCCATCTATCTGCAACAATGTTTAGGGAGTCCTGTTCTTGGCTACTTGGCTGCTGGTATCTTGATTGGGCCTTATGGTCTCTCCATCATTCGTCATGTTCATGGGACAAAAGCAATAGCTGAGTTTGGAGTTGTTTTCTTGTTATTCAATATTGGCCTAGAGGTGGAGTTTCCCATAAGATCTTGTTCGCCTTAGCTTTGATTATCTACATAATAAAAAAAACCTGAAGCTCTTATCTGTTTTTTGTAGCTCTCTGTTGAAAGGCTTAGTTCAATGAAGAAATATGTCTTTGGATTAGGCTCTGCTCAGGTGATTGGAAAACTCCATCTTCCATCCTTGTTATTGTTCACCTCAGGCTATTCTATTTATATGCTACTAATGTATAAGCTAACAATTCTTAGCATGTATGGAAAAATGTAGGTTTTGGTGACTGCTGTAGTTGTTGGCTTAGTGGCTCATTATATTTGTGGCCAAGCTGGTCCTGCTGCTATTGTCATTGGGAATGGCCTGGCATTATCATCAACTGCTGTTGTTCTGCAGGTAAATAATTTAACAACTGTTTGCTTTTAATTTTGCACCGTGTGGTATACATTCACAGTCTACGACTCCAGCTTTATGGTTCTATTCAATGTAGATCCAAATAAAAGTGATATGTACTTTATCATGAAGTATAATTGTAAAAGGATTTTGTCGTAGTCCACATGCGTTAATAATGTCTTTATGGTTGTCATTAGTTAATGGAGCTTGATGTCTATAGATGTAACAGATGCTGTGCTTTGATTTGAAAGATTTCAAGATTGTTCCTTTTATTTTATACTTTCAATTTCATTTCTGCTGAGTCTGTCATGTGGCAATAATTCAGTGAACTTGTTTTGCAGGTGTTACAGGAGAGAGGGGAGAGCACATCACGGCATGGAAGAGCTACATTTTCTGTTTTGCTCTTTCAGGTTTCTTAGGACCTTACCCTTCTATCTAGAAACTGCAGGATTTTCTTGTAAAATAAAGCATTAGATGATATAATAGTTGCAATATATAGTTTGCTAATCTAGTAGGTGCCATTCACAGATTGGATTCTGTCAGTTTTGTGGAGAAAAGTTATTTGATCCAATCCCTTTGTTCTTTTTCAATTTAATTTTATCTTAACATCCAATCAGTTTAGTTTTAAATATCCAATCAAAACTGGTTTAGATTTAATCAATTTTTGGTTTTGTTCTTTTTTTTAAAATAACTAATAAATAAACCTTAAAGTACACAATAACTATAATAGATTTCATTTGAGATTCAAACTATTGAAAAAGAATTTAATAATATCACAACTAGCATTTTTAGGTTACAAACTAATGGTGAAAATATCTATCGATACAAGTGTAGATGGTATGATAATTTCAAACATAAAATTATATATGTTCACATAAGTTCATTTTGGATTGAATTGGATTGGTTTTAAAATTAGATTTGAAACCCAATCCAATCCGATGCTGTTTTTTTTTTTTTAACTTTTAGGTTTGGTATTTGTGGTTTACATTAGATTAGATCATTTCATGAGCACTTTTATTATCTTGGAAATGCATAAGGATAAATAATAAACACATGCGTAAGAATAAATAACAAACAGGCACAGAAGGATAAAATACTAACTTATCCTAATCCGAAATAAATAATCCCTATCCTTTGACATATACTAAACAAGCATTGTGCTAGTGAAGAAGAATGGAATTGTGAAACTAAAATCTGCAATTTTGTGTTGGGGTATTTGGCTGTGCACATCTAACCTTTGTCACTCAAGTACTTATATATGTATGTATAGATTCTCAACTAGCATCCTCTATCTCTATATTGTTTATTGTTATGTTAATCTGTCATTTATGACATTGATTGTTTGTTATTAGCTCTTAACCATCTTTTGATTTGCAATATGTTGACCAAAATTGACTATTTCTTTGTTTATATTCAGGATTTGGCTGTTGTTGTCTTGCTAATACTCATACCTCTTATTTCACCTAATTCTTCCAAAGGAGGGGTAACTTTTTCTAGCATTGTTTATCTTAAATATGTATATCAGATAGCATGAGTTTGGCTACTTATAGTTGTATGAACTCCTGTGTAGCATGACACAGTTTATGACTAAGGGTGTTTTGAGCGAATCATTTTCTCTCTCTCCCCCCCCCCCCCCCCCATCTCTTCCCCAAAACAATGTGGGAGTCCTTTATTGTTTAGAGAACTTGCAGAATTGCATTTAATTAGATAATTTAGTTTGATTTTTTTTTATGATATATGCATTAAAAGGATCAAGACACAGTTTACTCTTTCTAAGTAAAGGTCGTTAATGTTAAATGCTTGATTGGAAGCCATTGACTTTACCTTACTTCTGTCATAATCATCATCATTGTTGCCACCTGTATACTGCTGTTGCTGCCTATGTTGTCTTTTTTGAAATTCTGATTTCTGTTTTCAGGTTGGTTTTCAAGCCATTGCTGAAGCTCTTGGTATGGCAGCTGTTAAGGCAGCGGTTGCCATCACAGCCATAATTGCAGGTGGACGATTGGTAAGTGGTGTTCAGAACAGAGGGGTGGATGTGGTACCCTAGATCTAGATAGCTGATGTTTAATTTTTTTTCTAATTGAAGGAAATATTTACGTTTTCCTGTCAGTTTATCTATTTTTTTTTTCAATAATCTTAATGAGAGTATTTTGTTAAATTCATCATATAAGTGTACATGGGGCATAACAATAAGCCGTCAGTTCTGTTGTTTTGGGGAGATATGATGGTAACTAAAGGTTGATATAGGGTAGAATTGTGGTTCAAATTACTGACCATGTGCTGCAGATTGTATATTTTACAACAATCATTGATCTGTAATATGATGTAGTGCACATTATATTCTACTTATCATGGGGGATGCAAGTTACCAACTAGTACTACTTATCATCTATAGAATGTGTAAACCCTGTTGCTTATATTGGTTGAGATGAGTTTTGTATTGTAGTGGTTGACCATGTGAGGTCTTGATGGAAGTCTGTAGGCCTAGTGGAATTAAAAGGAGCAAGCATTTTGCATATTTAAGTGTCACAATCCTGATTCTGAAACATATACTATAAGCTCTATATTTTGGGTTCATTAGGAAGGCACCTAATGACATTTCTACAATTATGCATATAATTTTGCTTTGTAATTTTTCCTGCTTTTATTTGCACAGCTCCTTCGACCCATATATAAGCAGATTGCTGAAAATCAAAATGCAGAAATATTTTCTGCCAATACCCTCTTTGTTATTCTTGGGACTAGCCTTCTCACAGCCAGGGTAGGTGTTTGTTTGTTGAAGTGATAACTTTTTATTTGTGGTGTGTTAAGCTTACTTTTTTCATTTCTTTACTTAACACAGGCTGGACTTTCCATGGCACTGGGGGCATTTTTGGCTGGTTTACTACTGGCAGAAACTGAATTTTCCTTACAGGTTGAATCTGATATTGCTCCATATCGTGGCCTTCTACTGGGTGTCTTCTTTATGACGGTTTGTGCTTAATATTCAAGTTCAAACGTTAACTATTTGTATTGATTATGTATTCACACAACATCTCTCTATTTTATAGTTTGTTAATCTGCTGGTCAATTACTTATGTTGGAATGATTCTTACATGAATCTTTGGCAGCAAGGAATGTCTGCCTTGAAAGTTGTGACCTTTTGAGCAATTCCAGCTTCAAACTGTGTTATTGATGTAAAGTAATTTTTGTGACTTTTCAGGTTGGAATGTCAATTGATCCAAAACTTTTTGTTTCAAACTTTCCAGTCGTTACAGGGACACTGGGACTCTTAATATGTGGCAAGACTTTGTTGGTTACTTTGATTGGCAGAATTTTTGGTATTTCTCTCATTTCTGCCATTAGGGTTGGTCTTCTTCTTGCTCCTGGGGGAGAGTTTGCGTTTGTGGCTTTTGGTGAAGCTGTTAATCAGGTTTTTGTCACTGAAAACTGATTTCCTTTCTAGAATTCTCTGGTTTATACTAATCATTATATACATTTGAAATACATCATTCTGCCTCTGTTGGTTTTTAACAATATATGCCTCGATGTTTGTAACTCCCAATTTATTTTTGAGGTTCATGATTTTGGATTTTGGTCATTTATTTTTGAAAATAAACTGATTAGTGGATTAATAATATGGTCTCACCACACCAGACAACTGTTGGTAAAAGAAGATTATCTCTGTTATTCTGATTTTTTATGATACAATAAGAGTTTTAAGGTACAACTTCATCTGTTCTATTGCTCAATGACTTGGAAATTTTAAGTAAGTTATCAAGTTTAAGATGGCTTAAGTACATACCTCATGCTCCAATGATATGCTATTATTGCTTGGTTATGTTCTTGGAATGAGTATAGAATTCTATGGAGGTGTCCTGTATTTCAATCACATAAAATACTTGGATGGAATGAAACTCTAGGATTTTTTGAAATAAGAAAACCAATTTATCTATTTTATTGGACATATCGTAAATATTGATTTTATGTGTCCAGCTTGATTGGATGTTTATCTGAATTCTACTGTTGGTTTATATTTAGATTGTGGAGCTTTGCTTGCATGGTTCTTATTTCTATGAATTCTTGTGTAATTTAATTAAAAAATGTCATTTTTACCTAGTATTTTTTTTTTATTTATGATTCTTATTCTCATTTCTGCATCTTCTCCTTTCTATGGATTGCTTTTTATCTTGAAAGTTTGGAAGTTGAAAAATACACAACACAAATCAATCCACTGATAGCTGCTAGGAATTTTTTCCTCAGTGAAATTTAATATACTATAAAGATAATATTTTTACTATTCGACACTTCTGCAGGGCATAATGTCTTCCCAGTTGTCCTCTTTGCTGTTTCTTGTTGTGGGAATTTCAATGGCCCTCACTCCATGGCTAGCTGCAGGAGGCCAGCTACTTGCTTCCCGCTTTGAGCTGCATGATGTTCGAAGTTTATTACCTGTAGAAAGTGAGGTAAGATCACCTGCATGACTGACTGACAGGGAGTTTTATTAATTGCCAAAAGCTGGGAAATTAATAGCAGCACTACATTGCTGGTGGACTGAACACTGCCTTTTTTATTTTACAACTCAATAGATTGTATGTTATATTGCATAAGGTACCAAGGCTAGTGAGGAGGGTACAATGCATCTGTGTAGTATCTAGGTAGTAATAAAAAACAGAGAAATTCTTGTTTCCACCCAGTGTAAGATTTTCCTTTTTTCAAATTACCATTTTGTACCCAAGATACCACTGCCTCCAGGGTAGAACAATTGATGCAGTTAGATCATATTAATTCAACATTTGTTATTTTTTATTTAGATTTGACATGTAAATTTAGTTGTTGACTTCTTTTTGGAGCACATCTTTTACAGACAGACGATTTGCGAGATCATATCATTATTTGTGGATTTGGGCGAGTTGGGCAGGTGAGTTCTTTCTTTTTTGCTTTTACTAATTAGTTTCAATACTCCCTCTTCTTTTCATCTATCGACTTTTGAAAGAAAATTCTGTTATTATCATCTATCTATTTAGAAGTTCAAGACAATATTAATTACTATATTTTCAATTATGCCCTCATCTCTACTTATTTTTAAATACTTTACATACTTCTCATAAATGAGAGAAATAATTGTTGAGGTCGATATAAACATTTCTTAGTCTGTGTTATCTTCTTAAGTGGATGGATAAAAAAGTGGATACTATATATCTTTTTGTTATTTAAATATAACAGTTCACCATTTTGTTGTTTCCAGATCATTGCACAACTTCTTTCTGAGCAACTTATTCCTTTTGTTGCACTAGACGTGAGAAGGTATCTCAACATCTGAAAATATTGCTTTTCTTGTAATTTTTTCTTTTGGATAAATGATTTTGTAACTATCAGGTGGTTTTCAAGATAAGTGGATCTTTTTTATGTTGAAAAAGAAAACAACATTTCTGAATAGAATTGTTAAATGATATATTAAACACTACCTGCCAAGTGCCAAGGGAACAAGGGAAAAGACAAGTATGATACTGGATCTCTTTCTTTATCCACGAGACATCAATTTTTTATTTTCTTGGTGGCATTAAACTGAAATAGAGATAAATCTTTGTGTATTTCTCAGCACTTAAAATAGAGATGAATCCCCATATTGGTTGGTTTATTATTAAATAATATGGGTGCTTAGTGACCAGGATGACAATCTTTGGATGTTTATTAGATTCTATACTAGAGGTTTCTCCAAAAAAGTGTGAACTACCATATATCATGTGTGCAATTCTGGATGGGAACAGCAGATGATGACCTAACCTGTCTCCATATTTGCTATTGTCTTCAGTGATAGAGTGGCAATTGGGCGCTCCCTGGATCTCCCTGTGTACTTTGGAGATGCTGGTAGTCGAGAGGTAGTGCATATGACTTCAGTACTTGAATTTGCTTGCATGTTCATTCCCTGACATGCTTTGTACTACATGATAAGGTCTTACATAAGGTTGGGGCTGAAAGGGCAAGTGCTGCTGCAGTAACTTTAGATTCGCCCGGAGCGAATTATAGAACAGTATGGGCTCTGAGCAAGCACTTCCCAAATGTGAAGACTTTTGTTCGTGCACATGATGTTGATCATGGATTGAATTTAGAGAAGGCTGGAGCTACCGCTGTAATATTATGTTACCTCTTCTATTATTAGTGTTATGATTGCCTTACAGTATACTTTTAAAACAATCAGAAATTCTCTTTTTCTTAAACTACTGCATATGTTTAGCCAAACTGGCTATCATTGGAACACTCACTGTAGATCTTGTCTTCCTTTCCTATTTATCTCTATCACTTGCATTTGCAGGTTGTCCCAGAGACATTGGAACCAAGTCTTCAACTAGCAGCTGCCGTGCTTGCTCAGGTAACTATCATATTGTTGTTTTTATGTTCTAGTATTTTATTAATACCCGTTATCTGATGACAACATTGTTGTTAATTGAGGTAAAAGATTATGTTCATTTCTTCTTGTGGTTGAATCTTTATGTCACAATAGCTGAACCTTTGTTTATTTTCTCTTCATCGTATAAATGATTTACTTAGTTTCTGGTCAAGTTTCTTAGAAATAGTATCATTATATTTTTGCCCTTCATCGCATGGTAAAATTGGTTGCATATCTCATTGAAGACTCTATATGTTCGTACAGTTGATAAGCAGGTAAAAAATAAAATAACCAGATATTTAATTAGGCCTCATTAGAATGAAAACATACAAAGCGACTTCTATGATTTTACCAGTTGATGAAATACTCAATGCTGTGGTCCATAGTTAACTGAGCATTTCTCTCTTCAGGCTAAACTTCCTACGTCGGAGATTGCAGCAACTATAAACGAGTTCAGATCCCGCCATCTGGCTGAGCTCACAGAAGTACGTGTTTCATTTAAACACTTGCACACAGACATGCACAGTGGCTATTTGTCAACTCTGAAGTGGCTATCGTTGAAAATTGCATGATCTTGTACTACTCATTCACTCCTATATGTAGTTGATGTCTGAATCAATTATGTTAACTTCGGTCTATTTGTTTCAGCTATCTGAAACAAGCGGAAGTTCTTTTGGATATGGATATAACAGAGTTATGAGCAGACCCAAATCTCAAACCATAGATTCATCAGATGATACCCAATTCTCTGGAGGGAAACTGGCGACATGAAGATTTACCCCATATAGAAAACGTGGAAGGGTAAAAGAAAATGGAAAAATTCAGAAAAATTATAATTGTAAAAAATTGTATAGCAGCAGAGTAGATGTTCCACAGTCGTGTATATTGTACAGAAATATATCTGCATTGAAGATGCAATCATTATTTTATTTTTCTTGTCAGAAATTTTGGTTCATCATCCTTTCTCAAATTTCTACTAAGGATGATATATCCCGTTTGTAGATGGCATTGATATTGTTTCATATTCTTCGATTCCGCTCCCAAAAGCATTTATAAGATGCCCTCGTATTTCTGTTGTTTATCAAGAGTATAGCAGTTCCCTAAACAAATAGTGCAACTCCTTGTGGTAAAATATAAAATTGTTAAAAGTTCAACAATTATATGTTCTTAATCTTTTAAAGTGTGCATTCTTTACTTTAAATGAGCTTAATCATTGGGTGCTTGTTGATTCCCCGTCTTGATGCCTTACACTACCTGAACTCACCCTCTACTTGATGCTTGTATCATGACAGGGCTATTTCTAAATCATTCAGGTACAAATCATTATAGTCTGTAAAATTCAAAGTAAAAATAAATAAATAAATAAATATAAATATATATATATATATATATATTGGAAATTAAATAAAATTTTTAAATTATATTTTATTGGTTCATATTTTAGTTTTTAAAATTTGATCTAACCCATATTGAATCAAACATGTGTATAAAATTATTTATGAAATTATAATATTAATATATTTTTGTGATCTTATTTTTTAAGTTACATTTTACTATTTAAGTTATATATGTTTAATGGTTTTATATTATTAGTATGAAATTTAGTCATAATCTATTTTATATTAAAAATGTATTTTAATAAAGAATATATAAAAGAAATAAAATATGATAAAATATTTTAATAAAGTTGCAAAATAAATCACAATAAAAGTTAAAAAAAAATGATTAGAAATGGTCATTGTGACATAATTTAAGTTCTTTCTTAATACTCTTAATTTTATGTTTGTTGAAAACTATCTATATTCTCATTTAAGATAATCTGACTAAAATTATTTTCTTTAATAGTTTTAATTTAGAATAATTTATATTAAATTTAGTGATTTAACTTCTATAATAGTGTATTATAAACTATACGTATAATTATATTTCTTTTAGAAAAAGATAATGATTGAAATTTGATAATTTTATAATCTGTTATACGTACACATAATTTATTATAGAGTATTGTTGTGTAATAAAAAAATTTGATAATTATTGTATGAATGATTATGATTTATATAATTTTTATTTTTTTATTTTTTTTATTTTCTAATATAATATTCTACAACTATATTTATCAGAATTTAAATTTAATAAAATAATATTCGCTGGTTGATCCACATCTTTAATGATTTTCCAAGAGTAGCTTCTTTAACTTAAATATAAAGTTTAAAGTTTAAGTTATTTTTTTAAATTAAATATCATCATTACTCTTGAACAATGGTAATTTAATTTTTAAAATTAAATATATTCGTTTAATTCTTAAAATTATCAAATAATAACTATTTTAATTAATATTGAATAAACTTATTTTTGATAAATTAAAACTATAAGATAAATAATTTTTAATTTATGCAAAATCATATATGATAAAATTTTAAAATAATATTTTTAAATTGTAATATTTAATAATAAGTATATTAAATTAAATATTTTTAATAAAAAATATTATTTATGCTTCTTATGACAAGTAATATTGTATGTTGTAAAAATCAGTTAAATAAAAATAAAGTGTGTATTTGAATGAAAAAAAAATAAAGAGAAAACTTAAAATTTTGAAAATTAGTTTTTTACATATCAAATTTAGAAGATAAAATAATAAAAAAATTGTAAAATATAAAAAATTGCTGATAACAAATTTCTAAAAAATGTTAAAAAAATTAAATATACTAAAAGAAAATTTTTAAAATAATAATAAAATATTCTGAAATTTTCAAAGTTGTCATTGATGATTTTTGTCAAGTGTAATTTTTAAAATTTTTCATATTTCTATAATTTTATAAAAAAAAAATCCATATTTTTTGAATTTTTAAATAAAAAACCATAAAAAGGGGAATTTATAATTTTGTGCTAAAATATTTTATTTAGATATTTAATTGATTAAAATTTAACATTTTAAGAATTTTAATAAATTAAAATTAATGAATTTCAATTCCACTGGTATAGCCAGAAGCTGAAAATCTCTCTCCACCATCGCAACGATTTGGTCTTTCTGGAGCTGGCTCTTGTTCCCCCCCCCCCCCCCTCTCTCTCTCTCTCTCTACCTCTTGCATCTTTCCCTGGTTAGTCCCTCTCTCTCTTCTCTCATCTCTGCGTTAAATCTACGATTTCATCCCTTTTGCATCTTTCTCAAGTAAATTTGTTTCAATCATTGTTAGGTTTCCTTTGCTGCTTCCAATGTATGATTTAAATTGAAATATATCCCTTGTCAGATTTAAACTGAAAACAAAATTATTTGTTTTATTTTGATTTGAACTCTACCAATGTTTTGGTTGTAGTATCAATTTTTTTGCCACAGTATCAATAATTAGGTTGTAATATCAGGAATGTGTAGTGAATTGATTAGATTGAGCACACTCATATTGAAGTGGCTCTTACGTAGTATATAGTCTTGCTACGATGTTTATGTCATGTTTATTCTTTCAGCATTTAAATCACATAAAGAGTAGGTATTATCTTGTTTGTTGCCTTTTGTACATTAGCTTGCCTTAAAATCTCTTATTCCACCCACCCAAGTATTATTTGGAGTAACAATCATCATTACACTTGTTTTATAGCAGCCAAAAGAACCCTAATCAAGCCTTTATCCTTGAGCTGCTTTACCTGTAAGAATAAGGGAAAACATTTTTCTGTTTTATTCCTATGAAAAGGCTTTTGTTGATATATCACTACACTAATTTAAGCAAGCTTGTCTTATTTGGAAGTCATTATCTCTAGTTCCATTTCCTCCAGTAAATGACCTCAACTTGGTTTGATTTTCTGAAGTTTAATGTTATGGTTTGCAAACCTGATTGGATTTTGTGTTTGACTAGGAAAAATGAGGCCAACAATGATGCTTAGGGCTCTGAACAAGCAGTTTCTTGGAATTGTTGGTGAAGCTGCAAATACCATTGTTAAGAAGCCAGCAGCACCACTTCCTCCTCCAGTGTCGCACAAACCAGCATTCATTGATGCTTTCCTGTACAAGATGAAGAAGAACCCAAAGCTTTTGGCAAACAAGACCATTTGGTCACGGAGATCCACTATCTTGCCGGAATTTGTTGATTCCACTGTCAAGATTTACAATGGGAAAACCACTATTCGTTGTAAGATCACTGAGGGAAAAGTGGGTCATAAGTTTGGAGAGTTTGCTCTCACCAGGAAACGCAAAACCAGAGAACAAGCCAATGCCAAAAATGTTAAACAACTTAAGAAAAAGAAGTGATTCTTTTTTCTCCATTTGGACAAATTAATTTCATGGAGGTTACATTTTCTTCAATTATTTACATCAGCGTGGTTGTTTCTTAGGTTCTCTAGATAGTTGTTGAAGACCTCTTACAGTTTTCCCAGATAGAATATTGGCAACAAGGACTTTCATGAAATTGGACAGTGATTGCTGTTGAATCAGTTCTTTGACTATTTAAACTCTTTCTTCCGGTTATAATTTAATGTGTGGATGATATATCACTTATTGATCAATTTATGCCCATGACTTTTGGGCGACCTGAATTTTATGGTTGTCAGTTTATGCTGAAACCCGTGCCACTGCACTGGGCTGTCATCATCAGTGTTGAAGTAACATGCTTTTGGAGTGCTTGACAGCTGGTGTCCTTGGAAACATGTATATTTTATTTGTATACGCCGTATTCCTCTGCTGCATAAAATCTCACAAAAGATTGGGAGAGATGGATTTTATCATTCAAACATATGGACTGTATTTAGTTTTATTGTGTATTTGCTCAACCATTTCAAGGCATTTGCTTCCCAGAATGTTGACAGGAAACATATTGCAATGAGGGCATTTGCTGAGGACTTGAAAATACATAGAAACTGATTCAGATAAGAAATCTCTCCTGTGCAAAATTACGAATGGCTCTTGCAGCATTGGCTTGTCTACTCCCCTTGCTTATGGTTGCAAAACCACGGATTCAGCGTTTTAATTACCTAAAATACAGAATTTGGTGAAGTCATCGCCATTATGATGATATCCAATTTTACATAATGATGACAAATTGGTAGGATCAAACAAGTATCGAACACATTTGCATGAAAAGATTATTAATTTCTAAGTAAAGCATTTTCAGTTTCATTTTGAAGACGAAAATTTTCAGAAGATGCCCAACAACTACAAGGCATATTTCCTCCATCCCCTTCCAAACTTGCTACAAATTATCCCTCAGGCGTTTACTAGACACTATTTCTAATTTCATTTGTGTATTGCTTCCACTGAATGCTCCTTTCACAGACTACTACTGGGAAACTTTGAAAATGCTGGAAACAGCTAAATATACCAAACATGGAAACTGATGAAGTTCAATGTGATTCAATCCACAAAACTAAAGACCATTCCCTAACAATCCAAAACGAATCTTATATCTATTCTAACCAAAATGTTCCAGCCTATCTAAAATTTGTTGATTTAGACTGGATATAGACTCGTTTTGCACCGGTGCAATTACATATTCAGTCCTTCCCCAACACACAGCGCAATAAATAAGAAATTCAAGGGAATATCAAGCAGTCTTAATTATGTAATTTTGTTGTGTGTCACGAATTTGAACTCTCAGCACCAGCGAAATTCGATCAGTGGTCACAACTATTTATTTGAAAGATCTATTCGTGCTCCGAATTGATCTATCGCAGTCCTGCTTTGTTGTTTTGTACTCCTGAGAATTGAAACCTGGAACATACCACAACGGAAAAGCATCACTCTCCAAAATTCAAATGGATAGCTGAGAAGTCATAGGGTTAGAGGAGGCAAAAACCATACCAGACACTGAAGGTAAACTACTAAAAGACATCTCTAATAAACCTAAAACATTCTGTAGGAAAAATTTTCTAAGCTATTTAGACCATCAAGTGATGATTTCATAATTAGCATCCTTCATTAAAATCTTGAGTTAAAATTCAGAAATAGTAACAATAATAACAATAATATGAATATCAAGTCTTCATATGATGGTAAACCACAAAGTCATAATTATGCTATACCTTGGGACGTTCCATAGAGCTTCCAAAATATCCTACTCCAAAAGACAACGAAGTATAAGCAGCAGCAATCTCTACAGCTTTCAGCCTTGATGATTTTCCTTGATCCTAGAGAAAATGACAGATTTAAATAATCTTAACAAAACTATTAACTGGAAAAGCTGGCAGGACTCACTGTTATAGAGGCATCTGACTGCACAACCAAGATCCCTGCACTGCTATCAGTACCACATCGAATTCCATCCTCAATAACAGAGCGTAAAATTTTTGTGCAAGCAGAGGCAGCACCAGACTGTGAGCTGAAGGAACGTCAAAGTCAGAAAAATCCATGTATGGAGTATTGCTATAGCAGACATATAAATTGAATTATACAACAATGCTTAAAAATCAAGAGTTTATATATTTCTGAAGCCAATAACAGAATTACACAACATGCTTAAAAATCATGAAAATACAGATATCTGAGAGCAAATCATACAGTGACAATGAAACACAGCACTCCCTAGCTGCAAATCCTTTCATTAGGTGCTCCCCTGCCCCAGATACGCAACAACCAGCCATGAATGAAGCACCAAAGGGACCTTTTGATGATGCCCAACAACCTGAACCATACATTGCTGCCAACCCAACTCTTCCACTAACCTGTTGGGTATTTTGTATATATAATAAATATGAGATATCATTTACTACTCTAACATGGAAGAACGAAGTACTAAAAGCCTAAAAGTAACACAAACCAAGAAAACCATTTTTCACCTTTAGAGCAATGCCACCACTGGAGGCTCCGGATGCTACATGCCCCTCATTGTCTACACAAATAACCCCAACCGTGTCCATTATGCGATCTTCCGGAGCACAAACTGCACCTGCAAGAGCACAAGGGGGGATGATTTTGGCATGATGAAGTTCATCGGGAGAATCACACTTGTAATAATTGATTGCTTGGAAATAAAGATCCTAACCAAGATCATTTTTTCCAAGCTCCTATACTTAGCATTGCAAAATTTTTTTCCAATACTGATTTGGAACCCAACCAGTTAAAGCACTTTAAGAAATTTAAGATTCCCTCTCAAGGGAAGGCTAGAGTTTGGGCTTCAGAAAATTGATCTATCATTGGTGCACAGACTTAAATTTACATTCCTAACATTATGTCATAAGACTACAAGAGTTTGAAGACTAGCATCATCTTTCCCAGTAATATTGCTTCTAGGACAGCAGGCATTTGCTAATTTTCATGCGCAATGGGCCTGTAAGGTTCTTTGGAGCATTCCTGTTTATTGATTTCATGGTTTTGGAAGCAGAAAGTAGGGCTCTAGTGGAAAAATACCTGGCATTGCAGTATTTTGACAGGCAGAAGGGTCACCCTCAGGAGTGTTATCTGTCTTAGATCTAGCAGCATTTTCAACCATGGACTTGTATTTTATCCATTGTGCTTTTGCCCTTTCTGTGACCAGCCACTGTTATGAGATACACAAAGTAGTAATTTTAATTTAAAGTGGAATGACATGACTTAATGATAAGTTCCAGTGCAAAATTTAAATCATAAGTGAAAATATGACCTCATTGGCCTCATGTATACTTGGTGGCAAAGCAATGTCCTTAGACTTAGCCCATTTGCGAGCCCCATCACCCCCTAAGAAGCTGCAATATGTCAAATTTCGTAAGTCTAACAAAGGATATTATCAGGTGAAACACAATGTTACGTAAATGGTTTGGTCATAAAATACAAATGCAAAGATGTAGAAAATGATTACATTGGAGGAATTCGACCCAACAATGGAGATCCCATCATTTGCTCTTTGGCCAATAAAGCAGCAATTTGAATAGCATTTTGAACACCTGGTCTATACTTAACGAATAAATACACAGAAAATGAGCAAATACCTATTTTAGTAACTCAAATTGTAAGTGTCAATCACTTAATCACTAACTTTACATAAACTATACTTTAATCCATAACTTTGCGAAATGATATCCATTTTAGTCCTTTGGAAAAATGAAGTAAAAAAGGACTAAAGATTTGTTTGGTAAACTTAGCTTAAAGTTTATAATTTAGCTGATTGAATTAGTTATTCGGTAAAACTAGCCATATAACTAGTTGAAATGTGTTAAATTACTAAAAAAGAAGTGTTAAGATTATTTTGTGAGTGTAAATTGTTTAAGATGTTAAGGATAAAAGCTTACCAGCTCCTTTTTATTTTTTGTTTACCAAACAATTCAACTAATTTATTCATTTATTGACAAAAAAATACTACAAGCTTTTAAATAAGTTATAAATTAGTATTACCAAACACACTAAAACTCTATTTAGTAAGACTAGCTGAAAGATTATAATATAAATAATGGATTGAATTAGATTTATTTGATAAAAATTAGCTGAAATATTATAAATGACTAAAAAGATATAGAAAATATTGTATTAACATAATATTTGAATTAATGAGGAGGTAGTGATTTAAGGTTTATACCTATATGCAATTCGTTTAAACAGATAAGAATTAAAATGAAATAAAATTATTGGTAACTATAAACTAAATGCTATTTCAACAAGCATTTTAAATGCTGACTTTTAAAAACTATAAGTTCCTTATGTTTGTAATTAAACGATTCTATTAAATTATTTTTCAAAAAAATAAGTGATAATCTTTTTAAATAAACTATGACATCTTATCAAACGCAACCTAAAATGAAAGATTTTTAAAACAATTAAGGACTAAGTACATATTTTTGTAAAATTGAAGATTAAAACTACATACTCTTATAATTTGAGAGGCTAAAATAGATATTTACTCGAGAAAAACCAGTAAAATTCAAAAGTGTATAGACGGGCCATTCTGATTCTGCATAGAACAGAGATGTGTAATTGAAATATGAAAGTACCTGGCACTGCTCCAACAGCACCAAAGGCACCAGATTTTCCGTCCATAATGCTGGCATCGCATTCGACGCCACCGTCCTCCGTCAAATTGGAGCCTCTGCCAGCGTTGGTGTTTGGATCATCCTCCAACACTTGAATGGCGGCTACCACAGCATCTAAGCACAATCCTGAACCCTATAATTATCAAGAGAATGTGAAATGTATAAGAGAGAGAGAGAGAGAGAGAGATTGATATGAAGCAGAATCGAGATTAGGGTTACGTTGGAGAGAACGGAAGCAGCGGCGAGGCAAGCACGGTTCATGGCGGATCTAAGGGCTTTGTCGTTGGAAGGAGAGTGGTAGCCGGCGCCGACGTGAACCGCCACAAAGAACCTTTTTCCCTCTTCCATTCTTCGTTTCACTTTCCCTCATTTCCCCACTTCTCTTAATATAGTTCATACTACAATTTTGAAACCTTGTTATATCTTCCTCTTAGTAATTTTTTTATTATTTTATAAAATTATTAAATGAAAATTTTTATTTTAAAATATAAAAATAATTGATATTTTAATTTAATAATTAGAAGAATATATAAGAATAAAATGTAAAAGAATTTAAAATTAGTAATTCAATTTTTAATGGATATCTAAGGTTATATAATAATAAACTTTTATCTAAAATTATAACATTTAATACAATTAATTTAATAATATTATGTGATTTTTAATAAAATTTATTATATATAAAATAATAAATAATTATTTGACATTAGTTGTGTGAAAAAATGATAAAAATAATAAACTATGAAGGTGACTCTTGATTTAAAAAATAAAAAGTGGATGATTTTTTTCAAAATAAAATAACTAATAAACTTCTTTTTGTAATTTAGATAGTTGAATCTATGATGATATGGTTGAAATTTGAAAGAATAAAATTCTCAAATTAGAGTTTAGAGGGTAATTTGCACAATAATAACAATCAAGTGTTATTGTAACTAAACAAAATATAAAAAATGGTAAGATGGATATTTTCTTTTTACCTGTTAAACAAGCATACACGAGATCTCTGAGTTTATCGTTTTTTACAGGAAGTGCTCATGAAAGATCATGGCAATAACTCCCTAGAATTTGAAGCTTTCATTATTAGAACTTCAACGTAAATTGTCTCCTTAACCTTCTATGAAAATGCACGTCAGTGGCAGGATCATTTTTTATGCATTGTTACTTTGCATACCTCACAAAAGGTCAATAATCTCAACTTAAATTTAACAATTTATAAACTTCTTATTAAATTCCAATAAAATCGCCAACAAAAATGGAAATTCGAATTGCATTTGAAACTTCTGTGAAACCCTTTCATTTTGCAATAAAGCAATGCGTTTTTGAGACCTTGGTATTTGTTGTTGGTCATGTAAATTGCATTGTTGAAATAATTTTAATTTCATAGGAAGAGAGCTTTACACGGATTTATAGTATTTTCAGGGCTAGTAACTGAGAAAAGAAAATTCATACAAGTTGTTAGGATCGAAAAACAGCTTTTTCCTTGCATGACCTATGTTTTCAATCTTATTTATTAAAATTTGGTGTTTTTTTCCCATGCCTATTGGGTATTGAAACCAAAATTCAGTGATTTCTACATATGATGATTTAAGCAACAAAAACAACCAACCTCTGTGCCCAATAGTGCATTCTGATTCATATATTTCGTGATAATTTCCACTCTACTCAATGAAAGGGATAAAAAAAAAATCATGAAATGAATATTTTTTAACCTATAGCCATATACAGCTAGAAATCTATAAGACCAAAAAAATGCAATAAAAACACATAAATCAAGAAATGAAAAGGAAGGACCATCCTTGACAATGACAACAGGAAGCCAACTTTGGTTTTGAGGATGAATGAGATTGCAACCGTTATTTCACGAAAATTAGAGATGTCCTTCAATATGCATATAAATTTTATAAAATTTTCATTTTAGTGTAAGATTTAAAGGAATATCTAAGAGAAAAGTTAATACACAATTTGGTCACTAAATGTGGAACCTTGTATTACTGTGTTCCTTAACAGTACATGTCTACGCTAATTGGTCCAAGAAAGTGTGAATTTGCTAAGAAGTTTATCCTACCATGTTGCCAACTAAAAACAATTTTGTCCCTCAAAGGACTAATTTGTATAGATGAAAACTTTGAAGGACCAAAACAATGTTAGTTTCAACTTTCAGGAGCTAAATTACATATTAACTCCGAAGAGAATTTATGTCAGCATCCAGAATTGAATCAAATTCCTTTTTTGCTCTTCAATCAGATGTCTCCGATTTTGGATAGTTGTTATTTATCAATTCTAACATGAATCATTAACTCACCTTTCTATGGTGTAAATTGGCTATAGTTTTCTTTATATCCATAAAATAGAAGAAAAGGGTAAAAAGAAAAAAAAGCCTGCCATTGTAACACATCATATTTCCTCCTACATATTTTACGACTCACAACACAGCACCACTTGATAAAAATACTTTAGTTGCTTATGTTCTTTTCAATTACTCAAGAGGATCAGCGGTCAGCACAATATCACTAAGATAAATCTTAGTTCATGCTAATAAACTGTTATGTCAAAACTAAAACATCATCCCTAATCATAGCAATTTGCTTTCGTCATGGGTTAAGATTTTTGTGCTGTACGTGGCTTCCTATGAGCTTTCCCTCCTTATGAGTACCAAATTTGTGCCCCATGGTTAATTTAGAGGAATAAAGTCAACCCCAAGTCCCACTCATGGTAAAACTAAAAGCAACATTAATTAGGAAAGGCTCACTAAAATATTTCAGAAATTCATTCAGAAACTCATCTACTTTTTCAGCATTCTCAAGTAACTCACTACTTCTCCATCCAATAATTTTTACAAATTAACTAACAATCATTATTTATAAGAAAATTTGAGTTGGTGCTATATCAGTTACATGCTCTAGAGAATTGATCACATTTCTTGTTTACTTACAATGGCTTTCAAACCTTTAGAATTAATACCATTAACCATCTCATCCACACTTAAAACATTCTTTACTCCCTCAAAAAGTAAAAGAAATAAATGGGCAGAGCAATCACCATGCCCTATTTTCTTGCAACAATTCGCGTTTGTACATTGACATCAATAACCTCATAATTTGATAATAAGATTATAATAATATTTCAACGAGTGAAACAATATAGTATCAACTTACTCACAATCTATCACAAGAGGTAAGTCATGCCCAGGTGATTTTAATTAATACTATTTAAATAACATTGAATCAGCACTTTTTACAATCAAAGATTACTTCAGCTTCACTGTAAACCAAGTTTATAAAATCTAATACAAACACAATTGAGTTTGCTGATATGTGGGAATGTCATCTAGTTCTCTTACAACTTTGCAACTACTAAAGACTCTTGATCAAAATGGTGCCACTTCACTTCGAGAGAAAAATAGGCCAGATGGACCGCCATCAGGTAGCAAAGCCAACCTTACAACACTTTCAGCACCTTCAACCACAGTCAAGAGGCCATGTTGGTAGTTTAAATCTGTTTTAACATACCCAGGGCAAACAGCATTAATGAAAATTGTTGGGTACTTCTTGGCAAGCATCCTTGTGTAGGCATTCAAAACAGCTTTGGAGATTTTATATGCAGGTGAAACAGTAGGCCAGCCTTTGTTTTCTAATAAACTTTCCTTAAAATCTTTCAGAAATTGATTCAAAACCTCATCAAGTTTTTCCTCTGTCAGGCTTTCAACGTCACTTAGGACTTCTTTAGCCCATCCATTTGGTATTAACTGCATCAGCATTAGCAACAGATGTTATGTATGCCCAATCTTCAAATCACAAATATATTACAATGATTGAAGAAACAACACAAGTTTTAAGTTGGGTAAAAATTGGTGGCTTCATTCACCTGTTCACCAGCAGATCAATTTATAGGGAAAAAATGGTTTATTTCCATAATTTTTTATAGGATCAAACACACTGGTTTAAATTGAACAAAAGCTGGCTTCTTGATTGAGATTCCAGACAAAGTAGCACAAGTATATTCTTGGATCACATACCTCCAAATTCCCACGGGTGGACGAAACATTAACAATCCTCGGTGAGTTTGACAATTTTAGAAGGGGAATAAGAGCTTCACACATGTCTTTGGCACCATAGTAGTTTGTTTTAATACCTGCTGCTACAGATTCATATGTTGGAATTATGAATTTAGTCCACTCACGTGTGTCCTACAGTGAACAAGAAGGAAATCAACCCTCTGTTTGCCAACAAAAATATGTGCAAATATGTTCCACCGCAACCAAAACCAATCTTTACAAATAATATGTCCTTCTTAATACCAAAATCCTATCCAAAAAAAGAATATCACAGTATACCTAAATGTTTATCCGACATGGCCTGAGAGGTATTTTGATGGATAATTACTCCAAAAAATCAACAAATTAATAGGATAAAAGAATTTGTTTGGGTTCTAGTTGCATAAACAGCTTCTCTATTCACTTGGGCAACCCTTTTAAGGTTCACAGCAATGCTTTATGGTTGTGACTAATGAAAAAAAACTGGGTCTAGGGTGTAGGTTGGAAACTAAGAAAGGAAAAACTCAGTTTCTATTACATTTAACATTAGAAGGACCAATTTAGGTTTCAGCATTCAATTGTGTTGAAAATTATCTCCTTCTCTAATGCAATAATATATGATGTTGAGCCTACTCAAACTATGAAGCTGCAGACAGCAGATTACAGATTTAAGTAGATTTAAGTATATTCTTAGCCCACGATCAAAATTAACTGAAATCAAATCTCATAAAGTGCAAATTGCCTTTGCTTTGGGGGTGATAAAATGAATAAAATAAATCCAAATGGTCTAGTCTGTCTAGAAAACATACCCCAGTAGTCATTGAAGCTTCCATACCATCAACGTCAACATTTCCACCGACTATTCCTGCATTATTCACCTACACAAAATCCAAACATATCTGGTCATTAAAAAATAATGAATTATGTTTGGGAAGGAAAAAAATAATGAATTATCAAAGAGAACACATTAGACAGAAGAAAAGTAAAATCCAAGGCTTCTTTCATCCCTTAATGAGAGGAATTGGTACCTGGAAATTAGATATGTGCAGATATGAGTAGTAGGATAAATGAAAATTGCAAACTAATCTACAGTATGTTAAGTTCAGAAAGTAGATTAAAAAACTAGGGAACCTGATGGCAAAAGATGGTTTACTTGCATTTGGTACAATCAAGAACATACCTACATACTTGTGTACAAGAAATTGTGTATCTTATGTAACATGCAGTCCATCTTATTTACCCTACATCAACTAATTACAGAGCTAATACAATATATTAAAATGTCAATGGATCTCAAATAGTATTCTAACACTCGCAGAATGTGAAGCTTAATAGGCTGTTGTTACAAATGCAACACACAAACATAAAATGAGAAACCCTATGATGTAAATTAGTAACTAATGCCCAAAACAGCAATACCAAGCAAAACTTCTTTTGTCCTCATAACAGTTCCCATGGTTTATTCTTTCTAGGCTGCACTGGCACAATACCCTTGACTTCACTACAACTGAGGTTATGACTCCCTTGGCAACTCAACCTCCCTCCCTTGAAGTCTACTGTTCTGTACATTTCAATCATGACCCATGGCTGAATCACATCATAACGCAAAGCAGACTTGGCTAGATTTATCTTCTCTTTTGAATCGATCTCAATAACAAATCCCATCATAACATCATAATATTCAACCATCCGTATCATTTAATAAGAAAACGCAATTATGTCCATATATATCAAAAAACTTGAGAGTTGAGACAACCAACAAACCAATCAACAACCAATATCCAAATTACAAAACAATTCATTCATAATAAAAACCACCTGGCTGACAACATGCGTCAATTCTGCTACAACCTATGTCAAAAGACAGACACAGTCAATCATCCACCAGCAGACATGGACTTGCTCGGTTACACATATAGTCATCTGTGTGACTTTTAATTATTACTGAAATATGGGTTTTATTACTGCATAAAAAAGCAATTAACTTTTGGAGTTTAATTAATCTATTTTCTCCATTGAAAAACCCAATTAGTGCATGCGATATTTACCTGATTAAACATAAACAAGAACTAAAATGTAGAAATGGAACACAATAAGAAGGTGAAACTTAACCCCACCAAGATATCTAGTTTTCCGATCTGGGTTTTGATGAAATTTGCAAAGGATGCAATACTATTTGGGTCAGTCACATCAAGCTGATGAAAAACAACTTGGTCAGACAAACCAAGTTGTTTGAGTTCGTCGACAGCTTCAAGACCCCTTTTCTCATCTCTTGCAATCAGCACCGCTTTGATTCCATTAGAAGCCAATTGCTTACACACCTCAAATCCTATCCCTTTGTTTGCTCCTGTGACAACCGCATACCTGCAAAGTAACCATTTTTAGAAACTTAGGCATTTCTAAGTCAAACCCAAACCCAACTAAGTACATGTTTGATTCACTTTTTCTATACCAACTTTTTAAGATATTTTTTGAAAATTAAGTAATTATTTTTCAAAATTAATACCAAACATGAATATGTTGGTTTAACACTTGATTAAGATTTTGACGTTGAGTAAAAGGTGTAACGGAAAAAGGACATGCGTGGTGAACAAAACCTTTTTGCAGCTTCCGCCATTGCTGTTTTATTGAAAACAAAACAAGCCAGCACGCTTCATCAAACGAGGGTTAAGCCAATTTTAACATGGGATTATCGAAATTATTTTAAGAAAAATTTTAGTTTAAGCACTCACTGCGAGAATAATTAATCAAGAGTGATAAACTTTTATTAAAAAATAATTTCATATTTTAAAAATATAAAAAATATTATATTTGTCTTTATGCGTCTCTTATTTGTCTTTATGCGTGTTTTTATTTTTAAAAATATGATGAGGCATTGACCTGTGGTTCATTTTATTAAATTAAATAGTCATTGACATGTGGCTTATTTTATTGAATTAAATTTATAAGTTGGTGTAATTAATTAAAATATTTAATAGAATATGTGATGACTGTAAATTTAATAAATCATTTAAATATTGATGATTGGTATTTAATTTTTGAAGAAATTAGAAGAAAATTGGTAATTATATTTAAAGAGTAAAAATTAAATTGATGTCGTATATATTTGTGGGCATATGTAATTTTATTTTTTCTTTATATTTTAAAAATCTAAAATTTTAGGTTTTTGTACAATTTTACATAGGAATGACGGCTAAAATATTTTCCTCTTGATTTTTTATGAAATTTTGATGGAAAATAAGGTTTTATCTCTCCAATCCTTTTATTTTGTAATGAAATAATGATTCTCATCATTTATAACTTTTTGTAGTTTCTTTTTATTCTAAACATGAGGTTTCATTTTACAATTTATTTTAGTTTATGCATCTTCATTTCTATTATGTCTTGCTAATTTTCTTGGAGTTAAGAAAGGATAAAATTATTATTTTACTCATTGCAATGAACTAAACATTGAATGTAACTCAAGATATAAGTTTTAATTTAATATTTTATTTTTGAACTTAATGACTCTCTGTTTTACGTGAATGTAGTTGATGAAAAGGAACTCATGGCTAAAAAATTGTAAACTTTGTAGAATTGAGATCAAAATATTTGTTATAAATTATCTAAAAATAAAAGTTTATAATGATATGGTCATTTGGGTTTTAATCTTAATACTAAATGTTTTTTGTTTTATCTAAAGGATTAATTAGGAAGCTAAATTCATTTTAGAACCAATTAACTAAGGAATTGGGGTTAAATATTTTAGAAACTGGACTATTAAATTGAGTTATATTTTAGGTTATACACATATTTTATGCAAGGAGAAAATAATAAAAAATTCTGAACTCAACCTACCTTTTAATTAATTTACAACTCATTTTCATTATTTTCTTTAGTTATATATTGTAGTTTAATTTCATTATTAACTAGTTCCTTATATCTAAAATTTTATTTCCATATTTAATTATAATTTTTCAGCATTTACATTTTTTTCATATTCTGCACTATAGTTAATTTTTTAGTTCATATTACAACTTTATTTTTTGATACAATTAATAATATTTTTGTGATCTGGTATTTGACATTGTGTACTTGCCAAAAAGTTATCAAAATACTTTTAATATTTAAATATGATTAGATGAGTTTTTCTAACATCTTTAATTTAAAAATTTGTAATCAAAATTTAAAATTAAATTTATAAAATAATATTTAAAAGAAATAAAAATTATATATAAAAATAAAATTATATTCTCAAAAATAAAAAACAAGCACATATAAATCAATGTTAAGAATTATTTCAGTTAAATATGTGTTCTCAAATTATAATATATTTAAAGTATAAAAAATAATTTTTTAAATTATAAAATAGCTATTTTAAGACATTAAAAATTGATTAGTTTAATATAAATTATCAATTTCACATTTAGAAATGAAAAACGACGATAAACCCAAACTATCTTAGCTTTTCAAATACATTCAACAAATTTTAAATATGCATTTCGTATGTTATAAATCATCTCTTCAGTTTATATCTATATATAATTTTTTAAATTAATTAATCAATCAAGTTCAATGTTTTCCAATCAAAATATTTATTTAATTAGTGGAGACTGAGTGGAGTAGTTGGTCAAAATTAAAATAAAATGTCCAATATGCATGCACCACTCCTCCACATGTAACATTATTTTATGTCAAGTGGTAAATTTTATATGTTTTCAAATATTTGTTTATTTTATATTATAGATGACCATTTCTTCGTTATTTAAAAATCTTAAGGGAATAATCTTATTTAAACTCTAAATTTCAATAGTATTATCCTATAAAAATGGAGATGAAAAAACAAAATTATCTGAAATATATTTGGAGACAATAATATTTTGTCTCGTATAATCTTTCAATTTTTATATAACATAGAAATGGAGCACAAGAAGAAGATGAAGCTTAACCTTCCCAAGATATATATCTAATGTTCTTATATGAATTTTGATGAAATTTGCAAACGATGCAATGCTATTTGGTAAGAATGTTGAAAATTGAATTAAAATGTTTTTAAATCATTAAAATGATATAACAAAATAAAAAAATAAAAGTATTTTATATTATACTTGATTCTCAGTATAAAAGTTAAATTAAATCAACTTGCATTTAAAATATATTTATATTATTTTTCTTAATCTTATAATAAATTTGTGTAAATATGTAGTCCTTTATCTACGTTAGACTCTCATATTTTTCTCTTTTTTGTTAACAAATATTTCATCTTTCAAAGTTCTACCCTCTTTATTTTATTAGTGTCTTTTTTTTATTTTTTTAATAAATTTATTTTTTTCTTGATCACGTATATTTTTTATTAAAAATAATCTTATTTAAGTTAGATATAACTATTACAAATAATAAAGTTGTAATTTTTAATATTTAACATAACTACTTTCATTAGAACTTGGATTCCAACTCTGCCGAAAAATCTTCTAACCAGATTGATAAAACAAAATAAATCAACTGTCAAAAGTAAAAGTAAATTTTTTTTTATGGAATCTTATATTTAAAATAAGACCGAATAAAAAAATCATATATTAATTTTTTTTTATATAAAAATACTAAAATGTATTTTATTGAGAGTATTTATATTTCTTTAAAGAAAATTTGAGATTATTAGTTTGTGATTTATGATGAAATATACTACTTTAAAATTTTTTAATATATTATATACTTAAAATTTTATTTAATAAATATTGTTTATTAAAAAAATTAATCATTAAAACAATATGTACTGATTTGAAATTTTATTTATATTATAATTAATTTTTTAAAATTATTTATTAACAAATAATTTACTGTATTTGTCCTTTGAAAATATAAAATTATAATAAACGAATCAATTTAAAATGTAATGATTGATTTTAATTTCAATTTAATATTAATTTTAAACTAATTCAAATCAAATTACAACTTTTTTTTATAATAAGATCAAATAGTCTTTTTTTTTTTCTTAAGTTCAATTCAAACTGCATCGTAAAGACTCAGGAAGCCTATTCTTGAATGAGTACTGCCCTGGTCTGTTATTCATTATTATTAATGTTCCTTCTTATTTTTTACAAATGTTATAACATTCCTTTTCATATTGCAGTGCACAGCCTCTCTCTGTCTTTTCTGCCTGTTATATATATATATATGAACGAGTTTTGGAAAAAAATTTGTCTTCACTTTTTAACTTAATAATCTTTATATAGTAATTAATTAATATTTTAATTCAAATCAATTAAATTTATTAATTTCTAATTACCAGTTTTGATATATCTTTATCTTTAAGACTGTTTTGAATGGTTTAATTCAAATAAGTTAAATGCATTTATTTCTAATTAACAGTTTTGATATATTCAAAATGTGCATTGTTTGCAACAGATTTGAATCTAAATATTAATGTTTATTTTAAATTTTATTATTGAAAATTGATAACTGATAAAATTACGAAAAACTCTTGAACTTTATAAATTTAGTTTACTATAAAAATAAAAACAAAAAATAAGTAAAAATATATATCTTAAAGTGAAAAAGAAATTGTATTTTATTTGATATATATAAGAGAAAGTACTGGTTGTTTGTTCAAAATAAAATTTTGAACTAAACTTCTTTCAAAATAGTGCATACTATTTCAATGCTTTTTGAAATACAACATGTAAAGGTGGATTGGAAGATAATGGTTCGGATAATTTATTTGTGATTTTATCATCAGTTTTGGAGAGAAATTTGTAATAAGTTTTAGAGGAGAATTTGCCTTCACTCTTTAACATAATAATCTTTATATAATAATTAATTAATATTTAAGGTCATCTTGAATGATTTAATTCAAATAAATTAAATTCATTTATTTTTAATTAGCAATTTTTAGTATATCTTAAAGCGATAAAATATGTTTTTAGTATATTGTAAGTCTTAATGCAATATATGAAATATTTTATATTTTAAATTTTAAAATAACGGGTTAAGTAATGAATATATGATTCAATAATAAGAGTTTAAATTTTGATAGTGATTTCAGAAACACAAAATATGCTTATTCAATAAAAGAATTAATATTTTTTATCTTTAAATTGTATGCTATATAATTTTGTAAGATATATAATTTTATTGCTTCAATAATATTTATCTTAAATTTTTTTAAATATATTAATTTTTTTATTATGAATCTTTATGTTGTGATATCTATGTATATATGTTACATTATTACAAATTAATTATAAGAGTATTTTTAAACTTTATAGAATTAAATTTATAATCTTATAAATTAAAATAATATTTAAGTCTAATTCTTTTACTTTTAAAGTTAATTTACAAATATTTAAAAGTATATTATAAATTTTAATGCAATATATGAAATGATTTTATTAGTAATAATATTAATATATACTAAATAATTTTAATATTATTATAAATATTTTATATAATTATTTTTTATTTTATAATTTTTAATTGTAATATTATATTATAACATAATAATTTATCAATGCATCGCATGTGTCACCTTGCTAGTATATATATATGAAAAATAATCTTCTCACACTAGTATAAACAGTCAGTAAAATAATAAATTATAACCTATTATATGTAAATTAAATAAAAAATTTAAATCAAATATAAATTTTTTTATATTAGTATGAGAAGATCTTACTATATATATATATATATATTAAAAAAAATTTATTATAAATATTTTAAAATAAAACATGTTAACAACTTGTTTTTCAACACAACGTTTGAATGAAGGTAAATGTATTAAATATTTAAAATAAAAATTTTATTATTAAGAATAATTTTAACATAAAATCATTACCTGTAAAAATATATATGTTCTAAATATACATTAATGTTTAATTTATATTTTAAAAATTTAAAAGAAAAAAGTGTAAGAAATATTTTTTCATGTGTTTGAAAATATTATTTTACGTGGATAGAGAAAAGATTTAGTTGAGTCCATTATTTATTATATTAAAGGTTTTACTTTCTTTTATTAAAATATATTTATTATTATTATTATTTTGCACAAATTAGACAAGCTTGACACAATAATTCAAACATAACTCATATATATATATATGTATGATACACAATACATGTATAACTAATTTAATTATAATGAACACATAATCCATTGTTACAATATTATAAACTAGTTTGAAACATGACTGTACCTAAGCTTCAGATATTACTCAATCCATTAACCAAGTTTAAATTTTGTAGTACAACCCTTAATCAAAATGATTTCTCGTCACTCCGAGAGAAAAAGAGGCCAGAAGGACTACCTTGAGGTAGCAATGCCAACCTCACAGCAGCTTCAGCACCTTCATCAGGTGTTAGATAACCGGTATTGAAGTTTATATCTGTTTTCACATAGCCAGGGCAAACTGCATTGATGCAGAATGAAGGGTACTTCTTGGCTAGAATTCTTGTGTAGCCATTTAGAGCAGCTTTTGAGACACAATATGTAGGTAGAGCATAGGGCCATCCTTTGTTTTCTGATGAACCCTCTTTTGAATCCTTTAGAAATTCATTCAAAATTTCATCTATTTTTCCTTCTGTAAGGTTTTCAACATCACTTAGTACTTCTTTAGGCCATCCATTTGGTATATTCTGTAAATAAATATGTAAACAAATAATCATAAGCATCTTTTTCAATGGTGAAATGAAAATTCTAAGTTTCATATATAGCTAATATCATGAGTATTCAAAGCATCATTTTCTTCAACTGAAGTTCTCTTTTTTCCTCTAAAATTCATAATTTGGCATTTAAAACTAAAATTATTAATAAATTAGAAGTTAAACAGAAAGATAAAAATACCTTTAAGTCATTCATTTATTGTTCTCCACCATTATTTATAGATTCATTTACCTTAAAATAAATTGAACTGTAGTACATACAAAATTTGTATAGATGAATAGTGTATTCTTTTAAATAAGAAAATATGATTATATAATTCAAACATCTCTTAAGAGAATGGAATCTAATTACCTTTTAAATCATTGAACCTTTTCTAAACATCATATTTGGTTGTGAAGACAATGTAAACAAATAAATTAAAAATTTTCAAATTTCAAATTTCCAATTTCCAATTTTTATTTAGCAACCAAAGTGGGTATCAAAAGTAATTAGAATCATTCGTTGGGATTTGACCCCTCTTGTTGACAAAAAAATAAAAATAAAAAATTGACCAGTTTCAAAATACCTGTAGCCTTCCCATGGATGAGGAGACATTGACAATATTTGGCGAGGCTGAACACTGGAGAAGGGGAATAAGTGCTTCTGTCAAAGCCTTGGTTCCATAGTAATTTGTTTTAAGACCTACTTCTGTTAATTCATAGGTTTCAGTTGCTATTTTGCTCCAATCATCACGGCTAGGATTTTCCTGCAACCAAAATCAATATACTTATAAGTAGTTTATCACATCTTTTCATCAAGACCATAAATATCTTATCCATTTTATTGATTTTTGGATCACCTGAAATTAAATATGGAATTGGATATATATTTTCTGGTTCTCAATCTAAAAAGTACTCAACAAAAATAGCATGAAATAGGATGAAATAAGGCTAAAACTTGATTATCTACTTTTGTCTCTTAATAATTAACACTCACGTTGTAAGAATTCATTGGTTAAATGATTATCTATGAGATTACTTTATAGTCATACCTAATCAGTTGCATATATCCTGATAATGACTGTATGTAGAGACACTGAATTCACTTAGTATTTATATAATTTTACTTATATTTGTTAATTTATATATTAGCTTAAATATTAGAGAAAAAAAATTGTTAACCTCAACCCTTCAACCAGATTGACTGGTACTCATGCAACTTTGAAAACCTAGCTTGATCAAATATATATGAACTAACCTAGAGCGTATGTTGCACTAACATTATATTAATTACACTAAATTTCATTTTCAACACTAGAAATTATATTCAAACTAACTTTAAATAAGTTGCCTTGACTTTTGTGTAACGCATGAAAGGGGAAAAAATCATATACCTTAAGAATTGCCTCATTCAGAGCCTCAGGGTCCCACTGTGCTCCTGGAATTGCTGCATTGTTTACCTAAAGTTCCAAGTTTCAATTTTATGTGATCATGAAAGATGAATTAGAAACTACGAATCACAAAATGAAAAAATTAGTAAAGAAATATATTCCATGGACTGAATCATAAATCAACTTCTACGTATAAATTATGAATATTAATTATTGAATGATAGGATTTTTAGGAGAAATCTCAAAGGAGAGCATTTTTAAGAGTATTCTTAAAAAAAAAAGGAATTTTTTTAATCCAACTAAGTGATTTTTTGTATATTATGTATTTATTTTTAATTTAATATTAATTTAAATTATAAATTTCTCATGATTTTTTACTTTATTTAATATACTAGAATATTTATTATTAGAAATTATAAAAATTATTATGTTTAAAATTTATAAAACTTATTAAATTAAAAAATAATCATATAATTTATCTTAAATTATTTATTTTTAAATATTTAATTTAATGATACCTTTTTTGGCATACAAAAAAATTACTAGTTATTAAAAAAATCATTAAGGATCGCTCAAAATTTACTTGTAAATTTTAAAATTAAATAAAAATATTTTGTAGGATCGCTCAAAAATCATATTTATTTACTTGATAATTGAAATACTGTAATTAGGAAATAAATGGACAAGAGGTTGCATGAGTGATACAATCAAGACCTGACATGAGATACAAAAAATAAATTGCTAGTAAATATTTTAAATGTCTATACTAATAAATAATGTTAGTGTATTAATATTTATGCATTGAGAATTTATATTAATGATCTGCGTTAATTAATTTATTTGTTAGTATATATAATATATTTATTAATTATAGATTAATTTGAGATTTATTTTTATCTTTACGCTTTTTTATATATAGTTTTTTTTTTTTTGGTTTCGTATTGAACAATATATATATATATATATAAAAGAAAAAAAAAAGAAATAGGACGAGACATATTACAACAAAAGCAAATGAGTTAATTTTTGAATATAAATTGAGATATATTACTCTTAGGCTTGAAGTAATAATTTCCTCATAAGATGAGATAATTGATCCTTGAGTTAACTTTTATCATACATACTATATATTTCAAAGTTTATTAAATGTTTCTTAAACAAATACGAAAAGAAACAAAATGAAAACCTGATCTAAAATCTATGTTTTAAAATGAATTAATTAAATAAAATATCACTGTTTTCTGAATAATCAATTTAATTCAATCCAATCTAATTAGAGACCACTCTTATTTATAAATACCATTCATAACAAAGAATGAATATTCTATCCATAAAACCAAAAAACATAATATCAGTCAAATGTATTTTCCTATGAGGTACGAGATAGGGCCTAAATCTATATAAACCAATCGTTGACAAAATATCCTAACCACTCGAATATAAGATGAGTATCTTATCCATAAGACCCTCACAGTAAAATTAAAAAAGAGAAGAAAAATTATGGTTTTGTTAATCATAGGATTACATGGTGAAAAAAATGAAATAAACAAAAGTTGGCATTAATTATGTTATTCTAACCACAGTTACAAATCTTGATGATAAAATTAGGAAAATGAAAATCAAAAGAGAAATGATATTTCTTACCAAGATATCGAGTTTTCCATATTGGTTCTTGATAAAATCTGCAATTGATTCTATACTTGCAGGATCTGAAATATCAAGTTGATGAAAAACAACATGGCCAGGGAGAGGAAGCTCTTTCAGTTTGTCAACAGCTTCAAGACCCCTTTTCTCATCTCTGGCTGTTAGCACCACATTGATCCCATTAGAGGCCAATTGTTTGCATATTGCAAACCCAATTCCCTTATTTGCTCCTGTCACAACACCATACCTGCAAACAAGTTAAGGTTACATAAGAGTCATTCCAATTATGTTAATATGAAACTTGTGGATATTAGGTTACACTGAAGAAAGTGATTGAGTTCAGAAGAAAATGTTACCTTTCTGTTAATGCTTGTGCCATTGCTTGTGAAAGAGGAAAGTGCCTGAAAATATGAGTGGACTAAAAGAAGCTAATTTTGGTTTCAATCTAAAACTCGTTTTTTCTTATTTAGTTTCTATAACAAAAATTTGTTTACAAGTTTTTAAACGAAAAAATATTTTTAAAATAATATCTGCTATTAATTTTCGCATAACACCTTTATCACATATTTAAATATATTTTATTTTGATCCTTATACACACACACACACACACACATATATATATATATATATATATATATATATATATATATTAATTCTTTTATTTTAATTCTTGTATGATAAAATTTTAAATTATGTAGAAAGAAAGAAAAATCTCATTATTTAAATAAATTGAAAGAAGTTATGGTATTTCATAACAAGTTATAAAAAATAATTTAAAAATTTATATGTAATACCTTAAATATTTTTTGTTCATTTTTTCAATTAAAATTAAAGATTAATCTATGAAACTATCAACTTTTAATATTGATCTTTATTATGTTAGTTGTTGATGCAAAATTTTAATTTTAATTAGAAACTGGTACTTAAAGGTCTATATTTAATTAAGTTTTGTTTATAAAATTGGTAATTCATCATAAGTACTTAAAAATATAAGCAAATTTAGTTATTGATTTCAACTTATAAGATGAAAGAATAAAACTAAAATAGAAATTGTTACTAATTTCTTAGGTAAAAAACGAATAATTTTTTTACCATTTAAAAATTAATTTATATTCTATTCTTATAATTTTATAATAAATAAAAATAAAATACATTTTGCTTAAATATCAAGTACCATCTTTCTATAATAATATTCGTAATTATATTAAGTTATAATAACATTATTTAAAATTATTAAATCACTTTTTATAGTTATTATAAATCACTATAATATATTTTTAACTTGTATTATATGATAATTTTTTTTACCTCATATATATATATAATTGTATAAATATAAAATAATAGTTTTATAACATAAATTGATGTTAAGTAGTTTTTAAAGATATTTCTGTTTAAAAATTTATTTACAAATATCTTTTTTACAGTTTATATGTTTACTAAAATAATATTTAAATCTCAAACGATTAGCAATCTTGGTTGTTTGACAAAGCATTGAATGATGTTTGACGGCCTTTTCTGTTTTTTCTTAAATCAATTTTGTGTGGGTTAAAATTAATTTTGCAAAAGCAACATTTTTTAACCTTTTCGTTAAAGGCAACATTTAAAACTTAGAAATTGTATTTACAATTACATATTAAAAGTAATTTTACCATATCATCCAAACCAAATCAATTCTCCTGTACAAGAAAAAACCTTTAACAAGAACCGACAAGATGTGTATTAAAAAACAAAATCTTGATTGCTTCAACAATGAACTTTGATTCTCTGAAAGGGTAATAATATACAGAAAATTGATAACCAGTGCCGGGTGGTTAAGGAATCAAAAGTTTTTTTTTCCCTGAAAAAATTAAAAAGGCACTTACAAATGTAACTTTTAATGCATTCCAATGTTTTTTTTAATTATTATTTCTTCATTCTTAAACAGTGTACTTAGGACGCAGTTAGCAAGACCTTAATAAAAATTAATGGAAAGAACTTCAACAGAATAATTTTTTCCATTCAGACTTTCCTTTTATCTATCTTATTTTGCAAAAAGCAAACACACTTGACACATTGATTCCAATACAACTCATTTATTAGATAGAATGTAAAACTAGTTTAAACATGACAAACAGCATTACTACCTAAACATTAATTCGTTATTTTTAATGCACTAGGATACTAATTTAAAACAATGTGAAGCTTTTAAAAGTCTAGTAACAAACATGGCTTCATGTATTATTCCAATAACCCACATTCTGTTTTCTAGCAACAATCCTTGATCAAAATGGTTTCTCTTCACTCAGCAGGAAATAGAGGCCAGAAGGACTACCACGTGGTAGCAGTGCCAACCTCACTGCAAATTCAGCACCTTCATCAGGTGTTAGAATACCAGTGTTGTGGTTTATGTCTGTTTTCACATAGCCAGGACAAACAGCATTGATGCAGAATGAAGGGTAGTTCTTGGCCAGAACCCTTGTGTAGGCATTCAAAGCAGCTTTTGAGACACTATATGCAGACATAGAAAGAGGCCAGCCTTTGGTTTCTAGTGAACCCTCTTTAAAATCTTTGAGAAATTCATTCAAAATGTCATCAATCTTTTCTTCTGTAAGGTTCTCAACATCACTCAGTACTTCTTTAGGCCATCCATTTGGTATATTCTGCAAAAAATTATATGAGAAATAGCATCACATTCTATTGTACTAATATATGTTAAATTAACTTCTGAATCATTTGATTTTGGATATCATACATATCTAGTTATAAATAACTTTAATATTTTCAAATGCTAAGTTTCCAATTGTGATTCCAATGTGGATGAGAAAAATTAATAGTTTCACAGACCTCTAGCCTTCCCATGGATGCTGAAACATTGACAACTTTTGGTGAGGCTGAAAACTGGAGAAGGGGAATAAGTGTTTTGGTCAATTCCTTGGCTCCATAGTAGTTTGTTTTAAGACATGCTTCAGTTAATTCATAGTTTTCAGTTACTATTTTACTCCAATCAACACGTCCAGCATTTTCCTGCAACCAGAAAACAAGAAATTTGGTTCTTTTAGGCATGAAGTGAAAATTTTAATTGTTAGTTCTAGTTATGCACAATTTATTAATCACTTTCTTTATAGATGGGAAAAATAATTCACCGAAATAACATTCATTGAATGCCCACAATTCACTGAAATGTGATTCTAATATTCCTTTTACAAGTTCTAGTGCTTTGATGCAACTTTGTTGTTAATTTGGCATTGGTTAACCATATTCAACACTTGTTCAGCTAACCTAGATTGCACTTGCACCAACAGTTACACTAAGTTCCATTTCCAATTCTAGAAATTGTTTTCTAAATAAAACTTCCTCATCTTTTGGGTAAACACATGAATGGGAAATAAAATCATACCATAACACCTGCAGCAGCTAAGGCCTCACCGTCCACATGTGCTCCAGGAATTCCAGCATTGTTTACCTTACACAAATTTCCATGTTTCAAATATCTCTGGTCATTCATCATGAAATGAAAACTATAATTTACAAATGAAACGTGTGCAAAATTAAAACTAGTATGTTTTTATTGAAAATTCTAGTATTTAATGTTGTTAATGTACTAAATTTTGTGACATCTTTTTATTTTTAATAAAAATTTACTTACGTAGTTTATTATGAGTGTCCTTGAATACAAGTTAAAAAAATAGATGAAAGAGATTATGAAAAATATCTTATTAGACAGACCCAGATAATAGCCTATACTTTTTAGTTCAAACTTGTACTTCATATACAGAATCGACATGGAAGGTAAGAACATATCACTTCATAAACTATAAATAAATTGAATGCAGAGAACGCAAGCCAGATTGATATCATCAGTTCAGTTCTTGCAAAAGAACATGATTTGCTGTAAGGCAGAACATGGATGGTAATGGATAAGTGTAGACTCCAAATCAGACATATGGGATACTTGAATGAATATCCCTATCCAAACCTTGTTTAAGGAAGAAAAAGAAAAACCAATATAAGTGGTAACTTGGATGCTTATATTCATATTCAATTAGTGCTTACATATCCAGATTAATTACTGGTATTTTAATTAATATATATTTTTATACCGTATCTTTTTTGCAAAATAGCAAAATAAAAATTATTTTAATACTAAAATAATATTTAATATAAGAGGAGAGATCAATTTATATCAATGTAATATTCTTACATCATTCAATAATTTTATATAAAATGTGATTTTCATTAATTTAATTAATAAATTATAATTATATATTATCTTATATTTTATATTTGTAAAAGTTCTTATTTACAAATATTATAAAAATAGAAACATTGTAAGTGTCAACTCCTATTAATTGATTAGTTCGCATCTAATTAATAATTTTATCATTTAAATCAATAAAAATTGATACAAAATTTGATATTATATATATATTTATTTATTTACGCATCTTAAAAATATTTCAAATATAAAAAAAATACTTATAAATGCTTTATTTAGTGATACAAATTATTATAGCTAATAATTATTTTTAATAAACAAGAAAATACTAGAGTTGTTAATATGAGCTATAGTTCACGACTTAGGATGAGAATTAGATATGAGTTAGTCTACTTTTTTAAAGAGAATAATTAATAACTATTATACTATTTTTTAAAATAAAAGATACATGTATTTACTTGTTTATCACTTTTATTAAATAATGAGACAAAATTTAAATTTACGAATACTTATTAATTTTTGTTTAATTTGCAAATTACTTTTTAATACTTATGAATTTTGTGATATTAAATATTAAATATTTTTAATTTTCATAATAACGACATTGCATTTAATATTTTTAACACATTAAATTTCATTTAAATAAACTATTTTGAATATTTTGATAACAAATGTAGCTAGTATTTCAGCTTTGTATCTCTATTGTAATTTTAAAAATATTTATTAAATATGTGATGTTTCTAAAATAATTTTATAGAAATAAGAATATAAAAATATTAAAACATGAAAATTTTTATAGTTAATGTTCAAATAAAATTATAAAATAATATGCTAAGAAATTATTTATAAAATTATATGAATAAAAAGTGTTACTATGATTTAATAATTATTAATAATATAGATAAAAAAATAGATAAATATGTAACTTAATTTGATAATAAATTATTATATTATATTTTATATTATTTAATAAAAAATTATTCTAAATATTTAATATTATATAAATAATATTATTCTTCATTTATGTTTTAAGCAATTATATTTATTTATAAATTTATAATAAAAAAAGTTATATAAAATCAACATTTTTAATAAATTATAATAATTTTTAAAGATAATTAGTTTATGAATAACTTCTAATCCACTTAATTTTGTGAACTTTTGGTTTGATAGACTCTTTACATGGTAAACTTTTTTTTAAACTTTGTGAGTCTGTTAATGCTAACTCATGTGAATTAGAACTAAATTAGTTAGGGCTTACTTATTTCACACCTCTAAAAAATATTCGAGTAATTATAACAGGATTATTATTGAAGGTGTCATTTACTTTAAAAAATTATCAGGATGGTGCAGAAGATATGTTGATGCTATACAACATCCATTAAAAAAAATTAAATTGGAAAGAAAAATTATCGTTCAATACCAAGATATCAAGTTTTCCGTATTGGTTCCTGATGAAATCAGCAAGTGATGCTATACTTGCAGGATCTGTAACATCAAGTTGATGAAAAACAACATGGCCAGGCAGAGAAAGCTCTTTCAGTTTGTCCACAGCTTCAACACCCCTCTTCTCATCTCTGGCTGTTAGCACCACATTGATCCCATTAGAAGCCAATTGCTTGCATATTGCAAATCCAATACCCTTATTCGCTCCTGTCACAACACCATACCTGCAAACAAGTTTAACGACAAGTTAAGGTAACAATATATATATATATATATATATATATATATATATATATATGAGTCACTATAGTTATAAATGTTAATATGCATGAAGCTTGTGGTTAATTGCAGGGTGCATTATAAAAAAAGGGTGCCAACGAAAAATGAGATTTACCCTTCTGTTGCTTTTACCATTGATTGAGTGAAGGAAGTGCGTGGACTAAAACAAGGTACTATTAAATGGGTTTAAGTTTATGCCTTTATATTAAGAGTTTTAGTTGATATTCCAAAAGCTATATAACCGGCGAAGACAATAATGTTGAGTTATAATGTTTTTGAAACTTTGTATTTTACGGGAAATTAACGATATGAACAAGAGCAAGTGCTGCTCGCTCACATTTTTCTTTGGTTTTAACGCATAGTGCTCTTTCATTCGGAGGGAGAAGCAAGGCCCATCGCTTTCTCTCATTTTTTAATCGATGTAATGCTAATTATTGTTCTTAATATACTGATTAAAGAGTAAACAAACATTTTTCTTAAAAATATAACTATTGTAAATTTCTAACAGAATTTTTAATATTTTTTAATTTAATATTTTTAAGACTCGTGTAATCAAAATTTTATGTATTATTTTTTTGCCTATTCTATTGCAAAATATGCACAATAATAATACTCCATCGTCAAGAAATTGTTTTTTGGTAGTGTCTAGTATTCGCATTTATTCAATGATTCAGTTTTGTTTGTGAAAATGTTTTATTTTAACATGTTTAAACATGGCAAGAAAGTAAATATTGTAATGTCTTTTACGTCTTGCCATCCAAATATAACTTGGTAGGCATCGCTCTCAAAATATCATCTAATGCATGTTAAGGACTAATGGGTAGTCATGACGAATAAAATTGGTTGTAATTTAGGAAAGGATCTTAATTCTCATGTCAGTTGATCACTAAATAAGATCACAACCCAATTAATTATAATATAGTTGAAAAAAAAAAAAAAGCCATGTTAGACTACACCTTGAGGGACCGCTATAATGTTATGATTATGCATCATTTGCATACGAATTTTACATAACCGTCATTAAATGAGTTATGCAATCTATTTTCTCTTTGTTGCTGTCTGCTTGTACACACTAATTTGAGTGTTAGAACGTCCTTTGTAGATATACCACTACTTAATTCGTCCCTTAATTTTGACTTTGAGCACAACATTAGAGAAACTTGACCACATAACCCTATACCTATTTTCTAATATGGTATTAGAGTTTAAAATCTGAGTCTTAAAAACTTCATGCATTAGATGTGTATTCTTGGATGTCAAGTTTGGACAATCTTTATCTTGTTAACTAGTTTTGAGAATCAATTAGACTTTGTTTTCTAATAATGCAACAATCATAATGTATTGAAATACACAAAGAAAAATACTAGTTATTTCTTAGCATGTGTACTGGAACCACGCAGCTTCAGATGTCTACAAATTACTGACTCAAGCAATCACAATCTGAAACTTTGGTAGTACTAGAAATACATAAAGTAGGGCAACAAGTAGCATTTGTAGATCAAAAGGAAAGGACTTCTTCCCTTAAGAAAAAGAGACCAGAAGGACCATTATCTGGCAACAATGCTAGCCTGACAGGAGTTTCAGCACCTTCATCAATGCTTAAAAAGCCTACATTCTGGTTCAAATCAGTCTTAACAAAGTCAGGGCACAAGCAATTCACACGAAAATGAGGAAACTTCTTAGCCAACATCCTTGTGTAGGCATTTAAAGCTGTTTTGGACATGGTGTAACCAGAAAGAACAGGTGGCCAGTTTTTGGATTCCAATGATCCCTCTTTGTAATCTTTCAAAAAATTCCTAAGCACCTCAATAAGCTTTTTGTTTGTGAGGTTTTCAATGTCACTAAACACTCCTCTTGCCCAGTCATTTGGGATATTCTGAAACCACAAAACAATAACAAAAGCCTTATTCCACAAAATAAGATCGACATTATGAAAGCACCATGAAGTAATAAAATCTTTTCTTTTTGTATTTGGCAAATATTGATGTTTCATTCTTTCACAAGGAGAGAAATACAAAAAGGAAATCATACCGGTAACCCAAGTAAAAAAAAAAAAAAACTAAATCAATTATGATAACGAGGACACAGAATTAGTATAAATTACACTTTCTCAATTATTCCTTATACTTTTATTTTTGTCACTCAACCCCTTATAATGCCAGTTGTTTGTATCATTTCATCTCTCAATGGAGAGTTTGTTGACAGAACGAAAGTCTTAGGTAAACTAAAAAAAATATAAAACTATAAGAAAATAAAGATTAATCTGTCCAAATAAATAAAAAAATAAACTCTAAATGGCCTCAATGGCTCAATAAAAAAAATAAAGTAATTGTAACTAATATTTTCTATATTAGGGTTTTTATTTGGAACAAAATTAGGTGTAATTCTTTTAGACATTGTTAGTATTGTTTATTAATTAAAATTAAAGTTTTACTTTAAAGTTCTTTGATAATATTAACTATACATTTTTTTTATTAAAAAAAAGCTCTAATTTTAAATGATAAATAATACAAACAATACCTAAAGAATAACCTTTTTTTTTTCCCTAAGTTTCCAAAATTAGAATAGTTTATGAAATAGTTTTACCACCATGAACTAACATTTTTCTTTTCATTTTTACCTTCAATACTCCTCTTCTAGAGGAGACATTGACAATCCTGGGTGAAGTGGATAGTTGAAGGAGGGGAAGAAGAGCTTCAGTTACTCTTTCTGCACCAAAGAAGTTAATTTCAACACATTCTTCGGCCAACTCATAAGTTTGAGGTACTATTATACTCCAATCTGATATTTCACCCCTTTTCTACAACAACAAATAAAATGGGAACTTTTCAATATTTAATCAACAAAACCAACGAGTCTTTAGCAGCTATCAAAATAAAAAGGGAATGCTAGATATTTTATGCAAGAAAGTATGCAATTGGTTTTCTCTTTGTCATGTTTCCATGCTGTTAAATGGGAGTATTAGCAAGGGGAACTGCGGGTCTTCCAAAATTCTTTTGATAAATTATATCACAAATTGTTTTTCCTTTTCTCTTCGCTTAGGCAATTTTGATATCCAAGTTCATAATCACACACGACCAACTACTGTTGAGCAAACCTACCTTAATAATTTAATTAATCAACACTAGTAACCACGTGCTGGAGACAAATAAACACTCTCTAGTACTAATTAATCCATTTTAATTAATATAACTACCTTATAATAATGAATATGTATTACATTATGATACAGAAAAAGACATCTTAGAGTTCAACTTTCTATTATCTTGAACATTTCTATATACGTTCCTCCGCATGCTCTGGCCACCTCGATCTCGAGGCATCACATGGGAATTAATATCTTAACATATTGCACTGAGTACAACTATGAACAAATCCTCCATAAATGATAATATTTAAAAAGCAGAGATCACATGCAGTGTTTCAAATCATGTGTTTGCAACATTTTAGTTGTCGTTATGGAGAGGTCTCCACAACAGTATACAAGATCATTTGGATCGTCATTGTGGAGAAAGAAGAAACCTTACCTTTCTCAGAACATTTTCTCCATTTACTATTCCACCAGGAACACCCGCATTGTTCACCTGCATCGCTAATATTATGTCAAACTTACCTCATGCAAATAGGTGAAAGAACAGTGTGTATGAACCTGTGGATAAATTTTAATAAGAGAAAAAATAATATAAAAAATAGAGAAGTTAAATGAAAATAAATTCTAAAAAAAAGAAAAGTACAAGTTAATTTTAACAATGTTTATCTAAACTAGCATATATATATATATATAGATATATATATAATTTCAACTTCTTTGTTACATAAGAAATTGAGAACAAATAAACACAAATTTAAGTGTAATATATATCATAAATTTGATTTTTAGATTAAAATAAAAATTTAGTTCGATGATCTAATCAATTAATAAAGGTTTAGTGATAATTGTTTTTAAGAATAACCGCAAAAGTATTCATGACAGTGTGCTTAATTTTTGTGGAACTCATCACTGCACTTAAAAGTGTGAACTTTCTGGTCAACCTGAAAAGGAGGAAGGGAAGTTGTGATACATACCAAGATGTCAAGTTTCCCAAATCGGGTTTTGATGAAATGTGCTAAAGTAGCAACACTTGGAGGGTCAGTCACATCAAGTTGATGAAAAACCAGAAAGTCTGAGAGTCCAAACTCTTTCAATTTTTCCACAGCTTCCAAACCCCTTTTCTCATTTCTAGCTGTAAGCACTACCACAATACCATTTGAAGCCAATTTCTTGCATATTCCATAACCAATCCCCTTATTAGCTCCTGTCACTACTGCATACCTATATGCAAGCTTCTGAATACACATCATATTCTAATAGAGTATGTTTATAATCTCATGAAAATTTACACAACTTATATTTCGGTTTGTGCTTCATTACAATAAAGTTTTTCTCTGTACAGAGTTATGCATAACTCATGATTTTATTTAAAAATATGGTTTTCTTAGTTTTCTTTTTATATAGATTGTGAGTGTGGTTTTCTCATTCATGATATGATACCCTTTTTCATACAACTGCTTGTTGTAAAATCAAACTTAATTTCTACTTCAGCCAGCCTAATGGATATATATAGTCAAATGCCTTTAAAAGTATACAGAAACACAATTTTTATGAGCATCATTTCTCATTACCTTTTCGTTTCTTCTCCCATGCTGATGATGCCTCGCGTATATATTAGAAGCTTTTGCGTATTTGCTTGTAGCAACTTAGCAAGTGGTATGAAATGATTTCGATCAGTTTTATAATCAGATCATTAGCCTTTGAATTCTTTAATAATGAAAGTGGTTCATTTGGAAATTTGCAAATGAATATTGAAGAATATCATTATTGCTATTTTTGGCACGTCATCATTACAGGGACATAAATTAACCTGGAAATAAATATATGCAAAGTCACCATCATATCGAACTCTTTTAAATATACTCTTCAATATATATATATATATATAAAAGTCAATATACAAGATAAGTACTTTGATTTTTTAAAATATATATCAATTAGAAAATGTTGTTATAAATACAGTGACTGACATAGTTTTGCCTTTATGAGGAATATATTTGAATTTATAAGCTGTTATGTTGGGGCTTTCAGTTACTCAAAATTCAAATTAATAATGGGGATCTCACTTGTATTGTAAAATTTTCGACTTTTTCTATACATTTTGAAGTGAGATTTTCTGATTCACTTATGCTACCTTTTTCATGCAATGCTTTTACAGGCTCAAACTCCTGTCATTATGAAAGCTCCTTAACAATTCAAGCTTCGTCACTACTTTAGTCACCCTATAATAGATACATAATCCAATGCCATTAAAATCATACAAGTTAAACACAACTTTTATGAGTATCATTTCTCTGTACCTTTTAATTTGCTTCTTCTCCCATGTCGATGATGCCACTCGTATATATTAGAAGCTTTTGTTTATTCGCTTGCAGCGAGTGCTATGAAATGATTTTGGTCTGTTTTATCGGCCAAATTATCAACTCCTAATTAATCTTTTATAGTTAGTAAAAATACTGTGGATCGTATATCTTCGCGGATGATCATATATCTTTCTCTGTCTATATATATATATATATTGTTAGTCAAAATTAATTGTTAGTCAACATTGATGGCTCAATTTTTTCGCTTGATAGGCACCGTCCATGATTTGTCAAATTGCTACAGTCAACATTGAAAAAATAACGAGTTACTGTAGCAGTTTTTTTGCCTATAAAAGGCAATGAATTACAAAAGGTTGAAATCAGAAGAAGAAATTTGAGAGTGTTATTTTGTAGCTCTTATTCCATTCTGAGAGAGTATTTATTGAGAGAAAAATAGAGTGATTTATTACTCTTTGTCCTCATAATTTTAGAGGACTTTTTGTACTCTCCCTTTTACATAGTGGAATTATTTTGCTCGTTGTTGTCCGTGGGTTTTTTTCTCCGATTTGGAGTTTTTCCCGCGTTAAAATCTTTTCTCCATTATTCTCTTCCTTCTCTTTATTTTCAATTAAATTCGATCTAGTCTTCCGCATTGCGTTGATACCCAACATATATATATATATATATATATATATATATATATATTGTCCCTAAATTTCCATATAGTTGCTAGTAGAGTATGTTTATGATCTCTTGAAACTTTACACAATTTTTGTTTACATTAAATTCATATTTCGGTCTGTGCTTGATTACAATAAATTTTTCTGTACAGTAACAATTTTATATAATTTAGAGTGTGTTTAGAAATGCACGATTTCATTAAACGTTTATTCAGGAAGTTCTTTTTATAATATGATTTATATCATAAATTTAATAATAATAAATGAAAAATAGCTTACTATGATAAATTTAAAATTTTTTGAAATACGTTAAAAAACTTATAAGAATCATAAATTATATTTTTTAAACTGTTAATTTATAATTATTTTAAATGATTTTTAATTATTTTTTAAAAGAAAAATATAAATAATTTTTTGTAGATTCTTAGTGTGTAATTTTCTCATTCATGTTATGGTAGTTTTTGTTTCACACGAGTGCTTCTTGTCAAAATTGAAGCTTAATGAATCATTACTACTTTAGCTACCTTAATAGATATATAATCATATGCCTTTAAAAGCCTAAAGAATAAAAAAATTATGAACATCATTTCATTGTACTTTTTTGTTTCTTCCACGTTGAAGATGCCACAAGTGTATATTACAAGCTTTTGTGTAAGTGGTATGAGTTTTGATCTGTTTTGAAATATGATTATTTTCCTATTAATCATATTTTTTTATTATTGGAAAAAATTTATTAAAATATAAAAAATATTAATTTAAAAATAAGACTAATTTTTATACATTAAATGATATCATTATTGCTATTTTGGCACGTCATCATTATAGGAACATAAATTGACTTGAAAATAAATATATGAGTAGCCGGCAACTGCATTTAAAAGTGTTTAAAAAAAATATATAAATAGAGTACCACTTGGATTTCTTTGTTAATAATACACTTGTCATTGTTTATGCTACTAAATAAACTTAACCTCGAACTTTAAGGTTGATTAATATTACGGCAATTTGCATTTGTCTTATGTAATTCTTAGCATATTTAGAACTACGTTTATGAATGCTTAAAATCATATGAATGATGAGTTCTAATAACATTGAAATCAGTGTACATCTATAATTAATTAAACGTCAATTTAAACACAGTAACTTGATGCACCAACTCAGAGTGGAGCATAGACATTTACTTCACAAAAGCAATTTCCATCATAAATAATTAGAATTCGATATTGAAGTCAGAAGTTAGCAATTTAATTACCCGCATATTAAATTGCCCACGGTTTGCAACAATTATTTATTTAAAGTTGTGGATCAACCTACCAAAAGATATTAATATATAAAAAAAATACAAAATTTAGGTATGCTGTTATTTAATTAAAATTAAAATTTTATTTTGATAATCTGTGTTGACTTTTAGTGTTGATGTACTAATGTTTAATGTTAACCTTTATTATATATATTATAAACTTCAATTCTGATTGAATAAGAACACTAAAACTTAAGTTTTAGTTCATATAAAAAAAAACCACTTCCATAAACATCTCGTTACTAGAGCAATCATAATAAAACAAAAAAACAATTTAAAATGAAATTAAAAATATAAGTTACGTACTACCAGATTTTAGTTGAATTAAAACATTTAAAATCTCCACTGTTTTAAAAAATAATTTTCAAAAACCAATTTAGGTTTAAGAAATGATTTATTATATGTATATAATATAATAAAAACACCATTATTATTGAAAAAAATGGTTGATTTGTTATTGTTATTATTATTTTAATCAGCAATTTTAAAGTTTAAAACTAATTATATGAATTTAAAACCCAACCCAGGTAAAGAAGAGGAAGGTTCCAAAGGCCAGATAAATATCAAACATCCTAAGAGTAACTGAAGCCAGAAAGAAAGCTCTACTAACAAAGATCCTATTCCTAAAACAAAAGCCAGCCTAAGAAAACGAAGCTCTAATGAGTAAAAAGTGTTCTCCGATGGAAGATTACTGAAACAGGATGATGATTGTTTAAGAAGAATCTTAATAACACATTATTAGTTAAAATTTATTAAAAATTAAAAAATATAAGAGAGAAATATTAATTTAAGAGTAAGAAAGAATAAAATACACATACTTTTTATAGTTTTTAATAAATTTTAACTAATAATAAATTATATTTTTTATATTCTATTTTTAAATTTGATTTATAAATTAAAATGCTCTCTCAAAAGAATATATCAACGAATAATATAAGTAATAAAAGAAACTGCATGCATGTAATAATATTATATATTTCTTTCATTTTATATTCAATGTTGCTTAGTATTAATGTAAACATATTAAAAAAATTATTAATTTTACCAATTGCTATAAAACATCATCAAAAGTACTGAAATTATTATAATAACTTAAAATGATAACTAATTTCATAGTTATTTTAATAGTTAGTTGGCAAAAATTATTCTTGATAAATAAAAATATTATTGAAAAAAGCAATTACTGATTTTTTGATATTTTAAAATGACAAATAATTCAAGACAAATAAGAAGTGTTCATAAAGAGTGAAATTTAGCACGTTACTTCAATATGCACCAACCATAATTTAACGCATTATTTCTCAGCAAGTGTGGAAGAAACAAAGAATTTGATAAGTCTATAAATATTTGTCTCAAACAATCACAATCAGAAACAACATTGATGTGTGCCAGAAACATAGATCAAAAAGGAATCACCTCATCCACTGAAAAAAAGAGGCCAGAAGAACCATCATGTGGCAACAATGCTAGCCTAACAGGACTTTCAGAACCTTCATCAATGCTTACCAAGCCATTATGATGGTTTATATCAGTCTTGACAGAGCCAGGGCATATACAATTTATGAGAAAATGAGGGAACTTCTTAGCCAGCATCCTTGTGTAGGCATTTATAGCTGCTTTTGCCATGGTGCAACCAGAAACGACAAGTGGCCAATTTTTGGATTCCAGTGATCCTTCTTTGTAATCTCTTAGAAACTCTCTAAGCACTTCTCCAAGTTTTTCATTTGTAAGGTTCTCAATGTCACTAAAAACTCCTCTTGCCCACTCATTTGGTATGTTCTGATCAGACAAAGGAAGATAGATATTAAAACCTTGTTTTCTTTTTTTGCAAAGATTGATGCTTCATTCATTCATTCTTAAGAAAGGTATACAAGGAAAATCATACAACATATACCGGTAACCCAAATCAAAATTAAACCAAAAAATGTATATATATTGGACTATACTCAACTATGGTGAGCATATAAAAGAAAAAACCTCTACAATGTAGAGAATTCAGAGTTAGCTTTGTGCAAAATGTGACTTTGACTGATTCTAGCCAATCTTTTCCTTTTCATAGTTTTGGCTTTCTGACATTTCAATAAAAACTTCCAGAGGACAATAATTTCAGAGGATATATGGATTCAGTTATAGCTGCCCTTTCAAGAAAATAATTTAACTTTTTTTTTTCTAGTATTTGTTAAGAATACAAATGTGTTTTTTGTGTTGATATAATTTTTTAAGAAAAAAGAAGTAAAAGATATTCTAAGCTACATAAATTTGTATGTTTTGAAGTGGTTGTTTTTCAAACAAAATTGAGCAGAAGATGCAATTGTAAAATGCATATTTGTTTAATTGTGAAAATGGTTATACCTTCAATAGTCCTATTTGACCAGAGACATTGACAATCCTGGGTGAAGTGGATAGTTGGAGGAGGGGAAGAAGAGCCTCAGTTACTCTCTCTGCACCAAAGAAGTCCGTTTCAACGCATTCTTTGGCTAACTCGTAATTTTGATACAATATTAGATTCCAATCTGACAATTCACCCCTTTTCTGCAACAAATAATTTTGAAGTTATACCATTATAGATTCAAGTGGGAAAAATGCGTAATACATGATTTATGGGTATTAACATCAAATGATTCAAGTGACAATGACCAATTTTTCTCCTAAGTTCATAAATTCAAATTTGGTGAAGAAAAATGCTTCTTGTATCAATGGAAAGGGAACACCTTAAGGTGTTTCCTGTATATCTGAGGTGTATTTTTAAGTATGTAAAAAAAAAAAACGTAAGATAAATAAAATAATTATTTACCTTGTCATGTATAATAGTTTTTGGATAAACTTTTAGAGAAATTATTATAGAAAAAATAGTATAAAAATAAATAAAATTTATCTTATAAGTTATAAACAATTTACATTTATTTAATTCTTGAGAAGTTATCTTATTTAATTTCATTAAAATTTGATAAGATAAATTGTTTCTAATTTTTAAGAAAAATTTTATTAATTTTTTATATTAGTTTTTTTTTCTATAAAAGTTTTTCTAGAAGTTTAAAATTAATGTTAACTTTTAGTGATTTAAGTAATAGAACTAACTTGCGAGTGAAAGAAAATGGTTAGGAGATTAATTCAACTTGAATTAGTAAGAATTTAAGAGAGCATGCATTGAGAAAAATGTTAACATCTTATTGAGTATAACATCTTTTTGAGTATAACTACTCCTTTGAACATATTTTGATTCCCTATAGACTTCATATTGAGAGAGCAGGAACCTTACCCTTCTAAGATAATTCTCACCATTTACTATTCCCCCAGGAACACCTGCGTTGTTCACCTGCACCAATATTATGTCAAACATACCATTTTTCAAATACATGAACTCAAGAAAATTTTCTAGCACTTTGTACACTGAAAAAAGTGGGAAGGAAACTGTGATCATACCAAGATGTCAAGTTTCCCAAATCGGGTTTTGATGAAATGTGCTAAAGTAGCAACACTTGGAGGGTCAGTCACATCAAGTTGATGAAAAACCAGAAAGTCTGAGAGTCCAAACTCTTTCAATTTTTCCACAGCTTCCAAACCCCTTTTCTCATTTCTAGCTGTAAGCACCACTACAATACCATTTGAAGCCAATTTCTTGCATATTCCATAGCCAATCCCCTTATTAGCACCTGTCACTACTGCATACCTATATGCAGGCTTCTGAATAGACATCATTCTCTAATAGAGTATGTTTATAATCTTATGAAAATTTACACAACTTTTATTTCGGTTTGTGCTTCATTACAATAAAGTTTTTTCTCTGTACAGAGTTATGCATAACTCATGATTTTATTTAAAAAATGGTTTTCTGACTTTTCTTTTTATATAGATTGTAAGTGTGGTTTTCTCATTCATGATATGATACCCTTTTTCATACAACTGCTTCTTGCAAAATTCAAACTTAATTACTACTTTAGCCATCCTAATGGATATATATAGTCAAATGCCTTTAAAAGTATACAGAAACACAATTTTTATGAGCATCATTTCTCATTACCTTTTCGTTTCTTCTCCCATGCTGATGATGCCTCGCGTATATATTAGAAGCTTTTGCGTATTTGCTTGTAGCAACTTAGCAAGTGGTATGAAATGGTTTCGATCAGTTTTATAATCAGATCAGTAGCCTTTGAATTCTTTAATAATGAAAGTGGTTCATTTGGAAATTTGCAAATGAATATTGAAGAATATCATTATTGCTATTTTGGCACGTCATCGTTATAGGGACAGAAATTAACCTGCGAAGTCAGCATCACCAGAGACAACTTCATTCATCTCCTTTTTTAAGGAATACAAGTAATATACTCTTCAATATTTTTTTTATAATTTATTAGTTTTTAAAAAAATAATATACAAGATAAGTACTTTAATATTTTTTTTAAGAAAATGTATCAATTACAAATATCAAAATGTGGTTATAAATATATGAACAGACATAGTTTTGCTTTTATGATTTGAATTGATCAGTCTAATGTCTTCACAAACAGAACACAAATATTGGAAATTATAATGACAGTACATTTCGAGGTTAGGTGCAAAATATTATGACGGTACAAGAACGCACAATATGGTTAATTACTAGCCCACTTTCCTGAGATGTATCTCTTTTTTCTCTTTTTTTTTTAGATATTGAAAGATACAATCATAAATAAAAAGGGTGTCACCTTCGTCCTGATCAGAGAAAAGATTAATAAGATTAAGGAACACAGTGGGGTAGTAGTGCTAAATTTTTTGGATTTCCAACATTTTCATGATTTCATCAATAAGCTCCGGGGGACCCTCTCAAGATTTTTTTTTTCTTTAGTTTTTCAGTGCCGTGTTTAATAATTTCTTCTAATTTATATTGAAATTCTTAAATTTTCAATGAATTTTGTTAACCTTTAACTCTTAAGATTAAATTTAAGTATTTATAAATAATTTTTTTTAATAAAAAATACACAGTTTTATTGAAGTTATAAAAATACAATAAATACTCTCACTATATTTAAATGCACGATTAGGATTAATTTTAATTAAATTAAATAAAAATAAAAAATATAATAAATACTTCTCTTTTTAATAAATTTTTACTTTTATTAATCGTTTATTCTCGACTTTTAAAGCGGAGATTAACAAAATTCATTTTTAATATATATTTTTATCCATTAATAGATTATTTCCCTGAGCAGACGCACCAACTCAGAGTTCATAGACCTTTACTTTAGAAAAACAAATTCCATCGCAAAGAATTACAATTTGATATTGAGGGTTAAGTTGGGGCTAGCAATTTTCCTTCAAATTACCTAAATTTTCTTGCACAAGAAGCCCATTCATTTTTTTTAATCTCCTTTATAGTTATACTTCTTATCTACACTCATCCCTTCATATTCCACAAGCACTGTTTGTCGAACAATCTCATTTCCACCAACAACGCTCATCAACTTCTTCACGGAATATGGATCATCTTCTGTGTTGTTTAAACAGCTTTTATTATATATTAGTGAGAAAAGTGTTGCAAAAATCAATTTCCAGAATAAGGAAGTATTATTTAAACAACATTTATAGCTTCCGAAAAGTATTTCTCAAAATATACAAAATAATCTTTTAAAAATTGAATATCATATATATATATTGAATGATGAATAACGATGATGAATTCAGGAATTTTGAATGGAGAAATTCAGATCCTTCTTGAACAATTGTTGATTATGACCATATTATCAGAAGGGTAGAGTTTTTCATAACTATATCATCAACTACGTTTACTTGACAATGCCCATAATATTAAAGTTTTAAACGTACTAGTAAATTCATCATGTGAAAGTATTATTAAATTAAAATGATTTTTTTAAATAAATAATTTAAAATATGTTATATGACTCCTTTTAAATTTAATAAATATAAAAATAATAAATATTATAATTATTGATAAAAAATATTCTATTACATTAAAAAATTCTGAAAAATTCAAAAATTAAACTAATATGTAACTAAAAAATATATAATGTAGAAAAAATTATTTAGCATAATAAAAAAATTAATTCTTAAAATTACTTTCATTTAAAAATATTTTTAAAAATACTCTCGTTTAATAATTATTACTCACATTTTATATATAAATATTGACATTCAATCCCGACTTAAAACCTTACTTCTTTTCCATCTCTAAGTTTCTGGCCCTTGATTTCGATGTTAATGGCGCAAGAGTATTCATTGCATGTAACTTTATTGCATAAAATAAATTAGAAGACAAGTGAAAAATCTTCCAATCTTAGAAATATACATGCAATTCAAATAATAAAATATAAATTGTTTTTAATTACAAAGAGAAGATTAAAAAGAATTCTTAATCATTTGTCCTCCCATTTCCAACTATGACCTCCCATAAAAAAAATGTTTAGTCAATGATTCTACTCTTAGCCATCTCGATATTGGGTTCGCTTTGTTTCACTTATTCTATTAAATTCAGAAGCTATCAATGAAATTGAGTTGAGTTATAAATGTTGTGCAAGTAATGTTATTTGTTTTCATATTCAGAATATGAAATGCTTTTGAACACCCTTGGTTTGGACAAGAAGTTATCATGTTACAAACATACAAGAATTTTGTTAACATCAATTAGTAGCATCAAGTAATGACCTTGTGTGCAATCAATAAGTCTTCCTCTAACACATAAAAAAGTACAATGGTCAACAATCACGCGAAGTTGAAATTTTTTCAAGTTTTAGGCCAAATAACATAAGTAGTTGTCTTACTCAATACCCATAATGATAATATAAAAATGATATTCAAATTTGGCAACAGCATGATTAAAGGTGTGATGGAATCAACCAAAAGAAGCTAGCTTGCAACCAGTTTAGGTGTGAAGCTAGATTGTTATGCTTCACATAGCATCGAACAAAAACTTACCAGAAAGAACTACTCATTCATAACTCATTTATGGGAATTAGTAATGCTATCATGTTATTTGTGTTGCTCATATTTCCCTTATCTTTTTTATTTTTGGTCTCAGCCTTGGACACCATAACAGCGTCAAATCCAATCAAAGAAACTAAAACACTAAGCTCAAATAACAACATGTTCACACTTGGGTTCTTCAGCCCTCAAAATTCTACAAACCGTTATGTTGGAATCTGGTACTTGGCTAAAACCGCTGTTGTATGGGTGGCTAACAGAAACCAACCACTTAGCGATTCTTCTGGGGTTGCCACAATGTCAGAGAGTGGAAATCTTGTGGTACTAAATGCACAAAAACATGTTTGGTCAACAAATGTGTCATTGTCAAATGTAGCATCTAATGTCAGTGCCAAGCTCTTGGATTCTGGAAACCTTGTACTTCTAGACAATACTTCAGGAAAGACAATGTGGGAGAGTTTCCAACAACCATGTGACACAGCAATTCCAACCTTGAAACTAAGTAAAAATGTGAGAACAGGTGAGGAAGTGAGAATCGCATCATGGAAAAGCCTCTCTGATCCATCATATGGAAGCTTTTCTCTTGGATTGGAAACTGGTAATGTTACTGAGTTGTTCATATGGAATGGAAAACAACCCTTATGGAGGAGTGGTCCTTGGAATGGTCATGTCTTTATTGGGATACCAAACATGATAAGTTTGTTTAGGGATGGTGTTAGTTTGGAAGAAGCTGATGGAACCTTTTACTATTCTTATGGTTATGCAAACAAGCCTTTCTTGAGAATCTATGTTTTAAACCGTCAAGGCAAAGTGGAGAGAAGGCAATGGAATTATGGTAACAAGGAATGGAAGTGAGGGGGACAATTCAAGAATCTGAGTGTGATGTTTATGGGATATGTGGCCCATTTGGAATGTGCAACTCTAAGAGTTCACCAATATATAGTTGTTTGAGAGGTTTTGAGCCAAAGAACAAAATTGAATGGAATATGAAAAACTGGAGTAGTAGATGTGAGAGGGTAAAGAATGGATCCAAAGAAGGGAAACCAGATGGGTTTCTGAAGCTGCAGATGGCAAAAGTGCCTAACTTTGCAGGGTGGTCACCTTCTAAGGATGGATTTCCTGCATATGATGGAGATTGTAGAACACCTTGCCTCAATAACTGCTCTTGTATAGCATTTGCATATGATTCAGGTGTTAGCTGCATGTTTTGGAGTACTGATTTACATGATATATCATATGGAGGAGTTGATCTCTACATACGTTTAGCCTACTCGTAACTCGGTAAGTTTTTGTTTTTGGAGTGTTCTTAGTTGAAAATTGTGCAGTTTTCAACATAACGTCTATTACTGCAAACTATTTGAACTTTCTTTCATGCAGATGAAGATAAGAACACCAGAACAATCATTATTGTTTTAGTTACAGTTCTAATGGGAACAGTTCTCATAATTACCTTTGCTTATGTTTTATGGAGAAGGATTGCTAAGCAAGCAGGTAATTTTCTGAATCATTTTATCAAAGAGGGTTTTGTTTACTATTGATTTAGCTGTCGTCTAAGTGTGACTAACGGGAGAAAATAGATGTGTCAAGCAGAATATTTCTAATACATTATTGTATTTTTAAATGAAATGTTTAATAAGGTACACTAGCTGGTACTTAATCAGCTTTAAAAAATATATACCTTATAATTTGTGATCATATTCTTAGGAAGGCCAATAAAATTTTTCCTTTTGTTTTGTTGTTTTGGTCAAAAAGGGATTCAGATAGCTTTATAAACCAATGCAGCAACTCATGGTATGAGGTTTCAGCATTTATGATACTTACATTGCATCACACATTTTGACACAGAGGTAATAGATTTGCAAGTTCATAATGAGGGCAGGATTGAAGACCTGAAACCACCCTGACCAATCTTATTTTCTGCATGGAAGATTTTTGTTGCAGTAGCCAGATTTCTAAATACAAGGTAATTTTGATTTATCTAAGTTCGTGATATTTCAAGCAACAAGCATTTCAAATTTTTGTCTTTTAATTTTCTAGGGGAAGTTAGAAGATGGACAAGAAATGGCAGTTAAACGACTTTCAACAGCATCTTGCAGGTGATGACAGAATTTTTAAATGAAGTGGAGGTGATTTCTAAGCTTCAACACAGGAATCTAGTTAGGCTTTTTGGCTGCTGCATTGAAGCAGAAGAAAAGATTTTGGTTTATTAGTACATGCCAAACAAAAGCTTGGATTCTTATATCTTTGGTTAGTTCTAATTATCTTCTAATGTTTTTAAGCTTAGGAGGAACATAGGTAAAGGAAAACTTATTTGACCAGGCGTACTTTTCTTTCTAACTTGAATGTTGTTCTCTCACTCAATGTTAGCCTCACTGTCCTTAAATTTATTTTTGCAGATGCATTGAAACAAAAATTCCTAGATTGGGGAAAACGATTTAACATAATTGAAGGAATTGTTCGAGGATTGCTTTATCTTCATAGAGATTCTAGACTACCAATTATACCTAGAGATCTGAAGGCAAGTGACATATTGTTGGATGAAGGGCTTGATACAAAAATATCAGATTTTAGTATGGCTAAAATATTTGGGGACTGTGAAGTGAGGGGAGAAACGAAAAGAATTGTTGGAACATATTAAGTATGCTTTCTACTTTATCTAATGATCTATAGTAGAACACCAAGAACTCAAACATTTAAGCTTTCAATGCAGTGGTTACATCTCTCCAGAATATGCAATGCAAGGAATTGTTTGTGATGAGCAATCTGATGTCTTCAGCTTTGGAGTTTTACTATACTAGAGATTGTTAGTGAGAGAAAAAACAATGGCAGTCACGAGGATAAAGAATCTCTTACACTTATAGGATTTGTAAGACCCTATTTATGATGTCTTGCTTGTCTCTAAAAAAGCTCTATTGTCTTTAACCATGTGATTTTAATTTTTAACATCAAACAGCAACTGATACCATTTTTTTCTTGCTAATGTTTCCAGGCATGGAAATCATGGAACAATAACAACATTATATCTCTAGTAGATCCACAAATATATGATCCAAGGTTTTACAAAGATATACTTAGATGTGTTCACATTGGACTTTTGTGTGCGCAAGAACTTGTGAGAGACAGGCCTATCATGGCCACAGTCATTTCAATGCTTCATAGTGAGATTGTGGATATTCCTCCTCCAAGGCAACTAACATTCATTGAGAGTCAAACATTGTCAAGTACTCTAATGCCAATTCAAAAGGATAAAAGAGTGGTAATAAAAATACTATTTATTTATATATATGTACTTCCAAGATCAAAATCTTCAGCAGGTAAAGTTAAAATAATATGTTAGGGATGAAGGTTTTGAACAATCCACAAGAAGTGTAAAAAATTTCTATATATAATTTTTAAGAATCATTTTAATAAAATTCTTTGTGTGGTAATGGTTCTCTTTCTTTCTCAAGCGTGAAAACACAAATGGGGTTAGTGCTTCATACCGCAATGAAGTAATGTAAATTGGATCTTAAGGCTTGCAGCTTAATATGATTATATGATTATGTTAAAGAAACTAAACAAATTTCAATGAAGAGACAATTACTCGACGAAATGGAATATTATCTTTTTAATCAAATTATGTTACTCATTTGGATGTTGGAAAGCAGGTTTGTGGAATATGAACATAACACATTGGATAAATTGGAGCAAGAATGAGGTATACAAGTCTTGAATTTGAGACCAACTGGTAGGGTTTTGGGATCATGCAGCTTCAAATCCAAGACAAATGCCAAATTCAAATTAAACACACCTCTAAAGCAAGGTTAAGTCCACTGTCAATGCAACATTGGACACAAAATGATAAAAGATCACCAAGTGACAAAAACTATTTCTATTATATAGCACAATGCCTTCAAGTGGGGTTTACTGGGCACATAATTGACTCAATGGATATATATATATATATATATATATATATAAGACGTTTTAAATGGATAAATCAACCCCCGGGTCATTGTATTTAAATAAAATTGTAAAGACAAACTAGTTCTACTATAACCTTCAATGGGGTAAAAAGGAAATTGTATCATCAAAGGAATTATTTTATTATATGATGAGAGTTAACCACAAACATGTCACTAAACGCTAGTCATAATTATAAACCTAGTAAACCCAAATTATACATTGGTGGGAACAAGCTGGAACCACTGGCTCTGGGGATCATTCAGACATAGAGAGTCATCTTCTATGCAAATACATTTTGAAGTTACAATGATGGATGAGTTGGAATTCTTCTGCAAACATATTTGTTCTCCATCTTGATCCATAGTCGCCAAGTGAAGTTTAGACAGTGATACAGATTTCCAAGAACTGTTCTTGCTTTGGCAATCATCAGAAACAGCAACTGGAAGCCCTTCACTAGAGGCAGTTAAGCACTTCTTAGAGCCTTGTAAAAGGATTTGAGACCCATTTCCACCATAAATCCATCTGTTTTGGTTATCACAACTACCAACTTCAAGTTCATTCTTGTCATTCACTTGGGCACATTGACCAGATAATGGGTGGTACAAGATATATGCAATGGGGACCTTAGAAGTAGGATCTGAACCAAGAACACACAAGTTAAATGCAGGATAGGACATTGATTATAACTTTTCAAATGCATGCTTGAAAAAGTACTCAATCTTTTTTTGGTAGCCCAAAAAGCTTACCTTGATTCTTCCTTTGAATAAGTTGGAACTTGTCAGTGAAATTTGGGTCTCTAAGGTGATCCCAAGTGGCATCCATCACACCAAATGACTCTTCAACTTGAATTTTGTCTCCTCTTACATAGTAGTCACCTTGAAATGCCCACAAACCCCAATCCAGATCTCTACCAGCAAGATAGGTCTGAAGGCAAGTCAAGAACCTGTTGTCTTCCACTGAAGAACCTGTCTGGTCGAACCCAAACTCTGTAAAGATTAAAGGGGTTGCATTCTTACCAATGGTGAGGAACCCTACTCTATAATCTAACCCCTTAATGCTATTGGCACATATCCTGTTCAATGGTTGCTTAGTCCAAATCTCCTTCAATTTGAGTGTCCCAATTCCAGACCATGAGTACAAATGTGTCTCAAATACCATTTTCTTCCCCAAATCTATCTTCAATGGCCTATTCCTTAAAAACTCTAACTCGGTATCATAGTTCAAACCTGAGATAACCACAAGGACATTTGGGTTTGCCTTGTGGATGGCTAGTGCTCCTTGACTCATGTACTTGTACCAATCATTCAAATTTTGACGTGGACCATGCAATTCATTCCTCAAACTCATTGCCACAACCTGTTGATGAACAAAACATTAATCACAACAAGTTATGCTACATTCAATTTAGCATTTAACAAATAGCAATATAATAATACATACAGCATGATTTCCATTGAAGTGTTTGGCTGCCAAAGTAAGGCCATGCACCCATTCTTGAGGATCAAAGTGTCTATCATGAAAAAATCCATTCTGATCATCATCATTACAACACCACTTTGGCTCACTGACATGGTTATCAAGCAACACTCTCACATTCTGAACTCCAAGTTCATGAACCACAGCATCAAAGGCTTGAATATGTGTCATGCTCAACACTGAAGGGTTGTTTTTGGCAATACCATCAATCACCTCTGGTGCATCCAAAGAGGCAAATGTGTCAATCACATTGTCATGGCCATAACGTGTCCACATGTAAATTGCATACGTGAGACGAACACAGTTGAACCTGTGTTCCACAAGCTCAGTAACAAGGTCCTTCAATGGCCTTCTATCAAGACCCTCAGGGATCATTGGTTTAAGGTGACCAGCCCAATTGCCACATACCAACTTGGCACGTTGTCCTGTGGAATCATCCATGATCCATCTACTGTGGGTTGATAAAGGGTAAGCATTAGAATGTGATGAAAAATAGGTACATATGAAAACAAAGAGAAGAACAAATATGGATTGTGTAGTTGTTCCTAACATCTTGAGTTTGAATGGAAAGGAATCATCCAAAAGAGTGCTTATATAGAGAAAATTTCAGCATAGAAAATTAGGAACAATATGATGTTATGCTACAATCTCTATAAAATTATTAACTAATTGTTAATTGTTTTTGTTGTAACAGATTATTATCTTATCTTGTGTCTTTATAACAAGCATATCTTTTATGTTTCATCTGCGTAACAAACTCTGAATGGTGCTTAAAATTGGGATTCAAAGAATCTAAATGATTATGATTACTTAAATTGTTATATCGAAGGTCCTTATGTATCACCGACACCAGTCTTAATAGAAATAAGCATTATGTAATTGAGAATAATAGTGAAGCAACATATGTGTGTGTGGCTTTTTTTTTTTTTATGTGTGCGTGGCTTTAATTGCTTATTGTTTAAATTACCAAATATTTTATTATAATATACTTTTTTTGTTATATTAAAAAAATAAATTAAAGAGATAAGATTTCTAAATTTTAAAAAATTATAAAAAATCAAAATTTAAATTTAAACAAAATAAATAAATATTAAATACAAGAGAAATTAAATGACGTGAGAAAGAATAGCTAAAAATAACTCTTATTTAAGGTATTTTTTTTTAAAAGGTAAAATCTATTTTACCTCCTTTAATTGAGAAGGTTTGATATCGTCATTAATACATGGACAACTCTCACTGTTAATTTTATATTAATAAATAATAAAGAAATTATTATTACTAATTTAAAGATGGTAAGTAATATCTTTTCAAATTTATGGGTATCACACTTTTCTAAAATTGCTTTCAATTAAGAATAATGACTCTTGTTTAATATATAAAAGTATATTTTTTTCTGCTAAATACATCTAAATTTGATTAAGAATTTAAGCATGTTAATTTTATATCTTTTCTATCATTTAAAGTACATCGTTACTAATAAACCATAAGAATTTATAATCTTCACATGAATGATAATACACTAGCCTTGGAAAGAGTTCATAACAAAAAAAAGGAAATTTTTTATTAAAAAAAGGAAAATGTGAAATATCAATAAACCTTTCGTGAGTATTAATTTTAACTGAAAGCAATTTTAAAAGTTTTTTAAATTTTTTAAGAGTATTTTTAAACATGAACATTTCTAGAAGTATTTTCAAACGAGAGCATTTTTGGAGATTAAGTTCATTTTTATCATACCAAGTCATTTTCTCTGCATTATATATTTATTTTTTAGTTTAAATTTTTTGATATTTTTTTTAAATTTTATTTAATATAATAAAATATTTATTAATAATAATTATAATACTGACTCTTTCAAAATTTATAAAATTTATTGAAATTTAAAATATTCAAATAATACATTTAAATTGTTTAAAAATTAATTTAATTTAATGATACTAGTTTAGTGCACTGAAAAAAAAAATACTAATTTGTTATATTTTAATTATTAACCTCTCAAATGTACAGATAACTATGCTCAAAATCTATTCAATTGTGAGTTAACGAAGAGTCACTTTAAACTGCATCAAAAGCTTTTCCCACATACCTCTTTCTTCTTTCTATTTATAATATTTTAATCAAGAATTTAAACATGCTAATTTAACAACGACTATATAATAAAATAAAAAATAAAAATGCTAACCTGATATTTTGTGTCCACTAGTACTGGGCAAAGTAATTTTCGCCCAGAAAAATATTACTTGTACAATAAAAACTACATAATAATTCATATATATTACATTACCTATTTTTTTATATGCCTCTCGGTTTCTATTTCTCATATTTTGTAAGAAATACTGCATAAAGAATCAATAGAATTTCTGGGCGTTGTCTTGTTGCTGCATGCTTTGCAACATTTATTGATGGACCAGAAACAAGAAAAAAGAGAAATGAATCATTTGGTACTAGAATCACACAATCATGAAGCAAGAACACCATGCACTAACCATCCACCATGTATGCTTGCAACACAAAATGGTATTTTTACCTCTCTTTCATCACAAGCCTACTCTGTCAAGCAAATTACCAAATTGGTGGCACAAAGAAGGGTACATCAATAGTGGAACGTAGAAGTTCCATCATACGATTCAACAGCATACATATGTGAAGACACTACTGGTTTTGATTAGAAAAACCAACTGGGTTTCTAAAATAAGATTAATTTGCCTTAGGATACTTTTTACAACAAATGTTAATAACATTACTTTACGCAAATTTCATTAGATAAAGAAACAAAATATGTAGTTTAAAAGTTCCATATATAAAAGTTTACATTAAAAAAAGAAAAGAAAAGTGTAATTATGATGTTTTCACTTTGGTCAAGTCTTCCCACGTGTGGTGTTGAGAAACAGCACAACCAAACGGGCCCACCACATCCACATTGGTAGGTTTTATGTAAATCTGTGGTCCATGGACGGCAGGCGGTTCATATAGTTACACGTCAGTTTAACATTTAGCTTTACTTATAATTTTTAAAGTAATTTATTAATAATATTATATATTTTTTACACGTAAAATAATAATAATTATTAATTTTATATTAATAGAGAATAAGATTAATAATTTATTTTAAAAAAATTAAATATTTTTTAATTTATAAAATATCATAAAATTATTATTATCAACTTAAAAAAATATATAATATCTTTTCAAATTTACGGATCTTGAATACATTCATTTTAAAAAATAATTAAAATTTGAAAAATAAAAATAATAATAAAATATTTAATCCTTGTATATATATTATTCTTAACCAAACTCTATCCATTATTGCTGCCTTATCACAAGTGTTTTATCACTCCACGTATTCAAATTTTGAGGGCAAAAAGAGCATAATCACGACTAACACGAGAATGCCTAACAATGTGCTAGTGATCTAATGTTGATAGTTTCTTGCAGATAAAAGGTTCATGTCTTCATGACAGTCCAAAAAGAATAATTGCAAATTGGCATTGACCATAAGAAGCGCAGCAATTTGTGAAGATAAAGGAGCCAAATTAGATGCATTCCCCACATTTCATTATGTTACATAAGGTCAAAAAATATCATCCAATACACGCTGCCTATAATTTTTTTACCCCTGTCATCTTCAAGACTTTTAACACACTAAAATCATTCAAAAGCTTGACACTTCTTGCCGAGAAAAGAAGTGGCCAGAAGGGGAACCATTAGGCAACAATGCTAATCTAACAACACTAGCAGCACCATTTTCAACACTTATTATGCCTGTGTTTTTGTTAATGTCTGTTTTAACAAAACCAGGACAAACACAATTAATGCACAGCTTTGGGTACTTATATGCCAAAAGCCTTGTGTAAGAATTCATGGCTGCTTTTGAGACCATATAGGAAGATAGGTAAGTTGGCCACCCTTTGTTTTCTAGTGAACCTTCTTTCAAGTCTTTCATATACTCCTTTAGTACCTCATCTATTAGCTCTTCAGTGAGATTTTCAGTATCATCAAACACCCTCCTAGCCCATTCATTTGATATGTACTGAAACACGCCATAACATAATATTTTTAATGTTTATGTAATGTAAAATCATATTCTGAAAGAATTAAAAAAAAATGTTATTATTGTACCTTTAATAACCCTGCTTGGGAGGAAACATTAACAATCATTGGTGAATTGGATAACTTAAGAAGGGGAAGAAATGCCTCAGTTGTTTCCTTAGCACCATAGTAGTTTGTTGTTAGGCATTTTTCAGCCATTTCATAAGTTTGAGGTAGCTCCTTCCAGTTAATTTTTGATCCCACCTGCACTAGTGTATAGGAGACCCAAATTAGAGGATTTATATAGATAGACCAACACCTTCACAAAATATAGAATAAAACATACACACTAACCATGCCATCTGTATTGAACCCATTGATTCCTGCATTGTTCACCTGCACATAAATTTGAAATTCTTAAGAAGATGACTCATTCACGTAAAGCAAAAGAGAAACAAATATATATATATATATATATATATATATATATATATATATATATACACACACAAGTTATTGCTACGATGAACTCGTTGATATTTTTCAATATCACCAATATGAATCATGATTGGTTTGTCTGAACTCTGAATTAGGTTGCTGTCAACCAGATCAGGCAGAGCTTTTCGATATTGAAGATCACCCAAAAATAAATAAATAAGTGCTACAATTTGAAGCGGCCCAAACCAATATTCAAGCAAAGAAATTTATTTGATTCTATTTAATAGAGAGATGTCACTGGACAACAATTTCAGCATAATATAGAAGGAATTATTGGGGGAACAGATGGAGAATTGTGTGAATAAGAAGATAAGTGAGAACAGTTAAAGGAAGATTCTTAGACGCAGTTTTTCACTAGAATTGTGCACCATGGTAATTGAGAATCAAACTATTCAAGTAAGCAAACCAAGTGGGGCATAATGTATATGCAAAATTTCTACCCATTTCATATTATAATCATTCATCAAACCGTCTTTACACAGAAAAGCTGAAGTAGAGGGTAAAAGAGAAGAAGAGAAAAGAACCAAAGTTGAGAATATTCAGTATCGTGAACATCTTCTTACCAATATATCAAGTCTCCCAAATTGAATCTTAACAAACTCAACCAAAGATGCAATACTAGCAGGGTCAGTGACATCAAGCTGGTGAAAAACAACAATGCCAGAGAAACCACATTCTTTCAGTTTCTGAATAGCTTGATTACCCCTTTTCTCATCTCTAGCTGTGAGCACTACTTTGACTCCATTTGAGGCCAACCCTTTAACAGTCTCCAATCCTATTCCTTTGTTTGCACCAGTAACAACAGCATATCTGAAAGCACAAACAAATCAAGCAAAAATGTTACCAATTATACATTACATACATTGAAAGGAATTAAGGGTATCTTAAACAAGTGGGAAATCATGGCCCCAGATCATAAAGAGAAAAAAAAGTACCTTTCTTTTGCATCTGCCATACCCATTGATGATGAATCTGGATGAATGGATGCACAAGGGAAGAGGTTAATATTTAAAGTGGAAGACGGCTATAAAATAATATAAGTGCACTTGTCTCAGACAATTATATTATATAGTCAAATGGGTTAGGACATCTTAGAGTGTGTGTGATAAATTAACTTTGACGTTGTGTTAATGATGTGGATGTTGTCCCTATCATAAGTGGTTATCTATCTATTTACCAGAAAAATAAAAATAATGGTTATGTATCTCTTGTGGATTCTTATTTTAGTACAATTCGCTCATCTAGAAAACAGACCATAAAAAGCAAAAGAAGGAGTGATGGAGAGAATAGGACATGGATAAAAATCCCAAAAATCGCTTGGGAGGTTTACCTAAAATAATCAATAATCGCAGATTCAAATTTTCTGTTTTACTTTAAATTGCACACCGTAGACTACTTTTTTTTAGGTTGACTTTCGGTATCTTCATTTCATTTTTACTGTTAAGTACTGTGAATCTAGTTGGGTACACTGTTAAAGGGGGAAAGACAAATCAACTCACAGTTTGGTCTGACAACTTTGCTTTAAAGATTTCCTGTGAAACACAAACATTTATACAAATCTTTTATCATATATATATATATATATGATAAATATTGACCAATTTAAGAATATTTTTGAATTTGTCCAAAATTAGACATAATAATAATAATAATAATAAATGAAAATAGTTTTTTATTAGGAATTATAACATTTAATAGTATTAATTTAAATAAATAAATTGAACAATTCATACTATCACTCGTTATATTAAAATTCTACTTGATTTATATTTTATTAAACAGGCTAACATTCATGGTGGACTAATTTTATAATAATTTTTTAATATGTTTTGGAGAACACATAAGAAAAATTTATATATAATAATTTTTATTAAAAATCATAAAAATTATTAATAATATTAAATAATAAAAATATTATTTATGAAATTTTTTAATGTGTATAGCACACACACGTTAAAAGAAATGATTCCATAATTATATTGACCAGCATAAAAATAAAACAGATCATTACTGCTTTATTAACTTAATTTATATGAATCATTAAATTATAAATGTTTAGTTAAGATTTTGGCAGGTGAGATAATGGTTAGAAATTTGAAATTTGATTACCTGCAGAATATGTATAATTAAATTTGATCGACTTAGGGGTGGTTCTAGAAGAAGTGCCTCGTGAAGTTGAGACATTGTGGCAATGGCAAAAGAGAGTGGGAAACCAGTGGAAAATTAATCCCACCAATAACAATTATCAAAGTCCTAACCTTCCAGAATTTCTTCATCAGCAGTTCCTATTACAATGCAATTTTCTGTTCTTCTAGATTCTCCCAGAAAATCTCAATTCGTTGTTAAGAAGACCAAAGCTAAAAGTTTCAAATTGATGAAACATGAAGTAAACGTGGAAAATTCAAAATGACATTAACGATGAATGTTAAAGATAATAGACCTTAGAGATCTCAAATATTTGATTATAAAAGATTTGGGTAATCGTTGCGGCAAAGGCACATTTGGATTGACTATGCTCGGATTATGGGAAAGCGGCGACAATTGATGACAGAGTCTACCTTCCAGAATATCTCATCTTCATCGTCACCTCAGTATCTTCATGCCAAATTACAACACATTTCTAGAAGAAAATCTCCCCTTTCCCTTATTTCTAGAAAAAATCTTCATTTTCCTTATTCAAAGTCGCATTTATCACCATGTTATCTTTCTTTATTTAAAAATACTTTAAACTAAACGTTTAAAAATATTTTTTTTTTATAAAATAAGTGGTTCAATTAATTTTTCTACACTGGTTTTTGTTCGATTTTGTATGATTTTTAACCAATTCAGCAAATTTTAATTACTTCGATATAATATAAAAGCAAACTTTTGTCTTTTTTTTGTTTTTTGTTTTTTTGTCAAACGGAAACTTCTGTCTTCAACCTTTGGTTTTCTCATCCTTCACATACACAACAAAAGAAAAATTGATTGACCCATCTGTGGCTAACATCCCCTCTAAATACATCTAACCATTGTCGTGAGAATCAATGGTAGTGAAATCAACCAACATTATCTGTTTTTTATTTTTTTTAATTATGTATTTTGAAAATGATTTTAGTAAATACCATTGATATCCCCCATGCCAACAACCAAAAGACTTATGTCCTTAAAGCATAGAGATCACCAAAGTGGGATTTTATTTTTTCAAACAAAAGTTTTCAAAAACATAGTCAGGAATTGAACCTGTTAGCATGTTTAAGGAACATAACTATTTACTAACTGTACCAAACTTTGTTGATTGTAATCATAAAAATTTGATTCCTCAAGAAATCCATGGAATAAATAGAAGTTGAAAGATGTTATGTAGTGACATACAACATGATATAATGTGCTTAAAATAGGCTCAATAAACATAGAATTCCATGTAGAATAACAATTGACAAGCAAAAGCAATGCAGTGTCCTCAAACCATAAAATTGCATTACTAATCAAAAGGAAGACACGTCACTCCGGTAATAGAAGAGGCCAGAAGCACTACCATTGGGAAGTAGAGCTAGCCTCACCGGACCCACGGCGCCTTCTTCGACCGATAAGAAGCCGGTGTTGCCGGTTATGTCTGTCTTGACATAGCCAGGACAAACACTATTGATGCAGAATGTTGGGTAATTCTTAGCAAGAATTCTAGTATAGGCATTCATAGCAGCTTTAGAGACAATGTACGCACATAAATGCTTAGGCCAGCCTTTGTTTTCCAATGACCCTTCTTTGAAATCTTTGAGAAACTCCTTCAACACTTCATCCACTTTCTCTTCTGTAAGATTTTCTGCATCACTGAAGACTCCTTTAGCCCATGATCCATTTGGTAAACTCTGAGTTTGACATGAATAAGCAATAAGGAGATGATAGAAAATGATAAACTGTCTATGAAAATTTTGGATATGAACACGGAAAGAAACTAAAAATTTTGCTTCAACATCATACATAAGGCTAATTGAAACTGTTGTTAACAATCTGGGTTATTGGTGGAGATCCATTTCTAACAACTAAGATTATTTTCTATTCCTATATGTAACATTTGCTCTTCATCTTTTAGTATATACTATTGTGTCCATTTTTTAACTTGTTGGAAAAGAGAGGCAAAAATTATCAGACTCTCAACGAGAGATAATGGAAGATGTCACTGTTTTTAAACTCTCAAGATTTATCAGTATTTAAGAGAATAAGAGCAAATTTTGCTCGAAACATCGTCCTAAACACTAGTGTTTAATTTTCCTTTACTCATTTCAGTCAGATTTTATGCAAAAACCATAAGAATTTATTGATGCAAGAAGTAATACCCTACCTCTAATTGCCCCAGTTTGGATGATACATTAACAATTCTTGGTGAATCAGACAACTGGAGAAGGGGCATAAGGGATTCAACAGTTATTTTAGCACCATAATAATTTATTTGCAGGCATTCTTCAGCTAGCTCATAAGTTTGAGTCATTGCCTTTCTCCCATCATCTTCTGATATTACCTGCAAAATAAGGAGAACTCAATACTCAATCATTGAAGCTTTTCTAACAACTAACAACATGCCCTGCCCAAAAATAAAACAATTATAACCTTTCTAAAAACCAGAAGTTTATAACCTTTCTAACAATTATAACCTTTCAATTATAATCTGCCAAAGCTTCAATCAGAATTAAAAGAAGTTTAAACTTTTTTGACAAGGATAAGCGGTTCAATAGGACAATATTGTAATTCAAAGGGTATGATTAGATATAAAGTTTTAATAATCCAATTTCAGTGCATTGTTCACATCAAGCTCTTCCTTCCCATAACCCAAAAAAGAAACTGAAAAGGAAAAGAGAGAGTAGGGAGGGGCAAGAACTTCCAATCACAATTGTGAAAACATTTTCACTCTGCTCTTGTAAGTATTTTATATCATTAGAATTTGAGGGTCTAGAAAAAAATTGCAAACTGAAGACCCTTTTCTACAGTGCAAATTTCCTCATCTATTAACTAAATTTTACAACAAGCCTAGATACTTACCCCACGATTCATGATGGCCACACTGAGTAAATCAAGGTCTTTAATTACAACGCCACCAATCCCCGCATTGTTAACCTGCATCAATTCATACAATTTTTCTTAATGAAATATGCAAAAATTAATATAAGTAGCTATCAAGAAAATTTACCATAATTCTATAACAACGAATAACAACACTTGCTAGATGATCACCCCAACATGCAATGGAAACTAATAAAAGTTTAGACACAAATATTTGAACTCATACAAATGGATCATTAATTGCATGCATGACTGAAGTTCATCAAGTTAATCAGTATCTCGCTTCATTTTTTAACTGAAGCTCTAACATGCAAAAATTAAAGGACCACTTCAACAAACTTTACTCTAAAAAATGAAAGGAGTAGCAAAATTGCATGTTACCAGCAAATCAAGTTTCCCAAACTTAGATTTGACAAAATCTGCCAAAGAAGCGACACTTGTAGGATCAGCCACATCGAGCTGATGAAAAACTACAAGGTGAGATAGACCTGAATCTTTGAGTGTTTCCAGTGCATGAAGACCCCTTTTCTTATCTCTTGCTGTAAGCACCACTTTGATCCCAGCTAAAGCTAATTGCCTACAAATCTCTAATCCAATTCCTTTATTTGCTCCAGTCACAACTGCATACCTGAGAAACTCAACCCCCACATCAAAGATTGAAAGGGAAACAAGAAAGGGATTAAAAAAAATGTAAGATTTAAGACAAGGATGCCAAGAACAGGTTTGAAGGATAAGTGTGAATGTGCTTACCTTTCTCTAGTTTCTCCCATGTTCAGTTTCCACTTTCAAGCCCAACTCTGTATATGCAAGTCCAAGTAACAATTTTGAACAAGTCAAAATTTACACTATATCTAATACATCCTATAATATTTTATACAGTAAAAGATGAAAGAGACAACTAAAAATTACCACAAAATTGTCAAAACAAATTATTGTTGTCTGCCAACCTTTTGTGGTTGTTTGCAGTGTAAATGAAAACGCCGCCTTACAAGAATAAAGATTTTTACATTGAATGTATCAATCACATTTCCATATTTTTCTAGATAAGGTAACTATTCTTAATCAGTAAATATATACTTAAACTTTTCTTTATTTTGTCCTTGAACTATACAAATAGATGCTTTCATCATCCTAAAGCTAATGGTTCCTTTTCTTCAAAATTTAAATTGTTATTTTAATAAATTTAAAAAGTAATTTTTTAAACAAAGGACATGGTCTTCTCTATCCACAATGTGCAGCTTGATACTTGCTAGTTTCTCCTTTGAGAACCAGCAAGCTCAATTGCATGGCTGTTGTAATCCGTGTGACTGGGTGAGGGTCTGTCCAAGATTGAAGCAAAAGTAAAGGGAAAATTTTTAATGTAATTACTTAAATATTTTGGTGTTATTTTATAATTAAAGGTTATACTAATTCAAAAATAAAATTTTAATTATAAATTTAAAAAATTCTAAAAACACGTAAGGTAATGCATGTAACTTTTTTCGAAAGTAAAACTATGATCATTATGCAAAGAATTTCAATGAGTTATTTTGTGTTATTTCTTATGGCACTTGAAAAACACAATGAAGGGATTATGAGGAAGAACTTTCTCCTTCCCCTTCTAGAAGAGCTCTCTTGTTGACACCAGCACCCTCCTCAAACAAAACTCTCGTTTTTTTGTTAATCTTTTCAGTTTATAAGAATGGATCAAAAAGAGTCGCGAACATAGTCAACCTCTGACGTCCAACTCATAGTTCTTATTGCACGTTTCTTCCTATGAATTTCTATGTTCTTTCCTTCATGTTTTTTTCTTATAAGGCTGAAAGAGAGTTCCAATAGTTTTACATTTTTTTTTCTTAGTCTTTTTGTGCACAGAAGAACGTAGGAGTGATGAAAATGTCCTCTCTGTTTTGTGTGGTATAATGCTATCGAGAAGATATTTTCAATATTAAACTAAAGATATTTAGTTGTTGAAAATTTAGATTAAAAGTATTGCAAATAATATATTAAGCAATATAAATTTTATAAATATGAATAAATATTTTGAAAATTTTAAAAGTTTATATAAAGTAATAATTTTTATTTTAAACTGTAAGCATAGATATTTATGAAAATTTTGATAGTTTATATAAGGAATAAAATAATTTTTATAAATGCAAATTAAGTATATATGACAAATTTAAAAATTTATGGAAGATAATAAGATAAAGTTAAATAGCAACTTTTATATCTAAAATTTAGAATAAAATAAAAAAGTGGGTATAAATTATTAATTTATACATTAATTTCTAAATCTACTCATGATTAATTGTATAAGAACTGAATGTTTCAGTTCCTATATAGTATTGACAATACTGTGGTTTGATTATTTCTTTACTCCATTAAAATTAGGTTGGTTCTAATAAAACAAATCTTATTTACTTTGCACAAGAATTAAGACCTACGACTTTCAAATCCTAATCAACTAACCCTATACACATTTCCTAAACATCCAATTACAGAATCTAATGGCATTTATCCGAGTTTTCAATTTTCACAATCTTTTTGGCAACAAATTTTAGTTGATAACATTAGATGGGAATCATCTTTTCCAATGATCATAGGCCCTATAACCATTCCAGAATGGGAACAACAACTAGAATTAGTTAGCCAAAAAAAAATTTGTGAAATTGATTTTGTAAGCTTCAGTTTTTAGAGCTAATTTTCAACATCTAAAAATAACAAGAAGAATTTAAAAAAAATATCTTTTAAAGTTGTCATCAATTTTGTTTGATTTAAACAAAAATGAAAAATTCTTTAGAAGTTATTATAGAATAGAATTAGAGAATCAATTATGCACAAGACACAACATAAATTAAATATCTTAGCATTTTAACACATCATCCAAGAGGATTACAAGCAGTGCAGTTTGTCCTCTAGTTCATAAAATTGTACCATATATTAATCAAAAGGAGGACACCTCACTTCTCTGATAGAACAGGCCAGAAGGACTACCATTAGGAAGCAGTGCTAGCCTCACAGGACTAACAGCACCTTCTTCAACTGTTAAAATGCCAGTGTTAGCAGTTATATCTGTCTTGACATAACCAGGGCAAACACTATTGATGCAGAATGTTGGGTATTTCTTGGCGAGAATTCTAGTATAGGCATTCATAGCAGCTTTAGAGACACTATAGACACTAAAACCACTCCACCCTTTGCTTTCTAATGACCCTTCTTTGAAATCTTTGAGAAACTCCTTCAATACTACATCCACCTTCTCTTCTGTAAGGCTATCAGCATCACTGAAGATTCCTTTAGCACTTTCATTTGTCATGAACTGATTTTACGTAAATAAGCAGTATAAGAGATCATGCAAATTAGAGGAGCAGCATAAGCATAAATGAGGATGTCTATAAAAATTTTGGAGGAGGAGAGGGAAAAGAAATTGAAGATGTTTCCCCAAAATCATTTGGGATTTTGATTAGTAACCGTATATTTGGACATTTATGAAGTATAAAAATAAGGGTATGAAAGAATATAAAGGATTTTTGAAAAGGACAAAAATTAAATGCAGTTCTTTAAATACTTTTAGTGTTGTTTACCAGTCAAAATTAGAGTCTTAACACGGTAAAAGGTCCACATTTAATGTTGTTGCGACTTGCAGGTTACTAAAGTGAGACTAATTTTGATTGATAAACAACATCAAAAGTACCTAAGGAGCTGCACCTATGTTTTGTCTTTTGTAAAATCTATTTGGAAACTTAGATAGAACATAAGAAGTTTTGGAAATTAAGAAAGTTTGCTTGGGGATAAAAGAAGTGTGTTTATGAATAGAACAAATGGCCTAGGAGTGTTGTAAGACCAAGATAAAAACAAGTTGCAAAGGTGATCTTCTAGTTATGAGAGAGTAAATAATGGGGCATGGATTAGATTATTTAAATCCATATTTTTTTTATGTACTTAGTATTGGTTTAATCCATTGGAGTAGATGTATGCATGTGACTTGTAGAACCATGATCAATGCTTGTGTCTGTGTGCTCCCTGTGTCATTTTGTTAATTGGACTCTCCCTTATTGGATCTAACAATAAGACCCTCAAAATCAAAGAGATGATAGACGTCACTAATTCTGTTTAAACTCAAGATCAACCAAAATATGGATGGGCTGACTCTATTTATCAAATATTAATATCAGATCAATGAAGATGCTGTCAATATTTAAGTCCTTCTAAGCCAAACAGACATCTACTTAACCATTAGATTTTCAAGCTTAATCATCCCAAAGAATTTATTGGCTTTAGAAAGAGTGGCTTACCTCTAACTTCCCCAATGTGGATGATACATTCACAATTCTTGGTGAATCAGATAGGAGGAGGAGAGGAAGAAGAGCTTCAGTTGTTCTTTTAGCCCCATAATAATTTATTTGAATGCAATCTTCAACTAACTCATATGTTTGAGTCATTGCCTTTTTCTTGTCGTCTTGAGATACTTCCTGTGCAGTAAGAACAATTTAATGCTCAACAACCATTGTAGAAATTTTCCACTTCAAATTTAAGTTAACATATATATAATTTCCTGAATTCATTAGTAAGTCTACACAAAGCCACAACAGAATCAATAAAAATCTTCATTTTTTAATCAAGTTAATGGTAAAATGTTTAATATGAAAATGTTGGAAATTGGAGGTTTGATTGGGAATACTGTTTTTATCACCTTTCAGTGAATTATACATGCACAAAATGATCAAGAAAAATAGCAAAACAAGGTTCCTTTCTGTACAGGGTGATCAAGTTTAAAACTTTCATATCGTAACTAGCGTTGACTAGATTTCATAACATGTGTAGATAACTAACCCGGCGCGTAGTGATTACTAAAGAGTATAAATCACTGTCTTTAATTTCAACTCCACCAACCCCTGCATTGTTAACCTGCAGAATACAAACTTTATTAACGAAATTTGCAAATATTAATAAAATCTATCAAGTTGATTAAATCCTGACTGAAGCGTGCTTAATTCTAAAATGTGGTCAACAGATTACAAGGTGAATGTGATTTGATATATAATCAAAACAATTTACACCAATTAAAGAAAAACCTCAAATGGCAAAGATGTAACATTTAGTAGAACCCAATAATGGCTAACCAAAAGAAGTACATGCATGTAGAACCACACAACAAAAATGAATAATTGTAATTTCAAGATGAAATCCATGACATCCAATGGAAATTAAATTAAACAAGAAATTGAAAGACTATTTCAAATCTGCAAATGGAAAATTAATTGTATGTATACCGTTAGTTCAGCAAGCCAATTCACAAACATGTAGACTTTAGTTTAGGATGTGCCATTTCTTCAGTTATAACAACAAGGGAGCATTAAATTAATTTGCATGTTACCAGAATATCAAGTTTTCCAAATTCAGATTTGACAAAATTTGCCAAATGAGTTACACTTGCAGCATCAGCCACATCTAGCTGATGAAACACTACAAGGTCAGATAGACCTGAGGCTTTTAGATTTTCCAATGCTTGAAGACCTCTCTTCTCATTTCTTGCTGTGAGCACCACCTTGATCCCAACTGAAGCTAACTGCCTCACAATCTCTAGTCCAATTCCTTTATTTGCACCAGTCACAACTGCATACCTGACAAAATCAACCCCATTTCAACCAAACTAAATAAATAAATAATAGAAAAAAAATGGATTAGGAAAATAAAATGATTTAAAACCTTGATTGGATGTTGCAAAAGGAATTATATCCAAAAGAAACAATAGTGCTAGTGTTTCTACCTTTGTGGTGCTTCTTCCATCTTGAATTACTTTGAGGTGAAGATCAAGAAGCACAGTGCTGTGCATGTAACTGTCACATAAAATTGTAGTTTCCAAGCCAATGTGGTTCATTAGTATATAGTGGTCCTTCTTATCCCTATGCCAGCCCAAGACTGTTCACTTTCAAGGCAAAAAGGTTACTAAAGTAAGTATACTCTCTCTTTCAATCATGGTCAAGAAAAAAAACCTTTGTCAACATATTTAAAGACCCAACTATCCACCGATTTTGTAGGTTTTGATTGAGAATTGTGTGTCTATTTAGAATGCCTATTACCCTAATGAATAAAAGGATCTCAAACAAAATAATATTTTGATAGTTTAAGTTCAAGTTGAATGAAATAATATTTTGAATTTTTTAACCTGTGCAAAGTTGCACAGGATAAATTCTAATAAATACATCACTTAATTAATTTGTATTAATTATTTTACTATGATTTTTTTTAAAAAATATTTTTTACTTTTCTTTCATTAATTAAGTTGTGTATTTTTTTGAGGTTTATATCGTGCAAGGTTACACAAATTAAAAAACTCTATATAATATTTAGATCTAAATAGTTTATCTCATATATGGAATGAGACTTATATTGTTGTTATTGCTATGTCTAATGAGTAGTACTTACTATTTGTGACCTGCTGAAAGCTACTCCTTTTTCTTCTATTTGAATTTTAAGCTTCCATAAAAAAATATTAAATATATTTTTAGCTTTTTTCTTATTATATTCTTTAATTTTTTAAAAATTTAATCATTTTTTATCCAGACGATGACATGAACAATTCAAAATTTACGCTATATATAATACATTATATAATTATTTTTATTTATACATTAAAAAAATGAAAGAGAACTAAAAATTACCATAAAATTGTCAAAAACCCATAATTGTTGCCTGCAAGCCTTTTGTGGTTGTTTGGTAGTATATATGAAAGCACCGCCCAACTCACAAGAATAATGATTTTGTTCGTTGTTGCATTGAATGTATCGACCACATTGATTTGCCTATTTTTATTGGTGCTTGTTGCGGTGCTGCGAAATTCAAGAGGGCATTTAATGTTACTTTTAGATGGACTCATAGAAAGTATTTATATTTTTTAATAATTAATTTAATATATTTAATATATATTTTTATTGTAAAATATTTTTTAGTGCAAAAATGTTCAAATTTTTTGTTAATGTAATTACTTGTTACAAGAATTCACAATCCTCGACTTTAACCTAACAAGAAGTTATGTTTTATAAAAGTGTCAAAAAAACATCTAGCAAATGATAACAAAGTCCTAAACTAAATTCAATGTAAATTGAGCTACAATTGTTTGGTCAATTTAGAATGCGAACTTGTTGAACTCGCTCTTTATTTTAGTTAACCTTAAGTGAGTTGAAATCAGTTAAGAAATTAAAGTAGAAATTTTAGCAATTGCTTAATGAAGATACTTAGCCAAAGAGGGAACACTTCATGGAATTTGGAAAACATTTCAACCCCTGCACACCCGTTCATGTTGTTACTCGTTAAATTCGACCCATAACATGATATTGTGATCATAATATTTTCCACCAATTTTCGTTATGCAAATATCTCCTAATGGTTTTGTTTACATGTCACACTTTATTAAAACTAAATCAGACTTTAGAAATAAACTGAGTAATAAATTTATATCTTCAACTTTAAAATTTAGATCAACAACATTAAGCTTCCAAAATACTTATATAGCAGTAGTACTAATTTAAAGAATCTAAATATTAGAACTTGCTTAATTTCTTTATACATAAAGAAAACGATTGATTATATTCTAATTAAACTAAAATTGGAATTATCTAAATCATTTGTAAATGAAAATGCAGCATTGAATAATTAATATAGCATTGAATAACTAAAATGTCATGTTATCCTTAAAGAAACTTTAAAGATCCAAATCTTACTCTTAATCTTATTATATCATTGAAAATACAAGGAAGGCAAACAACATATTCTTTTAAACACATTTTTCATACACTTTTTGTAATTGGTCAATTTTTTGAAAAGTCCAATCAGTTTTAAAAAGTGTTCAATTTGTGAGACAAATGATCTGACTTTTTGAAAAATAAACCAATCATAAGAAATTCGATAAAAAAAAACATGTTCAAAAGAGTGTATCCCTTGGAAATATATAATGTTATCAATCAAAAGGAAGAGACTTCACTTCGAATATAGAGTATGCCAGATGGACCATCATTGGGTAGCAATGCCACCCTCACAGGACTTGCAGCACCTTCTTCAACTGTTAAAACTCCACTGTTGCCATTTATATCTGTCTTGACAAAACCAGGGCAAACACTATTGATGAGGAAATTAGGGTACTTCTTAGCAAGAATTCTTGTATAGGCATTCAATGCAGCTTTAGAAATCATATAGACACCAGCATGCTTAGGCCATCCCTTGCTTTCTAATGACCCTTCTTTGAAATCTTTGAGAAACTCCTTCAATACTTCATCCACTCTCTCTTCTGTAAGATTCTCAGCATCACTGAGGACTCCTTTAGCCCATTCATTTGATAATCTCTGAATTTGGCATAAATTACTCAGATATCTCTGAAATTTTTGGTGAAGGGAGTGGAGAAGCAATCTAAAATATTGGTCCAGTATAGGAATAAAAGTCCAAAAAATTGTTCTAAAAATAACCATTTTTAATTTAAATATTTAATTAGTGACAAAAACCAATTTTCTGTATATTGGCTAATATAAATGGCATTTTTTTAATTCCTGTCTCACTCTTTTTCATTTTCAGCATGATGAAAAGAAAAATGGAAAAGATATATAATAATTAAAACATATGGGCTCCAAAGAAACTAAATATCAACAAGTGAGAGCAGATAGACAAGAATGTTATCAGTATCTAGTCATTCTGAGTTAGGAAAAAACATTATTGAACTTTAATGCTATTCATCCTTAGAGCTTTCATCTTTGAAATAGGTTTGCACAAAGATCCTAAGAATTTATTTGCATGATGTTAAAAGTAATTTGCCTACCTCTAATTTTCCCCAGCCAGATGATACATTCACAATTCTTGGTGAATCAGATAATTGCAAGAGGGGTAAAAGGGACTCGGCTGTTCTCTTAGCACCATAGTAATTTATTTGCAAACACTCTTCAGTTAATTCATATGTTTCAGTGAATGCTTTTTCCCGGTCAGCATCTGATACTGCCTGTAATGTCAGGAAATAAAGAAACATAAGACTAAAAACAAAATAAAGAGACCATTATACAGTTTTTCAGCCTATAACAATTCATATCTCCAAATAGAAAACAAAAGTTACTATATAACCTGTTTACAATTTTGAAAGTTTCCAAGAGATAAACTAAGCACGTTGTAAAACCTTCTAGTATAAAGTTGTTTCTAGAACAATTTCAAGTTTAATATGGACATGGAATATTATCATAGATGGACACGTGAAGTTAGCGTTAAAATTCGAGGAAAAATATTCACCCTCATCTTCTAAGGTTGTTTATTAGGATAAAATTTAAGTGCTATACATAGGTACTATTTGTACTGAAATGAAGTTTCACCTAAATAATTTGTGTGATAAAAGTCAGCGCACCAGTGTTAAAAGTCGGCACACATTATTAAGGTAAAACTTTAATTCTGATTAGAGAACAACACCACCAAGACCTATGGTATTACACCTAAGTTTTATCTGTTCTATTATTGTAGAGGTGAAGATTGGATGGTGTTAAGAAATATTAGCAAATAGAAATTCCATTTTCCATTATACAGGTAGTATGCATCAAGTTTGAAGTTTGCCTCAAATTTTTGGTAGATGCCAGATCAAGCCTAGTTACTTACCCCAGGATTATTTATTACCATAACTGCTAAAGCATAGTCACCAACTATGGATCCAGTAACTCCTGCATTGTTCACCTGCATTAAACCGCTACGTTTGTTAATGAACAAAACAGTATTCAAAATATTGATGTGTGTTTGGAAACAAGTTAAAACATCTGAAAACATGGATTAAACTTAGAAGTTACAACTAGTAATATTGAAGTAAACATAAGTCCATGACTATTCAAACGTAAATCTAAACACTCTCAATATCTATTCTCTTCGGATATAAGAGAAAGTGAACGTGAGAAAGTAAAAATATTCACATTATCACAAATTTCCAGGATGTTAAATTTTAAGTTACAACAACAAAGGAGCATCAAAGTTGCATGTTACCAGAATATCAAGCTTCCCAAATTTAGATTTGATAAAATCTGCAAGAGAAGCTACACTTGTACGATCAGCCACATCGAGCTGATGGAAAACTACAAGGTGAGATAGACCTGAATCTTTGAGCGCTTCCAATGCATGAAGACCCCTTTTCTCATCTCTTGCTGTGAGCACCACTTTGATCCCAGCTAAAGCTAGTTGCCTAACAATCTCTAATCCAATTCCTTTGTTTGCACCAGTCACAACTGCATACCTGAAAAAGTCAACACCCCAGCACACATAAAAGATTTTATCTTAAAAAAATCAGAAAGGAGTAAAAGTGGTTTAAAAAGCATGAGATTTAACAGTGTGGTTGGAAGTAGGAACAAGGAAAGAAAAGAGAGAGGATAAGTGTTAGTGTGCAACCTTTCTGAAGCTGCTGCCATCTTCAATTCTTAAGGTAGAAGTCAACGCTCAACAGTGAGAGGAAGGCTTCAGTACTGTGTTACGATGTGCCTAGGGACAATTTTCAGCTTCTCTTTAATTAATACGATGCCAGCGCTGCGCTAATGAGTTTGTTAAGGAAATGATTTGGTTTTTCAAAACTTTATATGAATTCGGTGTTTGAGTTGTTTATTAATTTAACGTTTTATTTTAATAAAAAAATTTATTTAATATTATTGTAATATTAATTAAAAAAATATTAAAAACACTTATGACACTGTATTGAAATTTTTTTCATTTAATTTCTAGGTGTGTTTATTATCATTCTTTTATAAGTAATTTTTATTTAGAATATTTTTTCTCTCTTATAATTAAATTAATAGTGAGTAAAATCTCTTCTTTTTTTTTTTATAATTTAACAATCCTAAATATTTGTTTGACACAAATATATTTTTGATTTGTAGTATTTTTAAAATGTTATTTCATATAATATTTAAACTATCTAACTTTTTATTATTATCTTTCAAAATCTCTCTTTTATTTTTGTTTATGTTAAAAAATTTCTTAACATTCTCTCTCATACTCACTATCTTTTACTTTCCTTAAGCATATTTTTTTATAATATAAATTATGTTGTATTATCTCACTTTAGTTATTTAATAATTAGTGGAAAATATATATTTTTTACATTAAAAGTGAGACAAACTTTGTTCTCTCCTTTAATTTTAATAAATATTTTTGGGACATATGCATATAAATTGAAAAAATTATATATAAAATCAAATACTATATCAATTATTTAATGTTGAAATAAAAGAATTGATAATAATTTATCTTAAGCATGGCATTTCTTTCATCTAGAAGTCACAAACAATATTAAAGAGGTTTCATTAAATACTATTTTAGCAAAACTTATTTATTTATTTATTTTGTTGTGCTTTTTTGCCCATTTATAAACTTAGATCCTTAAACCCAAATTATGAGCAATGATTATATTAAATGGAAAATATTATAGTTGATACCACTAGTTTGTTATTATTATGTTTGTAAAAAAACAAATTGTATTTTTTTAATCTTTTCATGTTATGGTCATTATCATGTTTGAGTATCACTTAACATGATAAGCATAAAAAATCACATTAAAGGTTTTTTTATTTTTAAAAAAGATAATGTAACATAACAAATAAAAATATATATCAAATGGTTGTAAACTTACCATATTTAAATTAGAACTTAATTTGGATTAACTTACTTATGAGAGTTTTTTCAATTGGTCTAAGTATTTATTCCTATTCACAAAAAGTCAATTTATAGGAATCATTGGATAAACACACGGTTACAATATTTGCTGAAAAAAGAATGGAGAGAAAATTGTTAGAGAATCCGGATCCAATCTTTACACCTACGATGAACACGGGACAAAATTTTTCGTTGATATATATATATATATATAGTTAATTGACTAGTAATCATTATTATCGTGATAACCTATTTGCCTAACAGCACATGTTAATCCAAAGTTTACTCATCATTAGTAGAGGTAAAACTGATATTAAATTTCTAGTGAGCATATAAAACGGAGGTAAATACTCCCAATATTTTAAAAGAGCTTATCAAATGGCAATAGTAAGCTGCTAGTGATGAGGAATTCCGAAGTTCTAAGTTTGGGGTCGAGTTCAAACATATTGCATAAAAAATGCTACACAAAGTGTAAATAACGAAACTATCCACCACCGATAGCGGTCATCAACGTTACACAGCAACCATCAACTATCTCCAACATAGACACTAATATATACGAACTTTAAAAAGTCAAATTTCAATGTCTAATACAATAATTTACGGCCGAAACGAATGGAGACAGATTTCCCCATTTCGCTATTTGCCATGCAATACACAACGTTGCTGCTCATGAAACAGGAATTAAGAATATTAGGTTAGAAACCAAAGACAGAAAAAGCTTGGCTGCAACATTTTGCGACGTGAATTGCAGCGAGCCTAATAAATATAGTACATACAGACAGGACATCATTTTTCATGAACAAGAGGAGAATACACAGGGTACCACATATTGCTTCGGACGTACTCCACAGTCTCATCCTGCAACACTAACTACCAGTTAGCAATTCTCATTAATTTTGCATTGTTGAGATGTCAACGCATTCTACATTGATCGCATGCAAAACTTAGCGGCACATTCTACCAGAACTTTTAATATATCATAAAGATGAGTAATCTGAATTTTCCATACTTTTGACATGTGGGACAGTTCTCTGGGTCCTACATCGCCATGCCCCTCTGCCAGTTCTTCTTCAACTGCTGCTCGAAGCACGGCAGCCCCAACCTCTGCTGTAACATTTCTTATGCTGTGGCATGCAAAGTAGCGTTAATAAGTGAAGGCCATAATATCAGCTATTGAAAATTGTTTAGCTTCTTAACTGCCAAATCAAGACCATTTTCTCTTGGGAAAACACGGAATACACATCTTTTTATCCATATTAGAAGCTTTTACGATTAAGAAATGACTGAACATCTTTTTTAAGAGAGGAGTAGATTAACATCGATATTGTTAAGATATTCCGGGCCAAATTTGGCATCTAAATCCTAGATATAAAGGTAAAGCAGAGTAAAAGTCATCTCAACACGGTTTAAGTTTGTAATATATAAAAACTGCAAATTCATTGGTCCGGCTCATTGTAAAAGCCAACAGGAAAAGCCAAGCCAAGTAAAAATGAAAATCAAAAGATATAAAGGGAAAAAAGGAATATTACCTATTAATGGATGGATACAAAATTCCATTCAAGATATCTTCCTCCGCCATGTATGAAGCAAGGCTGCACGGTGGTCAATATGTTAGTAATTTATTTTAAAAGAATCAAGTGATGCAGAACTGGGAAAATTGAAAGGAAAATGGAATTTAATCAAATGAAATAAGCGATTTAATTTTCATTATATAAACTTGAAGGCACTGAAGATAAAATAGGACTTGAAAACCAATTGCAAGTGCATGGGATTACCATGTAGTCCATATGCTTTTCTGGGAAAGAATATAAATGCCCAAATATAGGACCTATATAGAATAGATTTCAAAGGGAAAAAATATAGAGAACAGGAAAGATGATGGAAAACACACAAGACAAGGACACACTATTCAATCACTATGCTTGTAGTCTCAAGATATTTTGCCAAACCTCCATGAATGCTAGTTCCAATAACTTTAGTTAATAAAAAAGGAACAATTTTCCAAATTAACGTAATACCATTCAGCAGCTGCCTGCAACATTCCATCTGTTATAAGTCGAGCACCCGACAGAAGAGTTCCCAAACCAATTCTGGGATGAGAAGGTTAAACTTGAAGTTACACCAATATTTCAATTGACAGGCATAATTCATGAGAAGATATAAGCCAAGAAGATATGTCCTACCCTGGGAACAGGTACATGTTGTTTGCTTGATTTACATGGCCCATTCTTCCATTACCTGGACAAAATTTTAATTTAAGATTCTTTAACAGCTGAGGAAAATCTTTACTACACAAGATATCTAACCAAAGAAAGAGGTAATTACCAAGATCTACATTTTCAAAAGGGCTCCCACTTGCAAACACTATTTTATCCCCAGCATGAGCAAAAGCATCAATAGCAGTGCACTCAGCTGTCCCCCATAATACAGAAAAAAAAATGTCAAAATAAAAAGGCACAAACATTATTAAGGAACTATGAGTGCATGATAAGCCTTGTACAAACAAACCATTCATGGTGGGATTAGACATGGCAAAGATAGCAGGTTTTGTTGAAACAGATTCTCTCATTGCCTTAAGCACCTGAGTCGAATCTCAACCATTAAAATTAAGAAACTCAATTGCAGAAAAGTTCACACAGTACCCAAAGCTGTCAAAGATGTCTATTACATTTATGCATTTAATATACCTCCCTGAAGAGTATGACATGATTAAAGTTACATTGTAGAATTTAATTACCTCCTCATTGAAAATTCCACCAACGCCAGACAAACCAAGAAGCACATGTGGCTTAACCTTCTTAACCTACAGATCAATATGTTTAACAATTAAAGGATGGACAATTGGACATTCGAGCATGCATAATCCTTAAAATTAGCATCAATATAGTAAAGAGGTTAAGTCCTTTTACACCAAAATAATTATTTTCAATGTCATAAGAGTAGAGCCTTGAGCAAAAAGAATTGTACTTAATGAATCTCAACACTTACCACTTCAATTATACTAGCACCCTCAGTCAGCCCCTCAATGTCTCTTGGATTTTTAGCAAATGGGGCTGCGGCTGGATCTAGATTGCTCCTTTCTGTCGTGACTAGACCCTGCATAAAAAGATAGCATTGTTATCAAACTTTGTCCAACAACAGACAAATATTAAAGACCAGCATAAAAAACTTTATTGCACACAATTATTTATTTTTTTACTCATGCCAACAGCATGAGATGTGAAGACAAATCAAGGCAAATAATATGATGAAAAAAAAAATATAATTAAAACGATTTTTAGATCACAATACGTTCTGTCAAAATCATAATTGAAAAGGACATTTTATTAAGGTTATAAAAGTCAACAAAATTATGGTATTCAAGCATTGTAACTTGAAGGACTGACAATGTAAGTAAAGATTGTGAAAGCATACATCTTTATCAATCAAATAGAATTGACTTTTGGCAGCTAATTCACTGCAACCAGATATCTTCGCAACTGCCTGGATGGCCATTTTTAGAACCCCAAGCCCTGCACTGCAATCCAGGAAAAAAAAGGCTTGAGGCAGAAAGTAGCTACAGTGAGGAGTGTAATCGAACAACAATCAACAAAAGAAATTGGACACCCAATATTATGTTCATCATAATCAGTTTTGCAAGTACCTGCCAGCTCCAACGACAACTATCTTTTGGTTCACAAAATCAGACAATGGTCGGCCTTGGGCTCTTACAGTTCCCAATAATCCAGCAAGTGCAACACCAGCAGTGCCCTATAGGACAGTGTGTTAGATAACACCTTGAAGATTTTACAGTGACAATATTTAATATCAATTTCTCACCTGTATATCATCA